ATCGAAATAGTTTTTCACAATTATTTTGGCATACGAATCGTATTTTTCCGCTATTAATCAATTCGCTCATGCCATCACATTGTGCTGTTGTACAATGCACAAAAACTGCAGCGGAAGATGAAGAAATCCGGATGGTACATTATGATTTGAAAGATTAAAAGTAAGTACCTACTATAGTCACTCACCTATAGTTTTCATTTTTGAAATTTGGTAATTTCTCTGATTTCTCATCGGAATTCCTTCTGCGATAGGAGCTATTAGAAATACACCTGAAATTTCTAAAATAATGCAAGAAGATTGGATTCATGCAATCAATCGGGAGGACTGGTCTGACATGCTGATGATTGTTGTGTTGTAGACGTTTTCAATCTATATATTAGCAGTATTAGCTTGTATATATATGTATTGCAGGAGTGGCAGAAGGCAGAAGGAATTTTAATAAGGAATAACAACATTTCATAATGATACCTAACTATGTGAGATTACTATTTACCTGAAAAATCATATTCCTTAGTTCCTTGCTGCATTTTTTGTGCATTGTACAACAGCACAATGCGAAGGCATGCTTGAATTAGGTAATGAATAGCGCAAAAAACACGATTCGTATGCCAAAATATTGTGAAAAACTATTTCAATCCTTTGATTCCTCTGTAACCAAATAAAAAAGTGAGGTTGTGTTTCAATATAATTTACAGAAGAATGAGGTTGTGTTTCAATATTTTTCCTCCAGGGTCGGTCATCGTGCACGCGACCTATACCTACCTACCTACCTACCCAATATAATTTACTTTTCCCAAGTACCTATATACTTGATTTCTCGAAATTAATTGTCTGAAGAAACATTCTATTCCATTGAATTCTCAGATATACTCAGCCAAAGATTCCAGATTCATTGGAGATTATCATGGCTTGAGTGTCGAACAAGGGTTTTTTTCCCCCAAGAATAAGAAATCTTGACAAGATTATAGTGGCGCTTGATTCAAGATTCCTGGAGATAATTTGAGATTCAAGATTCTTCCTTTGAAAATTGCTGTACTTTACTTTGTCTCAAGTATTTATTTCTTTATTTAATTCAAGGTACTACTTATCCCTTAAAGAAACTATATTTTATCTTTGTTTCGAAAACATTTATTGTCATAATTGTAGACGTGCGAAAAATAAAAACAACTGAATATATAGGTATATACAAAATACACACTATATAACAATTACACAGAATACTTAGGTATACAGGGTGATCCACGGTGGATGGCCTATTAGAAGTATCTGGAGAACGAAAAGACAGAACATTCTGAAAATTGGGTTTCTTCGAAAATTGAACATTCTCTATCCGTCTAAAATATTTTCATCGATACAGTCTTGCCACTTCTATCAGAAACAACTAGCAACTTTGTTATTTCAAATGGAACACCCTGTATTTTATTGCATTTTTAGATTCTTTTCAAAGAGCTGATTTCATCAATGCATCACACTTGGGGTCTAGCAGGAATGATTACAGAGATATAGGGTGTTCAAAATCGAGATTTTCAATTTTAAGATTTTTTTTGTCGAAACAATTCATTATCGATCAAAACGGCTTACATGTCCCTATCTCAACTTTTGATTGACTATCTACTGGAATTTGATTGGAAAAAATACAGCAGGGTACTCCAAGATTCAGAATTCTGATCACCCTGTATCTGTTCCAATTAAATGTCAGTAGATAGTGAACCGAAAGTTAAGATAGGGACATGTAAGCCGTTTTGATCGATAATGAATAGTTTCGACACAAAAAATCCTAAAATTGAAAAATCTCGATTTTGAACACCCTATATTTCTGTAATCATTTCCGATAGAACACAAGTGTGATCTATCAATGAAATCAGCTTTTCAGGCAGAATCTAAAATGCAATAAAATACAGGGTGTTCTATTTAAAATAACGAAGTTACTAGTTGTTTCTGATAAAAGTGGCAACACTGTATCGATGAAAATATTTTAGACGGATATAGAATGTTCAATTATCGAAGCATCTCAATTTTCAGAATGTTCTGTCTTTTCGTTCTCCAGATACTTCTAATAGGCCATCCACCGTGGATCAGCCTGTATATAAGTACTCGATCAATAGGTACCTGATTATAAAAACCTCAAAGTTGACCTAGAAAATAATCAAAATCCAACAAATCAAAAGCCTCTGATGTAAACATTTTCACTTTTATTCTTTCTTTCGGAAATGGTATGGGGAATAGGGATTGGGGATAACTCTGTGGAATCATGAAACAGTACATTCCCCACACTGAATAATAACGATAGATAAACAGCGAATTCGGTGTTGCCAACTGCTGAACATGAAATGTCGAAAAAACCGCTAGAAGCCGCTAAAGCGAGCGAAGCCAGCAGAAAGACCGACCATATCGAATATACAAAATAGTGGCAGAAGTGGCGCAAATGATGGAAACTCACCCTGTCGTCTGTCATTTGTCATTTCCTTCCGTGCTTATCTCTTTGTCTCGAATGTTTCAATGTCAATTATTCATATCCGTCGTCACCAATTTATATATATGCGATGATCAAAATATCTCCATATACCTAAACCGCTACGGCTATGTTGAAAAAGCAAGAATTCCGACACGTCGCGAATCAGGTTGAAATGTCGCATTCATGATGTACCTTTCATGTACCCTTCAACTCTAAATTTGGTGACCAAACCGCTAAGATGTCGCTACGAATTCTTTTTAAAATCGAAATAGGAACTCAATTATAAGAATTTTATTGAACACAATCAAAAATGAACGTACTTACACCATTTCTGTATTGTTTGTCGTGATTGTGATATTTGGTTCGATGGCCATCAAACATATATACTTAACGATATCAGCACCTCATACGGATTATCTATATGAGCACAGAACTGTCGTCAGTTCTCGACCAATGTAACCATGACAACCAGCCCTGATTAAGAACACCATATTCTCATAAACATATACCAACAATCCTAAACACGCCAAACATGCCTAAAAATATCAAATCACGAATGGTGGTGATAACTGTGCGGAATCATTGACAAAGAATTGGAGTTCATCATATAAATGTGTTCGTTTCACTTGATTTTTTGGGATTTTCTCTCCTCGTTTCTATAAAATAGAAAAATATGCGTATTATTTCAATATACAGGGTGTCCCTAGACCAGTGGGACAGTTGAATATCTTCTGAACCAATAGGCATTTTCGAAATATTATAATTTCACATCATATCGCATTATGAGAGCTAACTTCAGGAATGACTATATTTTATACGAGGTGCGCAAGAAAGGCTCACAAAATCGAACATCAATTTTTTCAAATGGAACACCCTGTATTTCATTGCATTTTCATATTCTCCTTGAAGAGCTGAATTCACCGACCTATAGCACACTTGGGGTCTAGTGGGAATGATTTCCGAGATATAGGGTGTGGAAAATCGAGATTTTTCATTTTTGGGAATTTTTAGTGTCGAAACTATCCATTATTGGTCAAAACGGCTTACATGTTCATATCTTAACTTTTGATTTACTATTCACTATTTACTCGTATTTAATTGAAACAAATACAGGGTGGTGTAGAATTCTGACTGAAACTGTTAATTCTACACCACCCTGTATATGTTTCAATTAAATACGAGTAAATAGTAAATTGTAAATCAAAAGTTAAGATATGAACATGTAAGCCGTTATGACCAATAATGGATAATTTCGACACAAAAAATTCCCAAAAATGAAAAATCTCGATTTTCCACACCCTATATCTCGGAAATCATTCCCGCTAGACCCCAAGTGTGCTAGGTCGTTGAACTCAGCTCTTCAGGGAGAATATGAAAATGCAGTGGAATACAGGGTGTTCCATTTGAGAAAATTGGTGTTCGATTTTGTGAGCCTCTCTTGCGCCCCTCGTATTAAATATAGTCATTCCTGAAGTTAGCTCTCATAATGCGATATGATGTGAAATTATAATATTTTGAAAATTCCAATTGGTTCAGAAGATATTTAACTGTCCCACTGGTCTAGGGACACCCTGTACATATTTGTAGTGGGACGAATCGGATGATTTGCACCAAAATGTCACTGCGTTTAAAAAATTTCTATCAGGGAAAAAATGTTTGAAGAAAAGAATTATAGATATATTGAAAAAATATTGAATTTTTACTTATCTTTGGACGTTCCGGGACCGAATCTGCTCCCGTTCTCAACATAAAACTGTCTCACGCGGAAAATAATTTAACCTTTCTTTGAAAATGTCGTAATAATGGAGTGATACCAAAAAGGTTACATTTAAAAGCGCCATTCTATAGTAGAAGATGTGAATGGATAGTTCTGAGAGCAAGTAAGGCAGTGGTAAGAGAAAGAAAAGAAAAATCAAGGAATCCGCTTGCAATCTTCTGAACGGAAACAATAGCATTGCTTCCTGTTCAGTTGATATAGATAGAATATGGTATTCACTACTGAAAACTGAACATGAAAATGGTAGATTCAAGATCAATTAATGAAAACATCCTAAACTCATTTGTAGACTAAAATCACTCATTCATATGCCAACATCAGTATGGCACTGAAAAGTGACAAACTAAAAGCAGCAACTTTCAAAGAAAAATAATTTGCATTTACAAGTTGAGAACGGGAGCACATTCGCTCCCGAAACGTCCAAAGATAAGTAAAAATTTCCTTCAAACATTTTTCAAACAAATTGTCACTGACAAGCTACTGGATTTTTCTTTTAGGCTCTCTGATAAGAAAATTCTTTAAACGCAGTGACATTTTGTATATTGTATATTGAAATAATACGCATATTTTCATTTTGTAGAGATGTGGAGAGTGAATCCCAAAAAATCAAGTAGAATTAAGCGTGTAATTTTGTATATTATAAATGATAAATTGATAAATCAGCTCTCACGTATTGTAGCATAATAATACATCATTTTGTAACTTCTTCTTTGTGATATTTTTTGATATATATCAATAAGTATGTTGAAAATTCTAACGCTTGCTTAGTATTACACGCAGGACGGCAGGAAGATGGGGTACGGCTCGATGCAGGGCATCCCCATGGTGGCGTCGTCGCCCGTGCGGCACGACTCGCCGCTGGGCGTGCACCCGTTGGAGGTGCAGGCGTACCAACCCCCTTGGAAGGCGCTGAGCGACTATGCGCTGCACGCCGACCTCGACCAGCCGCACCAGCCGGCCTTCCAGCAGCTCGTCAACCAGGTGAGTGCGACAACTCGGACAACACCAGTCCCAGCGAGCACAAAAACATCTCAGAGATGTTAAAAGTACGAGATTTCGAGACATTGAACTTCCACTGCGATGTTCTGTTCACACATGAATAGAACTATTATAGAACAGCCAATGTCCGCCGCAGGCGGCAATTATCGAGATGTCCTTGATATGTCACAAAACTATACCTTCTCCGTAGTTCTTTTTAAAGCCCTTTCATGGACACAACAGAACATTTTCAACGCGTCTTGCGCACATTAAATCGCTGTAAAAAATACATTTTCGAGGTAATTTTCTGAAGCCTTTTGTCAAAATGAACTTTTGCATTAGGATTCCATTTCCCTTGAATGAAAAAATGCATTAAAAATAGATTGAACATAAAAATATTTTCTTGATATGAAATTACCTTCTTAATCGGTTTCTGAGTAGTGCTTACTACACACAGACATATAATTGGAAATAGGTTTCCCAATTTTCGAAATGTTCTCCACAATGCATAATTTTGCAACTGCGGAGAAGCTGTGTATTGATGAATTCGTACTTTTATATATTGATTACACTGAGGCACCGAACAACACATCTTGCATCTGATGGTCATTATTAAAAACTAAATAAGTCTTCTAACACAATAAACTTCACCAAATTCCTTTCTGTTCGTTAGCAGCGTGATGTAAGCGTGACACGCTGCAAACGCGAATGCCAATTGCGAACAAGAAGAACAAAATCGAAAACAAATCAGAATTCATCGTATTGTGACGTGAGCATGAGACGTTGTGGTGGGGCAAACAAAGAAAGGGCACAAAAAAACAAAAACAATACTTTCAATATCCTTCGAAGACCTCTTTGGGAAGTGCATATTACGCCTCAAAAAACATCCTCATGCCTACATTTCTAAAACATCCCATGGATACCTCTCAGTAGGCAAACAAAGAAATGCCACAGAAGAACAAAAACAATACTTCAATATCCTTCAAAGACCTCTTTGGTCAGTGCATATTACGTCTCAAAATAACATCTTCATGCCAACATTTCCTATATGAATATTTTTATTTAATCACGTTTACTCTTGAATAAAAGCGAAAAAAACAGAAATATTTCAAATAATGCGAGCGCTTCCCATTAGCGAACATAAGATAGAGAGAGATAGGTATCCGTAAACACTGCGGGTTGCCTGAACAATATTTTTGCCTCACTCGTCGTTCTTAGAGGGTCCCTTCCAGTTGTTTATAGGAATTATAGGTCGCGTGCACGAAGACCGGCCCTGGAGGCAAAATATTGAAACACAACCTCATTCTTCTGTGAATTAATAAATCACAACCTCACTTTTTTATTTGGTTACAGAGGAATCAAAAGGTTGAAATAGTTTTTCACAATATTTTGGCATACGAATCGTGTTTCTTGCGTTATTCATTAATTCAAGCATGCCTTCGCATTGTGCTGTTGTACAATGCACAAAAAATGCAGCAAGAGACTAGGGAATATGAGTTTTCAGGTAAATAGTAATCTCACATAGTTAGCATTATGAAATGTTGTCATTCCTTATTAAAATTCCTTCTGCCTTCTGCCACTTCTGCAATACAAGCTAATGCTGCTAATAGATTGAAAATGTCTACAACACACACGATCGTCAGCATGTCAGACCAGTCCTACCGATTGATTGCATGAATCCAATCTTGTTGCATTATTCTAGAAATTTCAGGTATATTTCTATTAGCTGATCCTATTGCAGAAGGAATTCCGATGAGAATCAGAGAAATAACCAAATTTCAAAAATGAAAACTATATGTGAGTGACTATAGTAGGTACTTACTTTTAAATCATAATGTACCATCCGGATTTCTTCATCTTCCGCTGCAGTTTTTGTGCATTTTACAACAGCACAATGTGATGGCATTAGCGAATTGATGAATAGCAGAAAAATACGATTCATATGCCAAAATAATTTTGGAAAACTATTTCGATCACTTGTAAACAAATATGTTTTGCCTCCAGGGTCGGTCATCTGACAGTTCTTGCACGCGACCTATATTGAGTTCATTGGGCTAAGCATTGTTTCTAACCTAACCTGTCATGTGTCAACCACATGCTGTCAACCAGCATAGGCACGGAACATTGATATATGATGAATGATATGACAATCCATGACTTACAATTTCAAAATTATAAAGCAGCAGTACACTAGGTACCAACTTCTGAAGTGATACGTTTGAAACTTTTAGTTAAAAAGTTGGGTAAATTATCCAAAATCGGTTTATTTTGACCTCAGGAATATGTGCTGAGATTTCATAGAGAACTCATAGGGACACCCTGTACATATGTATCTTTTTTTTAAGTTGAATATTCCTTTTCGATAAGATTCAACTAAGTCTTCCTGTTCCAGATGCATGGCTACGACCTGCCGCCGCCCTCGATCCCGCCCGGCGCGGGCCACCCCGGCCTGCTGCCGCCCGCCGACGCGATGGCCCACCCCGACAGCACCGACAGCTACGTCACGTACCTCGAGAGCGACGAGAGCATGCCGGCCAGCCCCTAGCGGGCAACGGCCGCGGCCGGCGAATAGCGCCGCCAGGAGGCGCTGATGGCGTGCTGGGGAGCGATGGTGCTGCAGAGGCTCGCAAGCTGCGCCCTGAACTGTAACCGCTAGAGGAGGGCGACTCGACTAGGCACGTTTTGCTATGCATGCAACTTGATGCATCGCCACGCACAGAATCGGGCGCGACCGGCGATTACTGACGCCACCGCTGATGGCGTGCTGGGGAGCGATGGTGCTGCAGAGGCTAGCTAGCTGCGCCCTGAACTGTAACCGCTAGAGGAGGGCGACTCGGCTAGGCACGTATTGCTATGCATGCAACTTGATGCATCGCCACGCACAGAATCGGGCGCGACCGGCGATTACTGACGCCACCGCTGATGGCGTGCTGGGGAGCGATGGTGCTGCAGAGGCTCGCAAGCTGCGCCCTGAACTGTAACCGCTAGAGAAGGGCGACTCGACTAGGCACGTTTTGCTATGCATGCAACTTGATGCATCGCCACGCACAGAATCGGCGTGCTGGGGACCAGTGATGCTGCAGAGGTTAACTATACCTACTAACAATTCCGGGGTGCGGCGCTGTGTCGGCCTCCTCGCCGAGGTACTGAGCTGGTGGTCTCGCGCCTCCCGAGGTATCGAGTTGAGTTGCAGAGCTTGGGATCAGTTTTCATGCATACGAATGAGCCCGTTTCATCATTACTATAGTGTTATTTGATTTGATTTAGAATACTCTGTATTTTCATATTTTTGAAATCTTGTATTTATGATGATTTTGGCACTTGGTTCTTCTTCTCTTCATACCTCGGTGCAGACAATAAAGTTCGAGTAGCACACGTGAAAACTCAAACTCAATTGTCTCTACAGGAGTATGTAGTAATTATTTTTCCCACAAGTCAATTGTTTTCTGGCATTCTGTTGTCACGAACTACTACCAAATCACCTAAATTCAAGAGATAACCATCTCCATACCATTTGGTTTGCTTCGTTAAAGTGGGTAGGTATTCAGGAATCCACCGGTGCCAATAATGATCCGGCTCGAAGGACCATAAATGATCAGTTATTATTCGTCGAGAAACTCGTCTATTCCTTGAATATTAATTATAGTCTTACTGGCTTCACAAATATGTCACTTTATTGGTAACTGCCAAAATCCTTATAAATACAAAGAGATTTCTAAAATATAAAAATGCATAGTATTGTGGATAAAATTAAATAACACAACTATAGGTAGAATTTGAACACGTGAACCTAAATTAACATACCCAATCCAATCTGAGACAGTTTCCAATTTGTGCCACCAAACGAGAGAGAGAGAGAGAAAAAAGTTCACTCCTCTTCGGTGCTACTAACGTAAAGATCTTGAAAATTGATCAATTTGTTTTCTATGCGTATTCTCCAACGGAGGGGTTGACCCTAATCCTCATCGCGGAGTAAAATAATATCGCTGAATACCTCAAATCTTCGAGACAAAAATTGATACAGACAGTTGAAAATTAATGTTTGCATCGTGGAATTGTTGAAGGTTTCTACACTAAAGAGAACATTCGTTTATGCATGAAAACTTAGCCTATTCAATGTTTTGATTTGAATCCAACGGAGGGGTTGACTTGGCCAGACTTGATTGAAATGAAAATGTGCAATGTTCTTCTCATCGCAAAGATTATAAAAATGCTGAAGATGAGCGGATATCGTAGGCAAACAAGCAACGTATCGGTAGGTTGGTAGAACTGAAGGACATTTTTATAAGAATGGCTTAATCCCTACACTGCATTATTGCCACTTACAAGGCAACACGGTGACGTCAGCTGAAATTTAATATGCTATGAATATGTTGAGTTGTCTGTAAAATTCTATAATGACAAGAGGCTGAGCCAACGCGCTGACGTCAAAGATGCAATAAATTCAGTGGTGAGTCATTCTTACCAGTTACAGTTGAATATCCTTTGTTGAAACTGATGATTAATCATTCTACATTCTACCAACCTTGCATGGCTATTATCAATGAGAGCTAGTAAAGATATCTGAAACACTCGTTTTCTCTATATACCTGAATTCATCACACATTCCGTTGGGAATTTCAGGAAGTGGCACTTATTGTCACTAGTTATGAATGCTAGGAATAGGTTACCTACCTACTCAAAAAACTACAATATTTAAAAATTAATTAATACCACACCTATGTGTTTAGCAAATATTGCCCTATCCAGTAAACCCTGAGAGTATACTTATAGAGATTACTGCACTTTTGATCTATTTTCGTTTGCTCAACTTACTGAACTCTTGATATTTTTTCTATAACTATCTCCGTTAACGTGATGCGATGAACAAAATAACCATAGAAAAAAGCTTGTAAAATGAAAATTCAATCAACTTTAGCAGGTTAGGTAACACTAACCAACAGACTTGCAGTTATGCGTTCAGTTTTTATTCGGTCGTTCGAATAGACGAAGACGAGACGAGACTGAGAGACGATCGCGATACCAATACAAGTTCGATTTTCGCAGTAACGATACTGGCGAGCTCAGGTATTCGAATACAACCGAGTACTTTAGAGAATCGAATACTTACCTATTCTCGAGTATCCCATTACTAAGATATGTTTTTCATTCAAAAACTAATGCTTTTATATATTTTTTATTCTTCAGAATAAACTCAAATGTCAGCTATACAAATTCATAATTGGTTCGTCACTAAAGTCTGAAATCAATCTCAAATATTTGTATTTGGCGGGTTTACAAGGATAGAGCGGGCTCTGCCATCGCGCCATCTACTTTTTACTCATATTTTCATACAGGCAATATCTCAGTTATGCTGCTTGAAAAAAAATCAAAAATCAAACTTTTGTCAAACATGTATGACATTGAAGTCATTGTGTCGAAGTCAACTCCTGTCAAGTTACCCCTGAGAAGTCACCTCCAACTTCAAATATTCAAGTTAGACACTATAAATTTTTTGTTGATTTGTGTAGTGCAATCAATTCTAGCTTCAACGACGTATCACACTCGATAATTTGACTGATGTCCAATTGACAGAAAACTGATTTGAGGTAAACCATAGATCTAAATGGGTAAATGTTAGAGGCATTGTCTTAGTTGGATGTTCACTAGATACAAACTGACTAAAGAAGTGTGCACGAAAAACTGTACGGAAAAACTACTGAAATCATCGACACCTGATACCTACACCTATTTCCTTTGAATTTTCTGATTTTGATAGTATAAGTAGTATAACGTTTTTCAAAATATCGATCATCAATTCACAAAATTCGAAATTTCATTCCTCTTAGATATTTGAAGAATATATATTTCTGTCTGATTTACTCAAAATTACAATATTTAATATCAATTTGGGGAAGCACAAGTATATCACATTTGAAACCATTAATGAAATTACAAAATAAAACAATTAAGTGCATTCACAATTTACATTACCTGGAACCAACTATTAATCTTTACAAACCAAAAAATCTGTTGAATTTATCATCTTTATATAAAATGAAAATTTGTTCTTTCATCCATTTTGTGAGAAAAAAAATAAAAATATCCAACTTGAACTTTACTGAAGTAAATACAATTCATACTCATGCAACGAGACAGTTGAATTCATTAATAGCAAACCCATATAACTCCATCATTGGCAAACAATCAGTATTCTACAACGGAATCATTTTATATAATTCATTACCTTATGATTTGAAACATATTGATGATGAAACAAGATTCAAAGTCAATATGAAAAAATATATACTCATGACACAATAAACGGAGCAATTTATTCTCATTTGAATACTTGGAATGGTTTTATTTTAATTATTATGTTATATTGACATAACTTGTTAATTAGTTTTTTTTTTATTGTTTTATATATATATATATAAATATATATCATATGTTTATGTATCCCTATTATAAACAAATATGTTTCTTGGGGTAATAAAGAACAACAACAACAATTCATCAATATCGTTTGTAAAAGGGTCTAACTTGAATAATTGAAGTTAGGGGAGGCTTTTCAGGGCAGTTCGACCGATGTTGACTTTTCAACACCACGGCTTTGAAGAGAAGTGTAATTTTTTTTAAGCAGCATAACTGAGATATTGGCTGTATGAAAAGATCTCTGACACCCGGTAGATTGGCAATATTGGTATGGCTCTTCCTATCCAGCTCCACTTTTGACAGCTTAGCGACTGAAAAAGCGATAGTCGTGTAGCCATCTGTTGAAGTTTGCCGGTACTATCGATACTCCTGTCTAAAGTGTTTATAATCTTTGCCTTTCGTTTACTTACCAAAGTGCCCAGCAATTGAAATGGAAAGTCACTTTGTTGAGTGCAAATTATATACAATTACAAGTCATATTGTATCGAATTTTTTAACAAGAGGTGTTCTGAATGTGCAGAGCATGCATAATTCTTGAGTTGTTGATCAGAGGGTGCAGCATGTCAAGTCACTATTCATGGTCATTTATTCATTATCAGGACCTATTCAACTTCAGTAAATTTCAAGAGTGGAATAAAATACCATTTGAAATAAGGACGATTTATGTGATATTTTTCAAGTGGATACTTCAATAATAACTTGACCACCCTGAGGCACCTTTTGTTTTCAATACCTTGAATAGTCACTTACATACTCGAGAAATATTCCATACCTGCACATTTGTTCTGTCCCGCAAATTTTCCATTTGAATTGTTACAATTTAATTACTCATTGATTTATGGCTTTAAAAACATGTTTTTGTGGCAAATAGGTTCTGTTGTTCATGTTAAAAATACCAAATCAACTTGTATCATATGTAATTAAAATCTAATGTAATATATGTTGTACAATTTTGTTGAACATCCATGTCTCCGATTTGTAGATGTTATTGATTTTATGGTTTTGTATTCAACTATATTTTGCAAAATTTTACATCTTATTATGATGTGGATATTTGATGAATCTACCATATAATTAATTATGTAAATAATGTTATAAGAAATGACTTGTAAATAATAAAGTGAATAAGTATCATTAATTATAGATTACCTGGTATTATTTTCGAATCAGACTGAAATAGTGTCGATAAGGCAGAAATTCAGTTACATATCTGCAACACAGCAGCAGAAATTAAAGTCTGTATGGAGGTCGAATATTCATTTCTCTATTTTTTTAGTTTCTCTTCTGGTTTCTGCAAATAATACTAATATTTTTGTTCAAATCAAAGAATGTACGGAAATGGGCAGAAATTAATAGAATTAATGAAATTTGAAGAAATTAGTATGGACTTTCAATGGGGATAGATGATAACTTCCATGTTTCCGTTTGAAAAACTCCATTCGGTAATCAATTAAACGATTCCTTGGTCACATATTTATTCTTTACTTGTACATAGATGGAAACAAAAGGAATATTTGTTATGTATAAAACACAGATACATACATATACTTACTTAAATTGTTCAAAAATGTACTATCAGATTTCCAGTTCAGAATCTCAAGAGCTATACACGCTGATCCAGAATAGTCTACGATATTTTTGGGGCTGATAGAACTTCCAAAAATACTTATTATCATGGAAAATGACTAAAGAGTGAAACTTAAAACCACCTCTTCCGCTAAAAGAGTGGTTCTTATGAGAAAAATGGACAGTATTTCATCCCCAACTATTTTTCAAACATCTCTAAATTTATTCAAAGGTATTTTTTATCCACCTCAATATTTATTCTCAGAAGTAGCTTGATGAAAAAATTGACTTTCTTCTGGTTGTATCCTCCATCAATCACATAAATATCGGGAGTCAATCTCGAACCACCGTGTATATATTGTGTCTTTAAAAATCGGTTATTTAAGAAACACGGAATATTAAATAACATTTACATCGAAGAATAAAATATATTCATTCCCAAATTGAAAACTATCAGTGTTTCTGAAATAGTTGATGAACCCTGATATGTTGAGCAGATACTTGAGAACGAATCTGGGAGTATTGAGCTTAAAAAAATATCATACCTACTACCCTACATAATTAGCTGCCAACAGAGAGACAATAATGACTCATGCACAACCATCGATATAGCTAAATCCTAAAAGTAAAAGCTTGCTGCATCGATTAGTAAAAAATATTGTTCCTTTTTAATATCAGTCATGAAATTTGCTTTGTATATATACAAGGACGTATTCGATTTCTGTTTCATAGTTACAATCAAAAATAATCCTGGGCAATATTGAACAAACGAAAATGAACATCTAATTTACAAAGTTGCCCCCCAATAAAATGGCACAATTCACAGCAAATAATTCGATAAAATTACGTAAAGCTTCCATATTGACACACACAAAGAAGTTTTCCAAAATATATCTAGTGTGCTCGTTTTCAGTGTAACCACCCAGCCTATTTTGAAATAGAATGAACCAAATGTTTTATTTAAAATGTACTACCTACTCAAAAAGATCCATATGGTTAAGTTCGATTCATCATATGATGGGCCTCCTGTCATACACTTTACATCATACAAAACAGGAAACTACTTTAGGCAAATATTCGTTTGAATCATTCAGTATACTCTGGAATGCGAAGGTAGTTACACCTGAAACGGGGCACAGTGTAAAAATGTATATAAAATTATTCTTGTTATTACTGGCATATAATATTCCATCAGAATCAATATATAGAAATAAAAATAAAATATCCACGAACTTGTCATGGAACCAAATAAATATCACAGAACACCCCCAATGTATGCAGAATCCTTTCGGTTTGAATTACTAGTATTGCACTACAGTTCACCACAATATACAGGGTGTTTCATAATATGTAGAACACACGACTGCAAGAGGTATTAGGGCGTCTCAAAAAAATTAAAAAGTTCCAATAAAAATAGGTCGTAAAAGGCTTTGTTTGCGAGATACAGGGTGTTACGTTGAAAATAAAAAATAATTTTCATTGGATTGCTAGATAACCGCTCAACATAAATTCTTGATATTCTTGTAAAACACTGAGTACCTGAGAGTGATTGAATGGGTAGGATTATTCAGTCAATCTGACTCCCAGTGGCACTGTAAAGGCGGGTATTGATGTGTGATTTTTCAGAAAAAACATAGGTGGCGATGAAACTTCGAAATTTTATTCGAAAATATGAAAGAGGATGCAATGTTGCAGACAAAAGTACCAACTGTTGAGACTCGTCAAGGTAACCTGTCTTCGAAAAAAACGGAAGAACCGCAAATTCAACGCCAAAATTTGATGTAGCTGTCGGATACTAGACATCTATTCTTTTCAGATTAGGGTGTTATATAAAATGCGCACATTCAATATGCTTTGAGAGAATCCAGCGGTTTGGAGGATATTGACATGACAATTGACACATTTCTAGTATGATTCTTTGTTCTGATTAGATAGAAAACAAAAAATATTGAGGATTTTTTAGGTTCTTGAGAGATTTTAGAACGTGTTAATCAATAAAATCGTATCAGCCTCTTCTGATTCAGAAGATACATGACAGAGTGACATACAACGAAATCCATTCTTCCATCAATATGCTGTATATTTCATTGCAGCATCGGTTCCATCTTAAATTCCATCAGAAAAATTGTGACGTCACGACGAAGAAGCGCATCTATCAGTGAGGACTTTCTTCAATGGAATGAAAAACACACCCATCACTCTATAACTATGATGGATATTATTTTGTTGCGGCACTATGCCAGTCACATAACAGACTGAATTTTGCCACCACTACATGGTATACATAAGATAATATTTGTAACTTCAACGCCTGAGCCTTTCACGATCTTTGGTTATGAAAACTATTTAATTTTTCTTGAGGCGACCTACATATTATGAAACACCCTGTATGAACAAAAAATCAGTTCGGAAACTGAATATATTTTCAAAACACATTCGGTGAGCAAACAGGATGGATACCAGTATACAGTATTTGTCCCTTCTTTATGTGTGCTGTCAATTGACACAGCTGAGTGAGAAAAACATGATATGTTCAATTACCTAACTAAACTTCTTCCGATGCTGGTGGAGGTGTCTCGTCCAGACTGTGTTCCAGAAGGACCGCTTTTTCGTCCTTCACACTGCCGGTTCCGTTGTACACGGACTCGTATACGGGATTTGCAAAATTGCCAGACTGCAAAAAATGACCAGTAAGTACGGTGCCACTAAATTTATTTACTATAATGCGCAAATATTTATGATCCAGGGATTATTATATGAAATTAATCTGTGACAATAATGTAAATCACAGGTGATAGGTGTAAGGTATGATGGCGCTAAACGGGCACATCGCGAAAAAAATAACATAATCACCAAAAACAACGAAGGTTTAAAATCAATCTTAAAAAATACTTGCTCAGGACAATTTGAAACTTTTGAAAGAAAAATATTTGGCATGATTTGATTTCTTAGGAATGAAATATAACTTTAATCTTATAAGACACAATATTAATTCGTTTCCACTGAGTGGAATTCATTATAGTTAACCCTTTATTATTATTTTTTATATGTATTTATGTATCCCTATCATAAACAGAAATGTTTCTTGGGGTAATAAAGACAATCAATCAATCAATCAAGTTTAGGTAAGTTCTGAATAAATGTCATGTCAACATGAGTGAATCTAGAGCAGTAATCTAGACTATGCCATTCGACGAATATATCCAAGACTGTTTGGTACTTTGTACATCACCCTTTATGTTATATCTAGGTCAAGTAGTTAAGACACCATGTATGTCCAGTACTTTACCTGTATGATCCTGTATAATGGTAGTTGCTAGTGGTATTACCCTATATAGGATAGGATTTCATTTGTTGTTATCATGACGACGTGTTGTTGAAACATAAGATTGAATCAATAAAGTTGGGAGAGAAATTGCAATCGGTTGCAATTTCCCTTTTATTCTTCATATCATATCAGTTTTTATTCAACGATCGAAATACAGTCCACACTCATCACCAAGAGCATCGAACATATTGGTCCAATCGAGCGGATTCAAGAGTTCAACAGAATTCATCATCAGCGAGAGTCGTCATTCGAGAAGGCAACATCGAGTCAATCGAAAGGCGCAAGAAGCAACAAGTTCCAGACGACGGTTGATGTAAGCAGCTGGCCAAGCATCCAGACCTGTGATACAGACACAGAGCAGACAACCGTGAGCAGCTGGTACAACAGAACATCAGGATATCGTTCCACAACAGCAAGGTCAGGTAGAATTTTGTATTGTTCTCTATTCCGGGTCAGTACGCAGTGCAATTCAACATAAGAGGTACAGTTAATAAAATACTCATTGGTTTTATTATTATTACTTACTTTCGAATACAGAACTACCTTCCATATTCCAAATAAATCAATTTTCAATTAATATTCATTATTAATCGAATAACTTGTCACAATGACAGACTTAGAAGATTTAATCATAAAATACAAGGCGATTAAAGTCCAATTAGCAAGATTTGCGAATTTCGTCGAAAATTTTACATTTGAAGAGCAGAATAACATCTTTGAATTGGAAATTCGTGTTGAGAAAATTGAAAACTCATTAAATGACTTAACGTTTTTGCATACCAGTATTCAGTTAATAGATGATACGAAAGTTTCTGACGAACAGTTTTCAGTTTTTGAAACATCTTTTTATAAATGCCTAGGTACGTCCAAACGACTAATAGCTGAACACAAATCAAAGTCAATTAATTTAAATACGAGCATATCAAATATTTCAAATAACACAAAATTACCAAATATCACACTTCCATTGTTTGACGGCGACTATAAGAAATGGACAAGTTTTAAAAACAAATTCGAATCCATTATTCATCAAGACAATAACTTATCAGATGTTCAAAACTTACATTATTTGCAATCATGTTTGAGAGGTGATGCTGGTAAAATATTGGATCAGTTGGAAGCAACAAACGAAAATTATGAAAAAGCACGCGAGATTTTGAGGGAACGATTCGAAAACACTAGGATAAAAAAAAAAAAAGTGTTTTTAACCGCCAGCTTAGTTGCAAAGCAACCCTCGAAAGTCAGAGACTTGTGTGAGTTAAGAAGACGGGGACCTTAGCTTTTTAAGTGTCATCCGAAGCACTACTCGGCTGGTAACCGTGGACAGTCCAAAGGATTGATATCTAGGTACCAAGAATGTTGGGTTGGCCACCTATCTCCTCCCGCCCAACGAAACTACCGAAAATTAATTCAGTGCTCGCGCCGGGGATCGAACCCGGACCGCCTGGGCAACAGCCAGCGACTCTACGCTCACGGCCACCAGCCCAATAGTGAATAACCATTTATCTGCTATTTTAGATTTGGAATGCATTCATAAGGAATCACACGTGGCCTTAAGACATTTATTAGATTCTCTCAACCAACACTTGAATGCGTTATCGTCATTAAAGCAACCCATCGAGAGTTGGGATGCAATGCTAATTCACATCATTTCAAAAAAGTTAGACAATGCTACAAAAAGAGAATGGGAATTATCTCTCATAGGTACCCAGTTGCCGAAATATTCCGAATTCAAAGAATTTCTTACAAAAAGGTGCAACACTTTAGAAATGCTAATTCCTGCCAATTCAAATTTTAAAAGTGCAAGTCAAATCAATCATGACTACAAGCCATATCATAGATATCAAAAAACATACTCAAATGCATCATCAGTACCAAAATGCATATTTTGTAAAGGTCAACATTATATTTATTTTTGTGAAAACCTCCTAAGGTTAAATTAGGGTTTTTTGATAATTTTTTCTCTAACGCGTAAAATCTTTTGATAGCAAAGTCCTGTGAATCACCTTAATCTGTTACATTATGCCGAAATGATAAATTCACCACAAGTCTACCACTTTGGTCTTGTTTAATAGTTTTTGCAAAATATTCTTCACATTCACATTCTTCTTTAGAGTATTGCAAATTTGTTGATGCACAATCTTCTAATTTCCAAAACCTTTCAATTTGATTGTGAATTTCTGAGTTAGCAGTGGAAAAATGACAGAATGTTGAATTTGAACAATACTTAGGACTGAAAGGACCAGAAACCACCCAACCCAAATGAGTATTTTGTAAAATAGGCTGGTGTTTTCCTAACCTCACTTGCTCTTGACATAATAAATTCCAAAATACTTGCGAACCTAATAATAAATCGATTTTACCTGTTTTATGAAAATTTGGATCTGCTAAGGTCATGTTTTTAGGAATATTTATTGTATCTGCACGAAAAGAAATTGATGGCAATCTGGTGGTTATTTTATCCAACAATAAAAAATCTAATTTTGTCTTGAATGAACTGTTCTGCGATATGATCTCAGCAACTGTTTTTTCAGAGACATTTGAATGAACTTGATTAATTCCAGTAACCTGCATTTTGATACTGGTTTTTGGTAAATTCAATTTCGAATATAAATCTCTACTCATAAAATTGCTTTGTGAACCACTATCTAGCATGACTCTGGCTTGATGTGTAAATCCTCTCTCATCAAGAACCTGAACCATTGCCGTTGGTAAGATTCAATCCTTTCAGAGCCATTTTAGAATGACTCCTGTATGTTTCCAAGCGGTACATGCATATTTTTCAACTTTTGTTGGTTCATCTTTTCCGTCAATTGAAGTACCTACCTATTCCCTATTCCGTATCAACTAATTTTTCTCAAAGTATTTGATTATAACAAAATTAATATGATGCATCATTTTTGTCGAACATTCCACCACACAGTCGATGTTCTGAGACCGAATGGCCAGTGGCACCAGGATGATATGAAATTCCACATAATAGTCAATAGAGAGTTTGCAGCTCGATCTAAATAATTTTTCCAGATGGTGCCATATCAATTTATTGAAACTGAATTTGAATAAATGTCAAAAGATAACATTTTCACGAAGCCATGATGCTATTGATCATATTTACAGAGTTAATGATACTAATCTATCAGTAACCAATACAATCAAAGACTTAGGAGTATTATTCGACTCGAAAATGACCTTCAAACATCACATAATAGAAACAACATCTCCTGCTCGTAAAATGCTAGGATTCTCCCTCCGTTCTGCTAAAGAACTATCTGTCAATGCAGTTAAAATTATTTATTGTGCACAGGTGAGGTCTATTCTTGAATATAATTCTTTGATCTGGTCACCATTTTACAAAGTTGATTCTGATCTTCTAGAGGGTTGTCAAAATAAATTTTTAAGAAGTTGTGCATATCACATGGGATTCAATAGGGATGAATATACCTATCCATAAATATTAGATATTTTGAACATGAATACGTTGATACATAGAAGAATGGAAATTGATCTATTATTCCTCCATAAAATTATCAATGATTACATTGATTCTCCTGAAATTGTTGCTCTGATTATGCTTTCCGCAAATAAAAGAAGAAACAGAAATAGTGACATTTTCAAGATACCATTCTGTAGGACAAATTATGGCCAAAATGAATCAATGAATAGAATTATGAAAACAGCAAACACAAACAATCACCAAATTGAACTTTTCAATTCATCTTTATTGTCTCTCAGGAGAGCGATAAAAAACTGTTAATCACTTTTTTCATAATCTTCATCTTTCTATTCGTTTTAGCCTTTTACATTTTTTTTGTTAGTCTTCCTCATAGATATGATAATGTGTACGTGCTCTGTATTTTTATACTTTTTTTTTGTAAATTGTATAATTGGCTTGTCCGTTAATAAATAAATTAATAAATAAATAAATAAAATGGCGATTCTCTCCCACTGGTGACACTAGCAATGACAATAAAACGCAACGATTGTCATGAAGCTTCAAAAAAAACAACAAAGAATAACTATGCAGAAATCAGATACCTACTACAAAAAAGTTCAACGACCATAAATAAAGAGAGAACCATGGATAAAAAATTCTTACCTTATCGGCATCCAGGGTGAACGGTTCAGCATCCCTCTCCTGGAAAATGGGATTGCTGAAATCGTTCTCTTGCAATCTCTCGTGCGAGAACGGCGTCCTGTTCTTGAAGAAGTACTCGAACAAAAAGAACCCTAACACCAGCACGACAATGATGACGGCCATCGCTGACACCATCGGTACCAGAACGCTCCTGGACTCTTTCCCAGCATGCACGTCCAAATTGTAGGGAATCTCTTCGCACCGTGTACCTAACAAAAAAAATGTCTCAATGTTGATGTCTTTTGTTGTGCTAATTCCGAAAGATAAGCCAACAACACCGTCTCCGAGAAAGAAACTGCAAGTTCTTTCATCATCCAATCGACTTCGCGGTTACATAAATTACTAAACAACCACTATTGAAATCAAATAACAGAGTCAGACTGACAGATATTTGATTAATTCAAAAGAATGATGCAGGTGTCATTCCTGTTAAAAACTTCAAATTCGATGTCGATAATGATCTGATTTTAATATAATGTTATATCTTCTCAATATTGATTCGTTATTTTCCTCTCACAGAAACAAATAGTGTATTATACACGGAAAAAATATTAGATTTTAACTCACGGTTTTTTGTCTCCCTCTGCTACGCGTCGGGAGACAACAGAACCTGGAGCTAAATTCGACTACTTTTTTCCCTTGTATAATAAATCACTATTACACATCACATCATATAACATCGTAAGTAGTTCAGTGGCGCAGATTAGATGTTAGACAAGGAAAGAGTTATTGGATCTCTATATTTCAATGCGGCCACGTTGGTGGTACTGCAGAGAAAGATGGAAGATGAGAACATATTCCTCTCTCTTGTTCAAGGTAAAAAAGATCTCAATTAGTATTTGTCTGCCTGTCAATGGCGCTAGTTTTTGAAGAGATTGAGAACTCATTTGTTTCAATAGAATTTTTGTCAAACTGGACAATATTAGGTGGAAAATTTCAAACATCATATCAGACAGATTTTGGTGTTGGAGGAATGTGGATTCTGAAAGACTCTTTTTTCAACGATGCCATGAAATGAACCATCACCAAAACATCAGGTAGGTGTTCCTTCTTGAGCCATATAATAAAAAATTGATATTCCAGGAATAAAGATAATGTAGTAAGTTTATCAACAATATAAAGCTGAATGAGCAGTTTCTACCTTTTTATTCTATGGTTCTATGTCATTATTTCGATAAAGTCTAAACTGTAATGTTTTATCACAACACTGATGACTGATGAGTTTCCTTTTTCTATTCAAATTAAAACAACATCAATGAATCGAAAATGTTGTCATTGCATCATCATCAGTTTCTTTTTTATGAAATCCTGCTTTCCTTGATTGTGCAAGTACTTGAAATGTTTAAACATGAGAAATTTTTGAATATAAACTCGACAGAAAAGTGGATGACAGAAGCGGTGTAACCAAGGTCATCATCTGACGTTTCGATGACATTAAAACTACGGGAAAACATTCCTAACTCCTGGCTTAGATTGAAAGTTAGACCTTGGCTACCACAAACTGTATTACACATTCTAAAGAAAATTCATCAGAAGGAAACTTCCTAATTAAATGTCATTAACAATCGGATATCAACATGTTCAGTATCAAAATTTATCAGTGTCAATGCATTGATTTTGTTCAGACCGTCTTCAGGTCAATAAGTGTTTTATATCTTACCTTTGAATCCGTTCAGGCAGGTGCAATAGGGTACTCCTTCACTGATAGCGCACAGTCCGTCGTTGTGACAGAAACTGTCGCAAGCTGCCGGTTTTTCGCAGTTTTCCCCTGTCCAGCGTTTAGTACAATAGCACTTAGGTTGTTCTTGGTGAGATGGAAGAACACATACGCCATTATTTAGGCAACGGTTCGTGCACGGGTTAGAACCAATGATGTATTTCTGAAAGAAAAAAAAACGAGAATATGGTTATTGGTTGGTTATGTCTCATGAAAAATTAGGCAAATCGAAGTAGCTGTCAGACCTGACGAAATGTTTGCCAATATTCATCAATATGTAAGGAACTCATCTCGTTCTGAAAAGTGCACATTTCCATAGTAGTATGTTTGTATTTCGGTGATCATATTAATTATTATCACAGTTGAAATTTGGAAAATGATGGATCTCTACAAGAATGTAACATCGCGTTTTAGCTTGATTGATTGTCTTTATCACCACAAGAAACATTGTTCATGATAGGGTTACATACAAGAAAACATATGTAACATAATAAATCAGAGTAATAATGATTGCCCAATTATTGTTTTACATAAAAAAATCTATAAGATTAAAATTATCCAATCCATTCCCAGTAATCAAATCGTGAATGATTAGTAGATATATTAAAGTTAAAGTTAACTGAGCAGACATTTCTTGAAATGATTTTAAATCTTTCTGTTTCTTTTATATTTTTCAACTCAATAGGCAAGGAGTTACGACGCCGATTCCAGTGGTGTACGCGGATTTTTTCTGAAAACATCGTTAATAAGGATTCTGGATTTTTCAGCCCCTGAATGTGAGCTAGTAGGCCTTGGTTTCAAAACAAAATGGGCGCCGCTTGGCTCCCCCCTCTACATTTCATTTCTGAAGGTGGTCGGCTTTCCAATAGGTCACTAGTTTTAATAAATAATAATAAATAATCTCCTAACATTCTGATTTTATTTTCCTAATATTAATGAAATTTTGATATTACCTCTCAATGATTTTTCATCAAGTATTCATTGAGTGAAAATTTTTGTCAGTAATAATGAATTATTGGCGTTCAATTACTCCACTGTGTTGATAGGAACCTGAATTATTATTTGCAAAAACTTCTCACGCTTTTTTTATGTAAATAATGAGTCCATGCGTTGTTCGAAATTCTTGAATTTCAGAGCTCATTTCAAACGAACCTTCATGACTGCCATTTGGTGATAAGACCACGATACGTCAAATAAATGGTAACGTCTGTTTTTATGCTGTTTCGTTATTGGTCAGATAATCTTCCATTTTCACTCATGAAGCAAGGTTGTCAAGCCACCAATTATAATCAAATTATCAAAAAGGTGTTAAGAGTCCTGTCATTGAATGAAACATAGTCGAAGGAACCCATGATATTATAGTTCATTCTTGACTTTTTCGACCAACCAGCATGTCCAAATATTTCTTATTCTCCATAACAAAATATCATTTAAATGTTGTGGATTTGGCAACTTTGTGCTGAATGCTGAGAACTGACAAGACCACGCCCACAAGTCGTGCACCGTGTTGTCACGTTCATCGATTCAGATGTCCTCTAGTGTGAATTAATATAATTATTATTTACACAAATTCAAGGGAACATTTTGAGACAATTGAATTTTTGTTGCTAATCAGGAGTACGACCAATACTCAATTGAGAATTTATGAATTATTGAATAACTAATATTTCTGAAGTTCCCAATCGTATGTCAACACAAGGCAACTGTGCTACGATCTTCCCCTACTTACGAATTCGTGGCATCAGTTTCTACTGTCGGTAAATTTGTAGCCGTTTGAAAATCACCGTGGCATTATTGATGATTTAGCACCTGAAAATCGGCCAAAAACTTTTGAAAAAATATAAAACTGAAAGGTATGTGAGTGATGATTCTATAGTCCACTCGCCTATTCTACAAGTTCAAGAGTTCAATATTGCACGGAGGCAAATTCGGTAATAACAGATCATGAAAAAATAGTTAAAAATGAAGGGTGAGAACTCACTTCACATTTGTAGCCACCCCAGATCTCGAGACACTGACAAACGACATCGTCGGCATCCTCGTTCGGTTTGACGCAAACCCCTCCATGCTGACACTGACACTTCTGGTTGCACCCATCTGGAGGGAACCTTTCCGAACACATCTTTATCTCGCACCTCCTTCCGGTAAACAGCTCGGGACACATGCAGACAGGCTGCTTGGTTCCCATTTTGCACGTACCTAGTGAACCAAAACAAATTTAATCTCTTGAAGAAGTCCATGGTTTCTCAAAGTGGAATGGAATAGTAACTACTTATTACTTGGTACATGTTTCCGACATATATATGTCCATCCTCAGCCTCATCAGTTATTACTACATATCGTGGAAATGAAAAAAGGTTCAGTTGCATCTTAATCTTAATGAAATGAAACAAAGATTGGTTTCAGATTTTATCCAAGGGGGAAGCCCAAAACCCCAACTGAAAATGTTATGGGGTATGAAAGAAAAGTCCACCACAGTGAATATATAAATGGTTGAGAAGAAGATTGTATTTCGAAATATCATCTCCTCAACCACCCTGTATCTCTTGAACCAGCAATATTTTTATGAGGCATGTTGGGCTAAACATTCATATTTGGGTGTTTACTATCTGTAGTTCAGAGATTTCCCATTCTTAATTTAATAAATAAAATTATTAAAATGTCATAAGTGGAAAATCAATCTCTTCAAGAGTGAATAACACAAAAACCGTTGAAAATAAAGAGTACATTTTTCATGTGAAATTGAACGAGCTTTCAGATTTTCCACTTATTTTGATCATCAATGAATTGACATAGAAGATATGATGTAAATTATCGAAGTAACAGAGTGCCACTAGCACCCTCTCAGAGCAATCACAAAATAATTTGCAAATTCATATTCCTCATGTCAGAAAACCTAGAAATACAAGATTCCATGTTCATGCTGTTGAAACTAACAAAGTTATTGTGAAATTGTCAAATAAAATCTCCCCCTAGAGCACCCTATATCTCTTAAATCAACGACATTCTTGTAGGATACGACTCTGTATTATCCATATCAGTTAATCTTTTATTTTGAATGAGTGATGTAGTTATAGTAAGATGTAAACATTATTAATGAAAAATAATAAATCTTCGAGTTTTTGATGATATCTATTATAATTCTCATCAGGCATATTGGGCTAAATCTCATTATTTTTGTGTTTACTATCTGTAGTTCAAAGAATTCCCATTCTTGATGAATCACCCTGTATACAAAAAATAAAATGAAAGTCCCCTAACCCATCACACCTACCTCCGTTGAGACAATGATAGTCGCAGGTGTTCCGCTCGCACTTCTCCCCGCCGTAGCCGGCCACGCACGAGCACCTCACCCCGGCGGCCGACGCGATCGGCTTGCCGTACCGGCCGCACGCCGACACCTCGCAGCGCGCCCCCTCGTACCCCGCCGGGCAAGCGCACTGCACGGCGGTGCCGTTCTTCGTACAAACGCCGCCGTTCTCGCAGCGGCGCTCGACGCAGCTCTGGCACCGAGTGCCGAGGAAGCCGGCGGGACAGGCGCAGCGCGGCACGCCTGCGCGCACGAAGGTGCAATGGCCGCCGTTGTAGCATCTGCAACAATCGGGACGTTCATCGGGAAAATCAAGCAAGTGTTATTTGGGTCCGTATTTATAGTTGCTCCTTAAGGTGACCTCGTCCCTTAAGGCATCCTCAAGGACCAGTTTCGAATTTATAGTCGTATTATGAATTCCAAGGTAGGTAAAGAGGTACCTTGAGCATTCCTTGTTCCAATTTCTAGTATTATTTCAGGTTATGTTATGAATTCCTTGAATGGAATGATGAAATCGAATGAATATGCAAGTCATGAAATTTGTACAGAAAATCTGATTCGAGTATATCGATTCCCAGTAGAAGCTGATTCAAGTTTAGTTGAAAAATAAATCTTTTTTTATTTCAAAGCGAGTATATATTACAAATAATGAAAACTCAGCAAATTTACAATTATATATAGGTAGTGATGATTTCTTTTTGAAATAATACTCATATTAATAGAAACAAGGAGAAAATCCCAAATAATCAAGGAAAATGAACATACATTTTCAATGAACAACCACACAAAATCACAGATTCATTCGAAGTATCCAATCAAATGGATATGTTTCCTCTCCCTGGCATATTATTCCATTGCAGCTTGAAATAATCCGTTTTTAATAGGGTCATTTTTGTATTGTAATTTTCCAACATCGTCATCGATAAACTTTTCGACCCTCTCTTCATTTTGCGGAACCTTGGAAGTATTTTGTCTGGGATCGAAGTAATATATTGTTGAGCCCCATGGATGTATAAACAATTTGAACCAACCTTTGAAGATTATTACTGAATTATTAGAATCTTTCGATGTCCACACTCAACAGTAAACATGGTCAAATTCGACACTTTACATTTTCTGACAAAAAAGTTACATGAAACAATAAATTTCGTCACAGAACACTAAAATTATGCACTGTTGCCAAGTGTTAGGGCTCCTTTTAGAAGGAATACTCAAGGAAGGTCTATAAAACAAGTTTAACGTCAAGTACTGAGAAGTCCACAAGGAATCCTCAGATAAGGAAGACTTGAGGAGTTCTTGAGGAAACGACTATAAATACGGGCATAGGTCTTCTAAAATATTAGAGGCATACTAGAGTTCCTAAATGTACTTGACACTGCTGTGTTGACGTTTTTTGTACATTAGAGTACGGACACTATTACAAGGGCTGACAGTCATAACCACAAATAAATTGATGGAAAAACCGGGAACTGACAGTACACGAACGTACATGACATAAATTTCAAAGGTTTGACAAATTGAGAGAATTAAGAGAAAGATGAAAGTTCGTGCATTTTCCAACTGTGAGAACACGGGGAATCAATTCACTCTATTCGAATTTCCATCGTATAACGTAATTCTACAAAAATGGAAACAGAACATGATGCGGCCGGCATGGAATATAGGTTCAGGCCACAAAATTTGCGAAGTATACAAATTCCTTGGTAGTTTATAGAACATTTTATCAACGCATTTTTCTCAGGTACACTTCAGAACGGAAGATTTGATGTTGAAGAATAGGATCGTATTGAGAGAAAGAGCCGAACCCACAATTTATAAACTGAGCGAGTATCGAAAAGAACCTTATTCCAATTTAGAACCAACAAGAAACCAAAAACTTGCAGATGATGAAATTCATTTCGAACATATTTTGAAAGAAAAAGACTTGAGAATCGAATATTTAGAGCAGTCATATGAAAAATCTAAGGTTTACGAGTGGAAGAGAGTGAGGAATTAAGGAAACAAATAGAAGACAAAAATAGAGAGTTGAATCTATAGTGAGTCGAGCGCTGAAGTCCATTTATACCTACTTCCGTATGTGTTGGAAAACCTGCATTATTTATCCTCACTGAAATCAGCTGTTATTGTTGCCATACCATTTGTTAATTTATTACCTATATAGCTACCACTCTTGTACAAGTGAAATTGTTCCATGCGAAATAAAAGTATGTTTCATTAGTTGAAATTTATCAGTTTTTACCCCAATCTGAACTTTTGTGATAAAAAAATATTCAACTGAACGTATATTTATACCTACATATTATGTGACTTATTCCATGGGAATAGTGTCAAGAATGGATAAAAACTATAATTTTATTGAGAATATTTGAAATTCTCATTTCATTCAAGAACAGTACAATAACCTAGTCTATATCATATTCTTAGAATTATTTAGCTTACAGGATATCAGTAGAGAATTACGATATTCAAAGGAAATTATAGTTCGGATTTCAATTTTATTATTATACAAGTAGAGTCGCTGACGGGCAGAAACTGCTGGTTTTGGATTTTTCCTAATCGAGGTGAATACACTAGTTTTTATGCTGAATCAATTACCACTACCAAAACCAAGATGAAAAAGTATTAGAGAAAAAACCGGCAGTTGTGGTTCGGACAGTGGACCGTAAAGTCTTTTCAAATATTCTAATAGAAAGTAAATCTCAAACTTTGCATCATGTCTAAACTTCGTGAGTGGCAGTTCCAATCCTCCAACGAAAAGCGAGCCCTTCTGTAAGTACCTTTTTTGAGTATTACTAGTTTTAGTTTTCCTGTTTTGTTTCGATTTGAGTGGATGTATCTTGCTGGATAATTAATGGTCAATTTATTTCCTGCCCTAATTGTTTGTATTCAGAATGAATAAACTTGTGAAGTGGAGTTAATTTATTTAGTTATCATTTTCAAAAAAACCTCTTGCAAGCGAGTAAGTCCGAGTTGCGATAGTGGGCGTTAGACCCACTCGTGACAATAGTAAAAGTATTTCGTTGGTATATGTACATACCAACTTGATATCGACCTCCATTGAGGTTCTTCAGCCTTATCATTCAATATTTCGAGAAGATAAATAATTTTCTAATCAATTTATCGTACCCTTCTACCCACTCGAGGAGACGCTATGCACTCTCATACAAAAAACAAAGACAGATATATGGATGTACTCTTCCCAGGACTTGTGGAGGATGGAAGATACGAGGATCCTTTACCTAAGAGAAAAACATATTCTTGTCCTTGTCTGGCAAAACATATGATATGCTTCACAATTTTTTGTGGTTATGTTTGATTGTCACTGCTTGTCTAGTGTCCGTACTCTAAAATAATAATAATTAAGGAGCCTTATTGGATATCCAAAAGGCTACCGACCGAGGTCCTTCAGCCTGTGTTACATAGTGATTATACATTGAGTTAAAATTCATCATTATTTTATGTACAAGATATATGGAGTTATTAAATTTGCTAGTGTAAAAAAAAGGAGAAAAGTCTATTGTGAGGCAAGAATTTTGAAGGAATTTCAGTAAATTGATCAAGCATTCCAAAAGTGTTTTCCGGAAACTTCCGTCTTGGGTTCACTGTTGGATCTCTCTGTAAACACTGGAATTGGATAATTTGGAGTATGAATTCGTTTTTGGAAACTTCAATGTCAGCTTTTTCAGTCTCTCAGAAATTGGTTGCACCCTGGTCAGCCGATAAAGAAGTTCGTTTGATGGATGGTGAAGGGGATTTTGAGGGTGCCGGATTTTGGTAATGGCTCTCAGGCTAGCTCTTTATGCTACTTCCAAATTGTTCAGTGCCGTCTTCCTCGTGTTTATGTATATTGGGTGAATCCGTACTCTAATATTGAAAAAACGTCAAAACAGCAGTGTCAAGTACATTTAGGAACTCTAACCAAGACAGGGTATAAACGTGGCCACTGTTATTCAGTCCAGAATATTACCTGTCGTGACAAAGATCGACGGGGGTCTCGCACCGCTCGCCCGTCCACTGGGGCGGACAAGTGCACCGGAGCGGCGCCTGCGCCTCGCCACCCTTGTTGGAATGCAGGTCGACGTAGCAGAGACCGCGATTGTGACAGTGCTGCGAGCAGCGGTAGTGCTCGCACCTGGCGCCCGAGTACTGCGGCGGGCAGGCGCACTTGGGCGGCTGGCCTTGGACCAGTTTGCAGGCGCCCGGGTGGCAGTCGAGAGGGCAGAGGGGGGGTGAAGTGGAGGCCGCTTTGCATGTCTGAAATGATGGAATAGTATATTATACACCGAAGTGGGAAGTGATTCATTCCTGTCGTGAGATTAGTTCGTTAACCGAGACGCAAAGCGTCAGGGTTGATAACATTCAAAATTGTGTAGTTTTATTGACCAGGGAAAATGAAAAAGAAAAAAACCCTATTTTTTATCTTCAGAGGGACGTAACTTTTCCGGGGAGAGGTTCTTCAAAATATTTCATACCAAATTCCTACCTTACTTTTCATCACAAAATTACTCCTTGATTTTTCTTGTGTTATTCAGATGCACCCTGTATATGATCATAGTTACGATCTACTGTATATGATTATAGTTACGATCCAAGTCTGATGAGCATTTTCGTGAATTAATTAAATATTGTCGGCATTTGTTCAAATCTTCACTTCACACACTGAAATATTGTTAGATACTGTCTGTAGGTCAATTAAGAAAATCATGGAAAATTAGGTAACAACCAAAATCTAAAGAATTTCAAGAATCTACTTGCACTGAAATATTGTTAAATACTGTCTGTTGGTTATTTGAGAAGGTGAAAAATTCATTTCTAAATCATAGGAAAATTAGGTAAAAACCCTAAACTAAAAAATTAAAGAATCCACTTGTATCTTTCTGCAATTATTTCCTGTTCAGTTGATATAATATGAATGATGAAAAATGTTCTATGTGTGTCTCTGTATGGTCGTGGTATCATAAAAACTCACCAAATTATCTTTGATGAATCCATCAGCACAGGTGCAAGTAGCTCCTCTGGGTGTCAACAAGCAAAACTCGCTGTCATTGCAGTAATCATTACAACTGTTGGCCATCTTCGGATGTTTGTGTTCGTGTAAAATCAGAATATCGGAGATTCGTGTCAAACTGCGGGCCAAATACGTCAAATTCCCTTTGCCGAATTTGTTCATTCTAAACAAGTCATGCTTGTGGTGGGTGGAAACGAATAAATTGTCCTCGAAAACTTCGATTTTGAATGGTCTGATATCTAAATGAGATAGAAACGTTTCATGATAAAAATTCATTATCCAGATGATTTTTTTCCCGAGAAAGTACCACTCTGGCATAGTCGTATAAGTGCCAGATCCGACTGCAAGATTACTACGTTCATCTGTTATTCAATGGTAATCAAATTTTAACAAATATTCATGAATAGGCTTTCCTACTCACATAACAAAAATGGCATTTAATGTACGGATATGTACCACGCTGAATAATCGATTAATCATAGATTGACGATCTGTGATTTATTAAAAAAAAAAATAAACACGTTACCATGGCAACACAATTTCTTAAACACATTACCATGGCAACAAAGTTTTTTAAACACACCTTCAGTCGTTTCAGTCCCGTCGGTCCTGTCAATTGTAGGAACTGTCAACACTTTCGTGTCACTTTCGAATTTTGTTGCAACCGGTGACAATTAGAATTATTCAAAAAATTTCTGTTTGTATCAGAATTCTTCATTAAAAATGTATACAGAGGTAAAAGTGCACTTATCATGCGATGGGTTTTTTTTCGAAAATTTTTTTGGTACTTACGTATTTTCGTCTGAAAAACACGAATTTCATAATGAAAATATGAACAAACCACTATTTATCGAGATATTTCAAGAAAAAGTTCGAAATTTTGCCTTCTTTTCCCCCTTGTGTTGGATGCATTTACAGGTACTTGCTCTTATTATTTTGTCATTGGACACTTTATATACTCATGATGTACTTCACTGACACATTTTAAGATAGAAAATTCAACAGGAAATTTGATTTTTATGGCGAGTTTTTCCTATTTAGTGAGCAAGCACAGGGACGCGCCTATACAGTGGCAACTGCGTGCATCGCACACGGGCGGCCACCCTCAGGGGCGGCCAACCACGAGAAACTAAATACTTCGTTATCTTGAACATAATATTACCCTGTAGACTATATGAAAATATCGTAATAAAATGTCAATCTCATTTAGTGAATCAACAACGACTAAACACTCAATAATAGAAGAAAAATAAGAACAAATGACCTGTCTTACATTGATGGCCCTGACAGTGGTCAGGATGATATCGGCACGATTTTCCGCGATATATATATACTACCATCAAGTATTGAATGTCGTCGCGGGGTTTTTTAGCCATTGGACTACTTCCAATTGTATGAAAATTTTGTCTTTTCGATTCATCTGTTCCATAGTGATATGTGGCATTAAATTTTGTTTAAAATCAACATCTGTTGTTAAGATTTTTTTTGCTGCATTCAGATCCGATGAAAACTATTCAAAAATGTTGAAAGATTCTCAAACAATAGCTGATGATTCAGATTTCGAAACAGACTTTCCAGAACCTTCTAGGAGATGAATGACACCAAAATTGTTTGATTATGAGGGAGATGATGATTTTCAGATTGACGACCAACAACACCAATTCAAGATAAAAAAATGTTATGTCATCACCGACCAAATAACATGTTCTCTCAATGGACGATTCGAGTTTCTCAGGAATTATAATGAATGTTTTGGATTCGCTTTTGGTAAGGACTTTGCAAGAAAGCTAACAAATGAAAATCGCCAGGAAGAAGATATAGACGGAACAGATTCATTTGAAAGTGATTCATCATGAAAATATAGAAAATGATCCACAACAAATTTTACAGTATATGGTATACATGAAAACAACTTAATGAACAGCTTTCCAAATATTTCAGTCGCTCTCCGAATTTTATTAACTTTACCGGTGTCAGTTGCTAGAGGAGAAAGATCATTTTCTAAGTTGATGGAGATAATGAAAAAACTATTTAAGGTCTAAAATAAGCCACGAAAGATTGATTGACCTCACTTCAATATCCATCAAATCTGAATTATTAGAAACAATTGATTTTGACGTGCTCATCAAAGAATTTGCTCAGCAGAAAGCGAGAAAAATAATATTTTCTTAATGATTTTTACTGTGATATTATCATCCCTCCATGTGTTATTTTCAAAGTATTACCTGAACCTCAAATGTTAATGAATCAATGTTAATTTTGTATGAATTTTACTATTTGTAAATTATGTGTTATGTTACTTATGTTTATTTATGTTATGTCATATGTTCCGTGAATGAAATCATCTCTTGAGACATCTCAAAACGAGTTAGATATATTATTTGTTACTTTTCAGTTTTCAAAATATATCAGTTCGAAATTCGTTTTATTTTCAATTTTTTCGAGGGCGGCCCAGAACATTTTGCACACGGGCGGCGAAGTGTCTAGGCGCGTCCCTGAGCAAGCATACCAGATGACGGCCATTTAATCCATATGCAATCCAAATACGAGATGTCAAATGTCAATAGATTGCTTTGGAATGACATTACACACGCCATTATTTCAAATGATATTCTTCCTTCTTTTCACTAAACATGGATAAATCACAAGAAAATCATATTTCTAGTTGACTCATATAATAAAAAAAATGTGTCCAACATTGTGTGATATATATAAATTGTCCAATGATGGAAAAAGAAGGGCAAATTGTTCTAAATGTAATCCAGAAGACAGGCGGAAAAGATGGTGAAATTTTTAACTTCATAGTGAAATATCTTAATAAATAATGGTTTGTTCACATTTTCATTATGAAATTCGTGTTTTTCAGACGAAAATACGTAAGTACCGAAAAAATTTTTCGAAAAAACCCCATTGCATGATAAGTGCACTTTTACCTATACAGAATGTAGACGAAAGTGAAATCGAAGCGATTGTTTAAGGTACTTGCGTATTTCCAAGAACTCTGTGTGAAAATGAAGCTTTCTAACGTTCATCTTTGTTGGAAATTTATTCTACGTCAGATAAAAACTTCTAATTCACAAAGGTTAGTAAGCAATTCATTTCAATAGAAATTCATGTATCCTACAGACTGGACACATCTACAACCAATATCACCTATACGTGTCTCGTTGGCTGCATGCAGTTGCATTGTATTATGGGATCTTGTAGAAGAGACGAATTATGAGTTCGTTGAAAAATATAATATGTAACGCATTTACAAACTCTTCTAGCCACTCATTTATCAAATACTCGCTCCGCTCTGCTGCACTAGTGCTCAAAATACTCGTTACTTAAAGGACGTTTATAATATTTGTTACATAAAATACTACTAGCGCTCAACATCGCTCGAAAGTCATTGCGCAAGCTAGTATTCTCAACCAATGGCACAAACCGTAGTGAATTAAACCTCGGATACTTATTTAAAAGAAAATTAAATCAAATTATGCAGGATATTTTTTTTAGACTTTCTGTATGATATGCGAAAGCGTCAGCAGATTCCACTGTCAATAAAATGTCATGGTATTCATAATTTGTATACGACGAAACAATTACTTTGAAAATCACTTGATCAAATGATGCATTATTGAAATGATACAAGAAGCACTTCTAAATTTTTTCAAATGTACTTTACATTAAAAACAATAAAAACAATGCTCTGTATAACTGTCTAAGGATCAAATGATATTATTTTAAATGAAAATACTTGCTGCCACATTCCAATCATGAATATATGTTGAAATTTGATTTTCATTAAATAGCAGATGAACGTAGTAATCTTGCAGTCGGATCTTATAAAGTACGTATTTCCCGGAGGTAAATATCTGAGAAAACGAAGACATTTTCCCAATGTTGAGAAGCTCGAATATTTGTAAATCCTTACCTTTATCGAAATGCCTGATCACGTGCCTATCGGTACCGTCGAACGCCACGCTCTCTATCGTCAACGTCTTCGGATCGGCCCAGTACAGCCGGTCGCGACCGTAATCTACAGCCAAGCCGGTCGGCCACAGAACGCCACTGCTCACCAGCACCTTAGAATATAACAGGATATCTTTATTGACCATTTTGGTACAATCGAATTTGAGAGCCCAATAAAGAACCAAAATCAATACACTATGCAATAGGCAAGAACACAAATTCGTTAATTCAATTAAAATGTGCGTATAACTGAAATGTAAGTATATACCTACATAATAATATATGGTAAAACTGTTCATAAATGATTTTTATTTATGGACTTATAGAATGAACTCGAAATAATCTGAAATTGAATGTAAATGTCATGTAACCTATAAACGCCAAAAAATTTCCAGTGTAATTTCATTCTCCGTCCCTCAAGGAGAAGGAAAAAAAAGTCCAAGAAATTTGTTTAGTTGCTATCGTGAAGATACGAAATACAGACTTTAAATTGATCGAAAATGTTTGGTGTGAATTTTTTTCAGGAAATACGAATTCCCGATTCAAATTTCTGTTATGTTTGATACAAAGTTGATCTATCGTCTAGCATTCAGGAGCGAAATTTATTCAAATGGATTTTTCCAGCACTAAAATGATGCCAAGGTCACCTATCAAAATATCATCAAGCTACTTCACGTATCTCACTAAAGTTTAGGACAGTTTTGTCGAAGTTACAATTATTAGAAGAAATCAAACAATATCAAGGGCTAACAGTTGCAATAGATCGTTCAATTTCGAGATACATGTGTAAAATTTGAACAGAAACAAATTTTCCTTGTAAACTTTTTTGAAATTCGAACAAATAACACTAATTTCATCGATAAATTTGAAAAAAAATCAACTTTTGACATGTAGCGAAAGTCACCTGACTCTGGCCGAGTAGGCTATCTTTTATCTTTTTTGGGGTAAAACTCAACGCCCAAGTCGAAGTTTAAAATAAATTATTATTAAAAGTTTTTGCCATATGATGCAGACTTTATAAATGACACTGTATGTATTAAATTTTCACAAACTTCAGGTGAAAACCTCAATACTGGAAACTTCCCCAATGACAGAGAGTACTGTACTACTGAACGGCTAGTTTAAGCCTGTTTCTGCCATACCTTGCGCTTGTACCCGTCCATGTGGGCGGTCTCTATCCGCGCCGACGGCCCCCAGTCCGCCCAGAAGAGGACACCGTGGGTGGGCGCCACCACCACGTCCCGCGGCTGCTGCATGTTGCCGGTGATGAGGGTGTAGACGTACGAGCCGTTGAAGGTGGCGGCCAGCAGCCGGTTGCCGTCCGTCAGGTAGATGCGTCTGGCTATCCAGTCCAAGCTGATGCCTCTGCGACAGAAATAGATTCGGTAAACGTTCGGTTTGTGAGTTACACAAAATTGCGTTTCCCAACTGGTTACGTACAATATTTTTTTCTAATTTTGGCGAGAAAATGTCTCCCTTAATAGATCAGATTGAACCACTACACTGTTTTACCACTAACCTAACCGATTTTTGAAGCTTAGTTTCAATCTCCCTCTGAAGATGCTAACATAGTTAGCGAGAAACACGAAACACGTGTCGAGGCGTTCAAAAAATTGGTTTGGTTAGTAGTACAAAAATAGTGGATTATTGAGATTGATAATTTCAATGAATTCCTATAAAATTTGCAAAAAACCGCTCACCGTGCGATAATACCTAGGTAAGCAATATCGAAAGGTAACGGCCATTCCCATTGCGGAAAATTGCGAACCTAGCATCGATTCCGAATATAGATTGTACCCGAGTCGATAAGGCCTCATTATTATCAATACAAGTCATTAGTACTTGTCAATTGTAAATGTTTGCCGTCTCCCCGACTTCAATCCTAATGTAAGTACTGTTTTTCTTTCAAGTGTTTTTTTGCGTTGTGTTTCATTTAGCTAGCCATTATGTTCTTTTTCTTTGCTAACCTGCCATGTGGCAAGCATTCATTCACGATTTTTTCCATTCAATCATAAACGTCAAATTTTATACAAAAACTGTCTTGACTCTTTATTTGGGGATAAATGTGTTACGACCTATAGGAGGGTCAACATATGAGTTGCGACAATACAAAATCGAAAATATAATGACAAATATTTCAATCATAATCCAAGGTAACCAAAATATAACTTACCTGGGATCTTGCAAGTTGGAGAGCACTGTCTTGGCCACATCGGCGTCCCTGTTCGTTCGGCCGTCCTTGTCGATCTGGATGACCATCGACTGCACCCGCCTGTTCTGGTGGTCCGTCCAGAAGGTCTCCGCCTGCCTGCCCGCCGACAAGATGTCGACGGCGTCCACCTTGTAGCCGGGCGCCGTGGCGAGCGTCTTCCGCAACCTGTTGTCGTCGTCGCCCGACTTGTACGGAGACATCAGCCTGAGCTCGGCCTCGGCAGCCAACACCAGATCAGCCAGTTCGCCTATGGCAAGGAGCATTTGTATTTTGACAGCAATATGCACGGTATATATATATATTGGATCTTTCTTTTATTTTATTCAGACCAGGGAAGAGTCCCTCTTATCCTGATATCTATTATGGAACAAAATAAAAACGGTATTGGAGTTTGATGCGAACAGCCCTTCTGCCCCAAATAAGTTTCAGAAATACATTCTGAGAATGGGGGAGACCACCGATTTTTTGAAAAGACATTATCGTCAACTCTATACTGAAAAACTACCAGTGAATTAATTTTGAATTTTTTCATTCATGCTAAGACAATGAAAAAAATAAATTAGAATGTGTCCATTTCAAAACACACAATTCCTGCGCCATTTGAAATGGTGTCAATTGATTGGTACGACTGGTGCGACGTATGAGTCCCAACACGCCTATTGTCCTTGAGCTGACCAATCACACTGCAACACTGCAGAATGGCAAGGCATCAGAGAGAGATAGCTACAGATCGGGACTAATACGTCACGGCTCCACCATCATATTTGGCTTTTTGAAATATCGAATGAAATATGCTGATTTCAAAACGATATAGATTCGATTCCCTTTAACTTAAACTCATAATATTGATTGTACATAACACGCAAATCATGATTCGTCGATTGAAAGAGGTTTGCACGGATTTCTTCCCTCAGTGGTCTTCCCCATTGAAAGAGATCGAACGGAATGAATAAATATCAAAAACTTGAGAATAGTAAATTTGGTCATAATGTCGATATTTTCTCTAGTTTATGGACAATCTCGGTCTTTTGAACTTTGATTGATCACCTGAGTCATAATCAACTGTATTTTAGGAGAAGCTTATTCTCATAAACCTCAGCTTTTTCGAGTCTTGATGTTTCTTTCTCTAATGACTGACACGATTGAAGGGAGTTTCAGATCCCTGGCGATCTGGTTATTCCGAACATACCAAGGAGATCCTGTCACCATTCTCCCGATTTTGTTTTGTAATGTTTGTAATCTGGTGATATGAGATTTAGCTGTGTGGCCCCAGACTATTGAGGCATACAGTAAAATTGGCCTGATAGCCATGATATAAATATTCAATTTTTTTCTCAATGCACGGTAAAAATTATAGAAAGCTATAATGATTTACTCGAAATCAAACATCAAATCAAAATGTCAATTTGACGTTTTGAAAACTTCAACCTGAAATTGACCATTTTGACAAATATTTCATCGAAACAAATTAATTATCAATGTATTCAGTAAACTAGTACCATTAACAAGCAAACGAATTTTGGGTCAATGAACAGACAATATTATACCACTCTTATACTGCATATAAGTATTTGAATGTTGGGGACCATCGGTATCTCTAGGGACAATAAAGGGTTATGATTTCTCTTCATACACTGTCAACTCAATTTGTCGAACTCAACAAACTGTTGGTTCAAACCTGATTCATACATTCTAGGCTTTTCTAGCTTGTCTGCAATACTGGATGTTTCTGGATATTCCTTATGGAGCTTTGTTACTCTGGTCTGCTGCTTTCCTATAGACTATTGTCTATTGAATAACGAAATTTCCATTTAATCTTCAATCCCAGTTTTTCTATGATACTTGAACATTTTCTATAACTAAATTTTGTTCAGCTACCGAACAAATTATTCAATATGCTGATGATACTAATATACTCATGTATGTAATGATGAAATTGAACAACTCATTGAGAACAGTAACAAGGCATCATATGAATTTGATCAGTAGTGCAAAGAAAATGGACTAACACTGAATGTGACAAAAACTCATTTCATGCGTTTTCTGCCAAAAAATGTAACACCTGATTATGAGCCGTATTTACACATAAACAAGAAATCCATTGAGAGTGTTGAAACTATCAAATTCTTGGGAATAACATTAGATCCAAAGCTCACTTGGGAAGCGCATATAAACATTGTAACTACAAAATTGAGTACTCATTGTTATATGATAAGAAATCTTAGAGAAACTGTATCATTTCACATATTAAAACTTCTCTATTATGGACTAGTGCAGTCAACCCTCCAATATGGTTTAATATTTTGGGGTGCTTCACCTCACTTCGATAGAGCTTTTGTAGCTCAGAAGAAAGTCTTGAGAGCTATGTATAATGTGTCACCAATAACATCATCTAAACCACTTTTTAAAAAATCAGAGATTCTGACGTTACCTAGTCTTTTCATTTTTCACTTGATACTGTATGTCAAAGGAAATGAGGAAGCTTTTGACAAAAATGAAGATATACATTCATATAACACAAGACAAAAATCAAATATCCATCAACCATTCTCACGGCTACACATAGGTCAGCAGTCACCAAAGCACATTGGAATTAAGTGTTTCAATAAGATCAATAACATAATGATGAATGTAAACTCAAATAATGTAAGAAACTTCAAGCAGAAGGTCCACTCATTTCTAATTTCTAATGCATTTTATAGTGTTGAGGAATTCCTCAAATTTTAAAAAAATCTGTGTGTACCTATTAATATTAATTATTGTCCTATATAATAATGTTCCTTTTGGATATAATTACTATTCTATAGCATGTCATTGTCCGTTGTTTGTCCATTTTGTTTTTTGTGAACTGACTAGTCTGATAGGATGGTGCATTGTACTATATCTTTGTCATATGTGTAATGTATAGTCCTCATAGATGAATAAAATTCTTTCTTTCTTTCTTTCTATAATGAATAACTTTCATACATGTGTTTCTGTTTCCGGGAACAACATCAGAAGTAACGGAAATTCTGAAATACCTGTTGCTTGACATTGCCCCATATCCGTATTTCTGTACCCTTCGAGGCATTTGCACGCGGTCTGGTTCTGTCTGACCTCGACGCAGATCTGCGAACAGCTGTTCCACTTGCAGGCGGACACAGAACAGTCCGTCTCGTCGCTGTTGTCTTCGCAGTCGTTGGAGCCGTCGCATTTCAAGGTCGTATCGATGCAGCGACCGTTCTTGCAAGCGAATTGTTTCGAAGGACACAGTCCATAACTGAAAAAATAATTTGTCTCAGAAAGCTATCTGTCGTTTCCTGTAGGGTCCCTTGATGCAAACTGACGTATTTGTCATTGGGTCCCTTGATGCAAACTGACGTATTTGTCATCTTAACAGGGTACGGACAGATCCTCGTCTCCTCTCACTCTAAAGTGTTCGTGAAGCAGTTATATAGATCCATACTAATTCAATTCTGGGGATAAACACTAGATTTGTGACATTTGTTGTTTTTTAGATTATATTGAGGTCACTGGCGTATTATACGTAATTTCCATATGGAATTCCTGATTCAACAATACCAAGATATAGATGAACAATCCTTTAGTTTCATAGTTTACTACTCCAGCATAATCTTTGCGAGGTAGGGAACATATGAATTGTACTGAAAGCTTAATATATTTCGCCAAAAGAGACTGTTCTTAGACTGTATACCAGGGTGGACTAAATTGACTGAATGAATTCTGATTTCCAGCTGAGCAGTAGTTCATCTATGAGCAGACTGAGCTGAGCCTTATGATTGATAAATGGCGAAAGCCTCGATGTGGGTATCTAAACTACTGTACTCATGTCATGTGTTTATTGTTTATTGAAAAACTAGCTTCCAGTCAGAAATAAAATTCTGGTATGAGGAAGTTGATTACAAACAACAATAATAAAATAATATATTTTTGGAAATCCAACTCGGAGAAGAATTTTTGGAGTGACTGATATCATACTATGTATAAAACTTCGTCTAGAACGAAAAGTGGGAAAACCCCAGATACCTTCCAATTTTGAATAGAATCGGATCATAATTACAAAACTCGTTCGCCATAATTATGATCTTCCTCGACAAGTAGATACACTGTACATACCTATTATTAAAATTTTGAATGATTTTCTGTAGCGCCCATGGATGTGACGTGACAGCAATGTCAGGGATGCCAGTAGACAAAACTAAAGTATCTAGATCATTAAAAAATAATGCAGTTATGATCTGTCCGTACCCTATTAAGATGACTTCAACGTCAATTTCCATCAAAGGACCCTAGTTTCTAGGTGCTTCTAATCAGCTATTATCGAATTCGTGCAACATCAACGGGATTCTTCAGGTCCCAGAAGAAGGGAAACACATCATTGAAAGCCTAATTCAACTACATAATACGAGCATTCAATTGTTCATATCAAGAGCTAGACTGACGAAACAATTGAAGAGTGGGCACACCAGAGGAAGAACACAATTATAGTGCCGTTATATAAACAAGGTAACAGTGAACTCACTACAAATTACAGGCTAATAGCCTTGACCTGGGCGCCCCATGAAAACCTATTTTATTTTTTCAATCCAAAACCGTTTGTTTAACAAAAAAAGTCAGGAGGTTCTTTCTGTTAGCAACTAATAAAAGATTACAAAACTGGTTTTCATTTTGATGAAAAACAGTGGCGTGCCATTTTTTAATGTAATAAAATTATATTTTGGTCAATATCAACGGTTCAAAGAAAGGAAGATTATAAATTATTTTCATTAAATTATTTCATTGAATTATAGAGAAATTCATCCCCTCTCAAAACATATAGAAATTGATTAACCATTACAATTTTTTTTCAACTCAAAAATTTGCTTACATTTCAGTTAACGCCATCTAGCGGCGACAGCAAAAGTCAAGAATTGAAAACCAAATAGGCGTTTCGTAGGGCAAATTATGCTCTTTCATATAAGCCTAAGTTTGCTAAAATCGGTCGAAATAAACGGTAAAAATCATGGTTTGTTTAAAAAAACAATTGAACTTCCCCCACCGCTTTATTTTGATAGACAGAACAAAACGTTTTAGACAAAAAATGTAGAGAAATGGTCAGTTAATATGAAAATGATATCATCGATAAACTTTCATTAGACAAAATTCTATAAAAATCCCATTTTTCTACTTGGTATTGGTTGTTACGCCCTCTACCCTACCGCACGTTTGACAAACTCGAAAATAATTTCCAGCAAATTCTCTTGGCGACATTCATCATGATTTTTTTTCTCAAATCCATACGACCAATATGTTATGAGATCTGGCCGCTCGCTACCCTTAACTGATCACCCTGTACCTGAGATACTGAATAAAATAAATGAATAAATTATAAACATCTCAACACCCAGCATCTGAATACTCACCGTCTGCAAATGTGCTTGTCCTCGTCGCTGCCGTCCCCGCACTGGTCCCGCCCGTCGCACAGCGACGCCTCCGGCACGCAGCGGTGGTTCTTGCAGCGGAACCTGCCCTCGGGGCAGGCGATCGAGAAGCAGGCGCGCTCGTCCGACCCGTCGTCGCAGTCGAGCTGCCCGTCGCAGCGCCACTGCGCATCCACGCATGCGCCGTCCGCGCACTTGAAGCCGCCGTGCGGGCACGCGTCCGGGCAACCCTGCTCGTCGGAGCCGTCGGGGCAGTCCACTTCGCCGTCACACTTCCAGGACCTGTTTGGAAGGGAACGTGGCTTTGAGTTTTTGGCATCATCGAAGGAAACAACATTATCAGTGTACTAAGAAGATCAATATTTGGGTATCTGATACCCGAACATATTGCTTGTTGACTGTATTTCAATGCTCTGGGTTTTAATGGCTGTTACTTTACCTACCTTGGTCAACTCTTATTCCGTGGTATATTCATCGATAATTTTCCATCAAAGAAATGAACAAAATATTAATTTGAATATTAAAATAAAAAATGAAAGATTGAAACAAACTGCCTATACCAAATACCTTGGTATCTGGATTGATGAAAAGTTATCATGGGACAAGCATATTGGCACGCTCAAAGAAAAAATGTCTCCCATAGTTGGTGCCCTAGGAAGATGTCCAAAACTTATCCCAAATATAGCAAATACCGTTCTATACTCTCACATCCTTAGTAAAATGTATCTCATGAATTTTTGGGGTTCATGTTCCAAGAATAATTTTAACAAAATATCTGTACTATATAAAAAAGTGTATCGTCTTCCATATGACACCCCATCAAATCAACTTTATGAAGAAACAAATACATTTTCTTTGGAAGAGCACTATCTGATAAACACTCTTAAAATGTCTTCTGATATTATCAACAACTAAAAAATAACTTCATATTGGTAAGGAATTCTCAAATCCATGAACATCATACTAGACAAATATGACTTGTTTCATCTTGATACTGCTAATTTTACACTTGGCCAAAAAAAGTTCACTCACGGAGCTATCTCAAAATTCAATGAAGTAGCTGATGATATCAAAAGTTGCACAAATATCACCCAATTCAAAATTGAAGTCAAGAAACATATCCTCTTGCAAAGAGAAAATCAAACCTCAGTGAATGATTCCTCATTCACTAATTGATTTCATCATGTCATAATGTACTTTTCATGAGCTTTTTGTTTTATTATTATTATTATTATTATTATTATTATTGATAACTTAGATTTAATGACGCATGAATAATCTCATACCAGATATGAATCTGTCTGATTATTCATGTTATTTCATTGTAAATGTTAATGAAACATATTTATATTCATGGCAAAGAATGGAATAAATATATTATTATTATAATTGTTTTCAGGTTTGCTCAACTGTTCTCTACATGCATCCCCCCTCCTACCTCCATATTCTTTAACTTTGACTTATGCCAACGTCTTGTCTACGTTATTATTTGACATTATTTTCAGTGTTTTCTAACCCCATTACTTTAGATTCCAACATGTGCTGGCTGTTTGCTCCATCAATTTTATTGATATTTTATTTTAGTAGCGCTAAGGTTCATAAGGGAACGGAGAACCCCTTTTCCAAAAAAAACCGTTATTTTATAGTGTCAATAAAAAACTTTTTGGCGAGTACCCTTCATATACCAATTCGGTATATGAAATTTCGATAGGATGAATTGTATACGCTCTCAGAGCACGGGGCCCTTTATTTATTGAGAACCCGAATTTTCATTTATAAACTCGATTTCTCGACTAAGGGCATTGAAAAAAAATTCCACAGCTAGTAGAATTACATTTTTTCAACTCCAAGTAAGTCAAGAACAAATTATGTAAATCTTTCACATCAATCTTTTTGTATCGTAGAACTTTCATTTAGGCTGAAGATGGTCTTGTATAAGACCAATACATGTCCCTTCTGATTGTGTAACAACACCACTAAAATTTGTGGAGATGACTTCGACCATTGCTCCCTTCCTTTGATATTGTTTGTAGGTTTCGCTTCAATTCGTAAATTTACATTGGTTGATAAAACTTACAAAAATATGCAGATTTTAGGATTGGCACACTGGAATTCATTGTTCTTGCATTGGGTGACGCAGTCTGCCTCATCTGATCTATCATCACACTGGTATTCGCCGTCACATTTCATGTCACCGCGAATGCATTTTCCATTTTTACATCTGAATTCGGATTCTGAACATATTCTGGGAACACAACCTGGAAAGATTGAAATAACATTATTTAAAGAGAATGCCAGTTCTAAATTTTAGAAGATTTTCATTTTGGGTGTCCAACAAATATAAATCAATGTTCTACGAGGAAAGTAGTTGTTTTCTGTTGTATATTCCGAATCATATCATACAGGGTGTTAACAAATAAGTGTCACAACGGGAAACTGTAGATTCCTCATAGTGAAATAAACATTTCTTTTCTCTTCAAAATTTTTCTCCGGGCTTCCGTTTTCAAGATACAGGGCGTCAAAAAATCAAAAATGTTCAGTTTGATTAAACACAATTTACAACACTTAATGAACTTGACAATCTGAAAACCAGCTTCGAGACCAGCATACTCAAGAACCTGACATTTTATTGAACATATTATTAGACAGTTCTGAGGTGTTCATTTCCAGTGGATTATTAGACGATTTTTGGAGATTCTCAGGATTTTGTATGTTCTTATTCATAAAGAGCCATTTTTCGCGGAAACTGTTCACTTTAGAGCATTGAGACAAGAGGATGTTTTTTGTGTAAAAAATATTGGCGCTTCAGAATCTACTTTGAAAATTATAATTTCTCCAGTGGCATAAATGTTTGGGCGGTTAGACCCTTACGAGGCGTTGCATTCTCCTCCACTGATATGTCCAAGGAAATTGATCAAGAGCCCTAAACGTAGTCATTATTGATGATGAAGTGTGTACGAAGGCTCAACTCCGTAGCTCAAACGGTTCCTGATATAGAAGTAAAAAAACGATTTTTTTTGTATATTTTTGACGCCCTGTATCTTGAAAACGGAAGCCCGGAAAAAAATTTCGAAAGGGAAAAAAATGTTTCTTTTTTCATGAGGAATCTACAGTTTTGACACTTATTTGTCAACACCCTGTATAATACAGTCGATGAATTATTCAATAAACAGTTCTCGATATAGGTTAGGTTAGGTTCCATGTGAGTGGGGCGAACACCTCCCCTCCACTGCGACCCCAGATGGGTCTATTGTGGCTCAACCCTAGAGGTTACAGTTCACCGTACAATCCACATCTTTTTACAAAGTTCATGGTTGAATTGGGTGAGATTTGTCTGAAATCGATAGGTTCTAGGTTGGTAAAGCCAAATGTGTCGAACCTTAGTCTTTCTAAGCTAGAGCATGCACATAATATGTGTTCAGCCGTTTCGTCTTCCACACAACAGAACCGACAGTCCGTTTGTTGGTTCAGACCCATCCTTCCCAGGTGGTATCTTAGACGACAGTGTCCCGTAAGCAGTCCAGTTCTCGATATAACTATTAGAGTTTTTTTTTTATCGCTTGAAGCGCACGAAAGGAGATTCCTATAATGTTCAAAGAACATCGTGCGTTCCTAGGGAGGATAGGGACAGGAGGTAGGTATTGGATTTTTTTTTGGAACTTCTGGAGATTATATGTTGTTGACAATACTTCCTCAGGCAATGAATTCCAGAGACTAGCCATACTATGGCTCTGGAGCGAACACAATCTGAGCTAGAGCTGCACGAAAATCTCACTCACCATCCTCGTCGCTGCCGTCGCCGCAATCCTCCTCGTAGTCGCACCGCCACCTGCCCGGCACGCACTTATTGTTCTTGCACTTGAAGTAGGTGGGCTCGCAGGCGTGGTGGTCGGGACGTGCGCACGCCGCCGGCTCGTCCTCGCCTTCGGCGCAATCGGGGTCGCCGTCGCACAGCCAGGCGCGCGGTACGCACCTGCCCGACCGGCACCGGAAGTGATGGGCACCGCACGTCCGCGATTCGCAATCCTGTCAAAGATAATACACTTCAGACTAATGGTGGATTTATAAACTCAACTAAACTACAAAGAGACTATCTAAAGTCACTTCATATTGAGTTATAGGATCGAAAGAAAAATGGAGAGCAGAATATTACAATCCGTTATAAGTTTGGTGTTCCTCAAATTGTAAAAACTATCAAAACAGTGCATAAAACTGAAAAGACATCTGAATGTGTACTGCCAAAATGCTGGTGGTCTCCGTACTAAAATTGATAGCCTAAAACATGCAGTCAACTTATGTATCTATGATGTGTTTATTCTAGTGGATCCTTGGCTCACTGATGAAATCTCCAACAGCAAAATCAGTTTCAGTGACTTCAATATACAGGGTGTCCGCTAAAAGGAGGTCAATCCATTAACCACATATTCCTTGAACAAAAACAATATGAGTTTCTAAATATCATTTTTCATTTTAGCCCTTCATATTCGATATACAGGGTGTCAAAGTTGGAAATTAAAAACTGTTTTCTTCTAATTACTGGCGTATTTGATGAGATATTATTCTTAAAATTGGTACATTACTTCATCACAAAGAGTTACATCATGTGAGGAAAACAAAACAGAAAATAACTGTCAAATATTCAAGATAATGGGGGCAAGTTCACACTTACCCCCATATTTTGTTTGTACGTGCGCTAATGACTTCCTATCTATTTTCCTTCAAGTGTTCAATCATTTTTGAATATTTTTTGTTCCCTGTAAAATTTCGATTGAATCATTTGTTTTTAAGATGATTCGAAAAGTACTGGTTATTGTTTGATGCCTATGCGGCTTAGGTAATCTCATAATGTTCACATACTCCTATTTATTTCGTCGAAATTGAAAGAGGGCGTATCTTTTTACGTACGAAAAGGTAAATATGGAAATACCGGGTGCTCGGAGCAAATGTACTAAAATAATTTTTACAAAAAAAAAAATTTAAAAAGTGTAAAAATTATTTTAATACATTCGCTCTGAGCACCCGGTATTTCCATATTCACCTTTCCGTACGTAATAAGATACGCCCTCTTCCAATTTCGACGAAATAAATAGGAGTATGTGAACATTATGAGATTACCGTAAGCCGCAAGGCATCAAACAATAACCAGTACTTTTCGAATTATCTTAAAAACAAATAATTTTATCGGAATTTTACAAAAATCAAAAAATACTCAAAAATGATTGAACACATGAAGAAAAATAGATAGGAAGTCATTAGCGCACGTACAAAAAAAATATGGGGGTAAGTGTGTACTTGACCCCCAGTATTTTGAATATTTGACAGTTATTTTCTGTTTTGTTTTCCTCACACGATGTAACTCTTTGTGCTGAAGTAATGTACCTATTTTGAGATTAATATCTTATTAATTACGCGAGTAATTAGAAAAAAAACAGTTTTTAATTTTCAACTTTGACACCCTGTATATCGAATAAGAAGGGCTAAAATGAAAAATGGTATTTAGAAACTCATATTATTTTTGTTCAAGGAATATATGGTTAATGGATTGACCTCCTTTTAGCGGACACCCTGTATATTGGTGTGATCGGAATGTGCTGACTAGTACCAAGAGTAGAAGTGGGGGCATACTTATCGCTACACGTAAATGTTACGTGACTAGTATGATCGATATTGAGAATCATGGTGTTGACCAACTATTTGTCAGCTTGAAACACGGCCCCAACAAATACATCATGGGATGAGTGTATATTCCTCCCAGATCCAGTCTGGATATCTACGAAAACCACATGGATGGTATCTTTGAAGTGTGTACCTCACACCCCAACTATGAATTGGTCATATTTGGTGACTACAACATACCAGATGCAACTTGGATTAGAGGCGACAGTGAACATGAAATAATTTGTCCAGAGTCATCTCCTGGTAAATACTTCTCTGACTCTTATATTGCTTTAGGTTTATCACAGGTTAAATGTATCCCTAATAATTATCATGTATTTTTGGACCTAATTTTTTCACATATACCCTATCTTGTACCATCATAATGCATATTGCTTTATGCTGTCACTTCATAATGAGGACATTTACCTTAAATATGACAATGATTATCTCCATTTTAGGATGTGTAATGCAGTTGGTATTAATGATTATTTGGGAATGGCTGACTGGAGTGCATTATCAAGTCCTCATTTATGATATGTTTATGTATCCCTATGTTTCTTGGAGTTATAAAGACATTAGAGAAAAAAATCTAAAATACCTGTTCCTCGTCGGAATTGTCCGAGCAGTCGTTGTCCCTGTCGCACACCCACACGGCCGGTATGCACTTGTCGTTGTCGCACTTGAACTGGTTGGGGGGGCACGTGGCGGGCGGGCAATCGGCCTCGTCCTCGCCCAGGGCGCAGTCTACCACCTTGTTGCACCGCTGCTTCGACGCGATGCACACCGGGGGCACTGTACCGTTGCCTTCGCACCTTGGAAGGGAGAGAAAAAATTAGGAAAAAACAATTATATGATTTTTTTGGGCCTAATAAAATGCAGAGAAAGTGAGCCATTTATACTAATCAATGTATGATGATTAGTTATGCCATTGTCGATCTAAATTGCATGATATGTCGGGTCGATTCCACAGGTCGATTCCAATAAATAATACTAATAATAAAGTTTATTCAAAATGTTAATATAATATAAATTGAAAGTATATATAATGGTATTAAATAATCAAAAAAAAAACCTAACGAATAACTTATGGAAGGCACTGTCTATTGACTTCAAGAGATATAATTCTGAGAGGGTCATAGCACAGCTACGACTTTGTTAGTCGAAAACAAGAAAACAGCGAACAGTAATCAAAAATTGTTTTACCTAAATTGGGTATTGAGACAGGTGTAGTGTTCGCAATCGCTCTCGTCCGATTTGTCCCCGCAATCGTCCTTCCCGTTACACAGATCCGACGGGTGTATGCAATGCTCGTTCTTGCACTGGTATTGGCCCGGCCTGCACTGGAATTTCGGGCAGTCTGCCGGCTCATCGCTGCCGTCCCCGCAATCATCTTGGGTGTCACATTTCCACCAGAAAGGAATGCACCTGATAATGAAAAGCAATATTATCTGTAACCCTTGAATATCAACATAAACAGGATGATCCACCTCCATCTGAAATGTTGGGGTCACATTTGAGGAGCAAAGATGCAAAAGCCCATAAATTCACTTTTGGTGATTTTGAAATGATTGATAAAAACCTCCATAGGGAGATCCCAAGAAATATTATTTCAACTGAATTCAGATATTTGTATATCATCAACCATAAACTCCAAATATTGATATCGCAATATTAGTCACTTTGAAAAAAAATACACCAGATGTACCTAAAGCTCCAGATCTGATCAATAACATTGACCCCTGGTGTACTGTAGGTACCTTCTGTGCCTTTCTTCACTGTTGCTACCTATACCTCTTCACAAACATAGTTGGTAGGAGTAGGTGAAGTAAATCACCTACATAAAAAATCTGGCACCTATTGTATCCGTTATAGGTACCAGAAGTTTTTGTCCGAAAAGCGCCAAAGTAAAGTCAGTTGTAGTATTACCGGGGTAGCAATCGGGTGGGACCAATTCCCACCCCCCTCTCACAAGACTCCCACAGGGATAACTGTCGGTCACCTATCTTTCGACTTATACCGACAGCACCCCAGGGAGAAATAGAGGATTTGGATACGCAAAATCAGCGCGCTAGAGCCATCTCCGTTATGTAACGGCATGTTCTCCTGCTACCATTTTATTATACCAATGGTGAGGCCGTCTGATAAGACAGACTACTGACTCTACAATGTCAGTGCCCGAGCAGAAACGCTGCTCATCCGCCGAGACAGGCAAGATATTCTCCCACTTGACCCATAGTGGGATTCTTCTTCACCTCCTCTACCTTAGTCCGGTGGTGTTTTTGGAAACCGCTGCCCCCTGGAGTCCAACCCAATTGGTGAGGCACCAGGCCTTATGTACGACCTGATGGGGCTATCCTCATCACCCCAGGTACCCATGTCTACCAGATTCATCTTGTTACGTTTGATGGATCACCGAGAGGCTTTGGCCTGATTGCTACTCATGTTGACAAGAATCCTCTCGTCCCGTTGAATGAGTGATCGTTCGAGGACTTTTACACGTTCCTTTCCCTCGATTACAGGAGAGGACCTGGCTTTGCCTACGATGACTGGCGGTAGGATCGCTTGGAACTGCCCCCTCCCTGACGAACTAAAGTACACCAGAGTTCCAATTTTCGCTGAGCAAGCCCAGCTACCCATGTCGACCGGAATCCTCCAGTCTCGTTTGATGGGTGTCTGTTCGCGGCCTTTCCCACGTACCGCTACCATGACAAGAGTGGGGACCTCAAGCTTTTAGCCAGTGGTATCTGGAGTCATCTGGGGCTACCCCCACCTCAACGCCGTGAGTAAATGGTGGGCTCACGGCCAGCCAAAGTAGAGACAAAAGAAATGAAGCCTCTTACACTATATTACTCACTTACCTAAAGCTCGACTTGCACTCGAAATGGGCTGTCGTGCAATTCGCCTCGCAGCTGCGGTTGTCTTTCCCGAGCACGAAATTCTCGGGACAGGCGCAGGTGTAGTGGGGCTCGTGAGGTATGAGCAGGCACAGCGCTGAGCAGTTCGCCTCGGCACAGGGATTCCTCTTGACGGCCGGCTGCCGGAAGGGGTGGACCACCCGGACGTCCATCGGTCGGTGGACGGTCGACAGAATGGATTTGCAGTCGTCTCCGGTGTATTTGTTGCACCTGGAATCAGTATATACAACGATTGAAACAAACTGCCTATACCAAATACCTTGGTATTAGAATAGATGAAAAGTTTACATGGACAAGCATATTGGCAAGCTCAAAGAAAAAAATTCTTCCATATTTGGTGCCCTAAGATGTCCAAAACTTATCCCAAATATAGCAAATACCGTTCTATACTCTCACATCCTTAGTAAAACGAACTATCTCATAAATATTTGGAGTTCATGTTCCAGGAATAATTTTAACAAAATATCTGTACTTTATGAAAAAGCTATAAAAGTACTGTATCGTCTTCCATATTACACCTCATCAAATCAACTTTATGAAGAAACAAATACATTTTCTTTGGAAGAGCACTATCTGATGAATACTCTGAAAATTTCTTTTGATATTATCCACAAACACCTCAAATCTAACTTCATATTGGTAAGGAATTCTCAAAATAATGAACATCATACTAGACAATATGACTTGTTTCATCTTGATGCTGCTAATTCTACACTTGGTCAAAAAAGTTCACTCACGGAGCTATCTCAAAATTCAATGAATTACCTGATGATGTCAGAAGTTACACAAATATCACCCAATTCAGAATTGAACTCAAGAAACGGTTCCTCTTGCAAAGAGAAAATCGAACCTGAATGAATGATTTATCATTCACTAATTTATTTCATAATGTCATAATGTACTTTTCATGAGCTTTTTGTTTTATTATTATTATTTTTGAATCATTTGTTTATTTCAATAACTTAGACCAGATATGAATCTGTCTGATTATTGATGTTATTTCATTGAAAATCTCAATAAAATATATTTATATTTATATAGGAGATGCAATGTAATGTTTATAGCAAAGAATGAAATAAATATTATTATAATGATATTTGTAGGAGTTGGTTAAGAGGGATCCATACCCACTTTTAGAAAAAAAAACATTGATGGGAATAATTTTCTTGATTATTCGGGAAGAATTTTGGACGAAGGAAATGAAACCGGAATTAGAAATATTTCCCATTTGCCTGAACTGATAGATCCAAAATACCTCTATAACAAGTTCTTGTAGGCAGGACGATGACAGGTGGTTGGACAATTTTACGAAGAATAGAAGATTTTCAAAGATTGAATTCGAGCTGTCCGTGGATATTTCAAAGCATATTTCAATTTTGAAAATACGGATTATATTCCATCATACTTCCCACAAAAACAATTATATATGCAATGTTTTGATGAGTGTTATTAATTTTCTTGGTTTTGTTGAAGAAAAATTTGATCTCATTGTAATTTTAGTCCATAGTTATGGGATTTGCTTTATAGCAAACACATTCACGTCAAACATTGGTAAACAATCTATATCTCACAATGAGTTGAAAATGTACATTGCTCAATCAATCAATCAATTTCATTATTCCCAAAAAACAACATGTTTTATATTTATAGCAAGAAGATTATAAAATCAATCATAAACAATACCTGACTAGGACAATTTGTTTGAAATAATATTTGGCATGATTTGATTACTCAGAATTGAAATGTAACAACTTCCATATAAAGAAAGAGTAAGAATTTGTTTCCACTGATCGGAATTCATTATTTAACCTTTTATAATTTTTTTATGATTTTTCAATATCCTTATTATAAATAGTAATGTTTCTTGTGGTAATAAAGATAATTGTAGGATACGACTCTGTATTATCCATATCAGTTTATCTTTTATTTTGAATAAGTGTTGCTATAGTGAGATGTAAAGATTATTAACAAAAAAATAATAAATCTTCGAGTTGGGGAATATAGTTTATATCGAAGATTCATCGAAGTATTTGATGATATTGTTACGATTTTTACTCTGGGTCCGTAATAATTTAACACTCGGTAGAACACTTAAAACGATTTATTCTGAACACTACTATACAATAATAACAATACTCGTACTAAACACTTCCGATTCAAAACACTTCTTCGATCGTTATTATAACGCTTCCAAATAAAGACTTCTCTTCCTGTCCCTAACAACAACTATTTATACTACCTAATAAAACGTCTAGATTCCACTCGAAATATCGTGAACAGGTCGATAATCTTCTCGAGTCATCTCAATAGCCGTCGAATCACCTAATTACTATTCCAAGAAATATGGCCTTGTTTACTTCCCGTTCCCGCAGGTAGCTGGGATCGATTGCCAGGGTCGTAACATTTACCCCCTTCTTCAAATTTGATCGTCCCGATCAAAAACAGAACTCTCCTCACCATGGTAGCGCTTCAGTCTTTCAAGATGAACGACTTTCATCTTTGTCCTAGGGCTGCGTTGGATTCTGTAGACCACATCATTGATCCTTTTCAACACCGTATACGGTCCTTCCCAAGATGGTGTTAATTTGGGTGATACGCCTTTCTTCCGTCGAGGATTATACAGCCAAACTCGATCTCCTTCGAAGAATCCCTCTGAATTGGCTTTGAGATCGTACCGTGCCTTCATTTTGTCACTTGCTAATTTCAATCTCTTCCGAGCAGTCTCATGAGTTTTCATCAAGGCATTCCGGAGCTCATCTGCGTAGTCTTGTACTTCCTTTTCTTCAACACTTGGTGAACCGAACACCAAGTCACAAGGTAAGCGGAGTTCTCTGCCAAAGACTATACTAGCTGGAGTTAGCTTCGTTGAATCATGGACAGCTGCTCTATACGCCATCAGGAATAAGGGAAGATGCCTGTCCCAGTCCCTCTGATGCTCTTCGACTACTTTGGAAAGATGTTCTTCCATAGTTCGGTTGAATCTTTCGACCATGCCATCGGATTGTGGATGTAGTGGAGTTGTTCTCGTCTTACTGATTCCCATTAGATCACAGACCTTTTTGAATAAGTTCGACTCAAAATTTCTCCCTTGATCAGAATGTAATTCCATTGGTACTCCGAACCGTGAAAACATGTTGTCGACCAATATCCTGGCAACTGTGGAGGCTTCTTGGTTTGGCATGCCGAATGCTTCTACCCACTTACTGAAGTAGTCCATAGCAACCAAGATGTATTTATTTCCATCATCAGTCAAAGGGAATGGTCCGGCTACATCGATGGCGATCCTTTCAAACGGTGCTCCCACATTGTATTGCTTCATTCCAGCTCTTGATCTTGTTCTGGGACCTTTACTGGCTTCGCATACAGGACATCTTCTACACCAACTTTCCACGTCGTCACGACATTGAACCCAGTAAAATCTTTCTCGAATTTTACTCAATGTCTTGTTAACTCCAAAATGTCCACCAGATTTTCCGCCATGGACTTCTTCCAGAACTTCATTAACTCTGATGTGGGGCACAACCAGCTGAGAAATTGTTGATCTACCATCAGCTGATTCCCAAACTCGCTTCAATAATCCATTCTCCACAACTAGTGAGTCCCATTGTGCCCACATCGCCTTGAAAGCAGGCCCTCTATCCGAGATATCCTTCCATGTCGGTCTTTCTGATCCTCTTTCTTTCCAACGTAGAAAATCGGCGATATTCGGATCGTTCTCCTGATCTCGTCTCATGTGTGCTGCTGTCCACTTATCATCGGTCACAAGTCTGGTTTTTCTAACATCAGCGGTTCCTTCTCGATGTTCAATGCGCAGACAATGCTTACAGGTTTCCGAACAAGGTCTTCTGGACATGGCATCTGCATTCTGGTGTAGTTTTCCTGGGCGATGCTTAATCTTGAAGTGATACTGGTTCAGCTTTTCCAGCCATCTTGCTATTTGACCTTCAGGATTCTTCATCTCCATCAGCCACCTCAAAGCTGCATGATCCGTCCTAATGAGAAATTCTCTCCCGTATAAGTATTTGTGGAAATGGTCAACAGCCTTAACAATTGCCAGCAGTTCTTTCCTGGTGACACAATAATTCCTTTCTGGTTTGGCCATCACTTTGCTGTAGTATTCTATAACCTTTTCTTGACCATTCTGTACTTGTGATAGCACGGCTCCAATTCCGATGTTACTCGCGTCTGTGTCCAAAATAAACAAGCCTCTCTCTTGTGGGAACCCCAAAATAGGACTCGAACAGAGGCCAGCCTTCAATTTCTTGAAGGATTTCTCACATTCTACAGACCAGCTGAAGTTGACTCGATCTTCTGTCAATCTATGGAGTGGTGCCGCAATATCAGCAAATCCTTCCACAAAACGACGGTAGTAAGTGCACAATCCCAAGAAACTTCTAACTTCATGTTTGTCCTTCGGTCTTGGCCAGTCTCGAATGGCTTGAATCTTTGTCTCGTCAGTTTGTATTCCTTCTGACGTTACCGTGTGGCCCAAGAAATCTACTCGTTTCTGGAATAGTGAACATTTCTTCAGGTTCAGTTTGAGGTTGGCATTCCTGAACCGCTGAAACACTTCCCGTAGGTTCTTCAGGTGTTCCTCGAAATTCTTTCCCATGACCAAAACATCGTCCAGATATACCAGGCAAGTTTTCGAAGTGAGCCCACGCAGTACCAATTCCATCAGCCTTTCGAAGGTTGCTGGGGCATTACATAGTCCAAAAGGCATCACAGTAAACTGGTACAGTCCATTAACAGTCGTAAAAGCAGTCTTCTCCTTATCTTCTTCGTGAATGCCCACTTGCCAGTATCCGCTCTTCAAGTCCAGTGTCGAAAACCATCGGGAGCCAGCCAAAGTAGTCAAAGTGTCATCAATCCTTGGTAACGGGTAGCTATCCTTCTTGGTGACGTCATTGAGCTTCCTATAATCCACACAGAATCTTGTGGAACCATCCTTCTTGGACACTAATACAACCGGTGCAGACCAAGGGCTGGATGATTCTTCAATTACCCCATCCTTCATCATTTTGTCAACCAGCTGTTCCACCTCCTGTTGCTTAGCAAATGGCATTCTTCTTGATGGTTGCCGAATTGGGTGAGCTTTACCAGTATCTATTCTGTGCTTGACCAAGTTCGTCCGCCCTGTTGATGTTGATTCAAAGATATCACTTTCGTCTGCTATGAATTTCTTGGCAGCTTTATATTCTGTTGGTGATAAGTGGTCCAAGGAGGTTTCCAGAACTTTCAATGCACTGTCATCTCGTTCCCTCCATCTCTGCTCGTTAGTCTTATCACATTTTGCTACCCAACTGACTGGTTCACAAGCTCCGATAATATCTCCTTCCCTTACTGTTATGGTGGTAGGTAAAACATTTGCTACCCTCACAGGAATGTCTCGTTCGGTGGTCACTAAAGCTCGGGCAAGTAACAGCTTGCTGGGGGATTCCTCACATGACTGTACTAATCCAACGCAGCGCCCAGGGTCCTCTTCTAATCGCGCATGGATGATCTTCTCAGTGAATCCAGGAATTCTCACAGTCTTCGCTAGTCGTAGCCTCACAGACGTCTCCCTCTCGGCTGGTGTCGTTAGTACAAACTCTTCTCCTCCAAATTTCATGGTCTTCTGATCACTGTCGAATGAAAACCCGTAGTCACTTATCAGATCCATGCCGAGGATAAACTCATCTTCGATATCTGCGACGTATACCATGTTCACTAAATGGAGTCTTCCAAGCGTCAACTCGATATCAGCCATCCCTCGTATAGGTGCATTTTCTCCAGTGACCGTACGAAGAACAAAGTTGGAAGTGGTTGGTTTTATACTTCCAGGCCGGAGAATGTCACTGCGTACCAGGGAAACTGATGCACCGGTGTCTATGGTGCAGGTTACATCCATTTGGTTGATTTTTCCTTTGATGGTCAGGCTATCAGTTGTTCTTCTTATCCTTTTGATGTTAATGACCCTGGGGGCTTCGTTATTACTAGCCAGCATGCGCCCCGATACGCTGGCTAGTTCTAGTTTTCCTGGTATCTATCTGAGGACTCACTAGATGACCTAGTCCTCGCAGGTGAGTACGACCGTGATGGCGTCCTTGCAGGTGAAGAAGATCTTGGTGGTACTCTCACCTTACAGTCCCTTATCAGGTGTCCAGTTCTGCCACAGCGATAGCAGGATCTATTTCGCTGGTTACTAGACCCACTCTTAATTTCTTTGAGTTCCTCAAGCACTTTTCTCAACATTTTCGCCACTGGGTCCACGTCTTCGGAAGGCTCCTCGATGGACACAGCTCTCACTTTTGGCCTAGAGGTGTTGAAGGCCGCTTCTACCTCCAGAGATCTTACTAGGGCTTCACCACTCCTCTTAAAGTGTGTAAGCCTCAGAGTCTTCTGTATTTCTGAGTCTCTCAGCCCGTCGATGAATACCTGCACCGCCAGTTGTTCTTTGAAGTCCTCTGGTGCCTCTGGGTAGGCTAATTGAGTCAGTCTTCTCACATCTGCTTCGAACTCCTGTAGGCTCTCTCCAGACTTCTGCACACGATTTTTCATCTGAGCCCGGTAAAGCTGTTCTCGATGTTGGTCACCATACCTGAGTTCTAGCGCAGCCACTAAATCTCCGAAGTGGTTTTGTTGTTCCACTGGGATCGACTGTAACATCCCCAAAGCTGGTCCTCTCAGAGCTACAATGAGTGCAGTAGCTTTTTCCTCGTCACTCCACCCATTTGCACTTGCTGCAGCCTCAAATTGTCGGCGATACATAGACCAAGGCGACTGTCCATCAAAAGTTGGTGGTTTTACGGAAGAACCCGATGTGGCAACCCTGTCACGACGATCTTGACTTCGTAGCGAGGCGATCTGATTCGCTACATCTCTTTTGATTGTATCGAACATGGAATCTATTCTTGAAACTTCCTGGTTAAGCTTGTCGTCAATTTTGGTGAAATCTGTCTTCAACTCATCTATTTGCACATCAGTTTTATGCAGAATTTGTTCGAAGAAGATTTTCTGATGTTCTCGTTCTTTTTCTTGATGCTCTAGAATTTTCTGTAACTCTTCTTGACGACGTTGCTCTTCTTCTAATTTTTCTTCATGACGACGTTTCTCTTCTTCTAATTTTTCCTCTTGACGACGTTTCTCTTCTTCTAATTTTTCCTCTTGACGACGTTTCTCCTCCTCTTGTTTTTCTTTCTGTCGTCGTTCCTCTTGTTCCGCGAACTGATTTTGCATAAATTTCAAAATGTCTTCCATCGCGTCGTATGACGTACTCCTTGTATTCACCATACGTCTTCAAATGTCCTCGAAAAATCCACACTTCTGACACCACTGTTACGATTTTTACTCTGGGTCCGTAATAATTTAACACTCGGTAGAACACTTAAAACGATTTATTCTGAACACTACTATACAATAATAACAATACTCGTACTAAACACTTCCGATTCAAAACACTTCTTCGATCGTTATTATAACGCTTCCAAATAAAGACTTCTCTTCCTGTCCCTAACAACAACTATTTATACTACCTAATAAAACGTCTAGATTCCACTCGAAATATCGTGAACAGGTCGATAATCTTCTCGAGTCATCTCAATAGCCGTCGAATCACCTAATTACTATTCCAAGAAATATGGCCTTGTTTACTTCCCGTTCCCGCAGGTAGCTGGGATCGATTGCCAGGGTCGTAACAATATCTATTATAATAATCGATATACAATGTCAACGGGTGTACAAAAAATTTGCTCATTCTCTTCATACCTCTCTACAGTTTTCGTTTCCCAATCCGTCCAGTAGATATAATCCTCCCAAATATCAATAGCGAAAACGTGATGCAACTGCAGCTGCGCATTCTTCTGTCGACTCGCCACGATCCGCATATTGTTTCCGTCCAGATCCGCCACCGCTATGTAGTCCTCTCTGGCGTCCGCCCAAAATAGTTCATTCGTCTCGTAGGACACTGTCAAGGCGTTGGGCCAGCCGAGGTTGGCCGTGACGATGCTCCTCGGATCAGAGCCATCCATGGCCGCCTTACCTGTACACGAATTAAATCCCACCAATGATCTAACAATATATGTCTATTCGCGGGAATCAATGTTACCAGGTGGCGCTCGGTTTTCGTCGTTCCATGTCATAGCCACGTCAAAACTAGGGGAAAACAAACTAAATTGTTACTCAATCCCATTAGTGCCATAAGCTTGTGTACTGTGTACTGATAAAAGTGATAAGTTTTTAAATTTCTTGACATTAATTGTCAATATTCGATCGAAAAAGCCTATTGTAGATGTTCTTTTGGCAGATATTTTGCTCTATTTAGATGGAAAAAGCCGACCAGTAGTGGAAGAAGAAGCAGTTCTCCGTGATAATCATGTGATTTTGTGTGATGCAGAAGACTTCAACAAAAGGCACATTTTTGCACTTTGTCTACAAACTTCGGCGATGAAATCTTACCCACATGAAGTAAAATTGAAGTTGGGGTCCAGAGGAACTCCTGTAGAACAATGGATTTGTATTTGTTCCTGCAAAGCAGTACAATCTAGGTACTGTAAGCATGGTGTAGCTGTTCTTTTATATGTCAATTGATTTGCTCGTCATAATTAGTTTGGATTGTTTGAACTATCTCCAATTCTCCACCCGTTCACTGTTCACTAAACTAATAAAAATGTAATGATGTAAAAAAAATTACCAACTCAACCATCATCACTACCAACAGTGCCAACACTTTATGTCATAGACAAGTTTGACTACAGCTACAGCAAGCTGAATGCAATGTAGTCTATGCACTTTATCCATAGACAACAGTTTGTTTACCATCATCACTACCAACAGTGCCAACACTTTATGTCACAGACAAGTTTGACTACAGGTACAGCAAGCTGAATGCAATGTAGTCTATGCACTTTATCCATAGACAACAGTTTGTTTGCCATCATCACTACCAACAGTGCCAACACTTTATGTCATAGACAAGTTTGACTACAGCTACAGCAAGCTGAATGCAATGTAGTCTATGCACTTTATCCATAGACAACAGTTTGTTTACCATCATCACTACCAACAGTGCCAACACTTTATGTCATAGACAAGTTTGACTACAGCTACAGCAAGCTGAATGCAATGTAGTCTATGCACATTATCCATAGACAACAGTTTGTTTTCCCCCAGTTTGAAGTTCGTATTATGTAACCTAGATGTCGCCCACTTCGTGAATCTCGCGAATAGTTTATGCAAAGTCAGTTGAACAGATCATCAAACGAATGTCGGGCCGCGCTGCCGCACTCTCTGAACTTTCAAAGGGGCCGACGGCTTGCGGTGATGTGTTTTTCCAACTGACTTTGCATAAACTATACTAGGGAGGACCCTAGCCTTGCCGTCCTGAACAGAACATTTGAATTCACGTAAAAAAGAGACAGGGGCATTGATATGGCTGCATGTGCAACGAAAACGAATACATTTTCGCCCAACCAACAGCTGGTAGTTGTTTGTTGCCTCTCTCTCGTCTGTCTAATTCATTGGTTGGTTCTCCACATCTTTCTGTAGAAGCGATGAATGTTCTATTCGAAATTTCAACGAGTCAAGTTGATTATTGCTAGTCAAAATCTTTTTGGTTCAACACACTCATGGAATAGTGAAATTCGGTCATCAAAGTCTTCAAGTACATAAATCCACAATAAAAATTCAACTCTAATGAAAATAACTTGCAATATCACATTCACAGTGCAATTAGCATAGTAGGGCAGAATTTGTACCCAACCTACAGCTGATTGTTGCACCTTGAGTCTCACTCTTACGTTGTCATTAATACCACTCTATCTCTACACATTATCTAGTAGGTTAATACTACTAGATTATTGAATCCTACCCGGAACGGTTCATAGTTGAAATTTCAAACCAATCAGGACGATATTGGCCTTAGCGGTTTATTCGATTCAAAGATGTTGATGATAATTTCGAGCGTCTACGCGTATTTCATTTTCATCTGTGACTCTCTGAATTTTGAAGGAATAATAAAAAATAATATAAGGAAGGCAAATATCGTTTCTACATAAGAAAAGGAGACTACTTTTCTTAAAGCAATCTAAGCGAACTCGGCCTGATATGATATGAGGAAGGAAAATATTATCCTTTCTGCATAAGAAGGGATACTACTTTTTATAATCGATATAACCTAATTCGGTCTAAATGAACCTCCTTCCTAGAAAGTATAGTTTTCAGAAAATTACTTGAGAACAAAATAAAAAAGGTGACCAACGCAGGGATCGAACCCGGGACCTCACCACTGGCTATCGGAAACCAAACTCACTACGCCAATATTTAATTCACAAATTAATGTATGTGGAAAGACTGATAAATAATGAATAAATAATAATGAAAAATGGATAATGAATTGATAATAAAAATAAATGAATACATAATAAATAATTTTATCGAATCATGATCACAGAATGGTATATCATGTGTTGTCAGGATTGTGACTGACGCTTGAGACTTTTTAGCCGTATCACGCGAGCGTGAATCTTTCAACGTTGTTATTGGGTCTGAAAGCCTGACTATGGACCCTTTCGGATAGCATTGAATTCGTGCCTTACCTATGTGGACGCGAGTGCCCCAGTCCGACCAGTACATGTAGCCCTTGGTGGGATCCAAGGCCAAAGCTCGTGGTTCTTCGAGGCCCTTGGAGTACAGGACTTTGCGGTATTTGCCGTCCAGGCTGGACACTTCGATCGTGTCAAGACCCTGGAAAAGATTTTTTAGAATGTCAATATTTGCATTGCATTGAAAATCTGAAGGAAAAGTTATCTACCAGATTTATAGGTTTGAAATAGTGTCTATGGATTTTCTTAGATTTCCAGGTCAGTCAGGCAAACAATATTTTTCCACTAACTTTGTAAATCTAAAGAAAAAGTTCTCCACTGAATGTGACACTGGATTATTTCATTATGGGATCGAAATAGTGTCCAATAAATTTTGTTGGATTCTTAGCTCAACCAGGCAAAAATATGTTTCGACCTGTATGAGCCTATTGCACTGCGTGAAACGCTAATTTTGAAAATCTAAAGAAGGAAGTTATCTACTGAAATATGTTTCGACCTGTATGAGCCTATTGCACTGCGTGAAACGCTAATTTTGAAAATCTAAAGAAGGAAGTTATCTACTGAATTTGACACCGGATTCTTTATTCGAAATAGTGTCAATAATTTTTTTTAGTTTTAGGTCAATCAGGCAAAAAAATATTTCGACCTGTATGAGCCTATCGCACTGCGTGAACCGCTAATTTTGAAATTCTAAGTTCTCTACTGAATTTGACACCGGATTCTATATTCATGGGTTCGAAATAGTGCCTATGGTATTTTTGATATTTTTAGGTCAATCAGGGAACAGTTATTTCAAAGAAAAACAGAAATACACCGAGTTGGTTGACCACAAAAATTATATTACACAAAATGTATTGTGACTAGTTTCGGCTCAAATAGCCATCTTCAGAATCATTAGCACACACCTATAAGGCCATGAGGAAATCACATTATAAAAATAAAACGAGCCGTGGTCATTTGATCAAAAACATCAGTCCGGTGAAGGGATACTTGAATTTTTGAACCGACTGAACAGCCAAAGGCACAAAATTGGGAAAATTATTGTTTAGATTCACTCAAACGAGTTTCATATTTAAATGCATTTTGAGGTGAAACTCGTTTGAGTGAATTAAAAAATAACTATATTGTCCTACATGATTTGTTTGATCTGATTTTGTACATTTCTTCTTTGTTGGTAGTTTGATCAAAAATTTAAAAAATTAACTACCAGCAGTCGGTTGTCATGGGTGTCATAATATTTTCATATTCAGGAATAAGTATCACTCAACAGTAAACTTCAGCCAAAATGGTAGTACGCGTTAATATCCTTGACATTTTTCTAGGGTTCTATCAATTATTACGTTAAGAAATTATAATTAATAATAATAATAATGAATCGTCTTTATTCATCATTTGCAGAAAAAAACAATCGCCAAAAAAACAAACAAACCAAACTTTATACCTGTTTTTTAACTCAACCAATTCAATTCACTGAGAAAATTGCATAGTTACTGTTGCAAAACTAGAAATGACGAAACTAAAAACAAGAATACTTACACATAAACTAGAATAATGCTTACCTTATCACACCAATACAAGTTCCTTCCTATCCAATCAACAGCCAATCCATCAGGATTTTGTAGAGTAGGCGAATGTAGCATCTCCACTTCAGTTCCATTATTATTTTTGTAATCGCAAAGCCGCTTTATGGAAGACCCCAGCTGAGTAACGTCCGACCAGTATATGCATTGATTTTGCCAGTCATAATCCAGAGCAACCGCATTGGTCAGATTGTGTGCCAAGAGGGAACTATGCCCAGTCAAATCCAGTTCTCTTATGTAGTACCTATCGAGGAGAATATAGTTCGATACATTTTCTTTCACTTTACCTTTGTCGTTATGTTGCTGAGATATTTCATGTAAAGAATATACAATTCAGTAAGTACCAAACCAAATAGACACTTCCGGTTTGCTCGGAAGTATACTCAACTTTTTTACTTCATATGAAAAGTACAACATTTTTGAAAAAATAGGATTTAGTACAGAATCACTTATACGCAAATATCTTTGTATTTTTTAAAAAAACCTTATCAAACCCGGTATCGTTGAATTGGCCATGATAATGCCTAACCGATTATTTATTTATTTATTTATTGAACAAATAACTTCCAGACAGAATAGGCTCTGGTATAAGGAAGTACATAATTATATACCTATAGGTAAACATATCATTATACAAAATATATCAACAACTGTAAATTGACAAAAAACAAAGAATAATATTTGTAAAAAAAAATGGCATGTTCAATTTTATCCAGTTCGCTCAGAAATAATCAATTTTTTCACTTCATTTTTGAATGAACCTATATTTCTGCAATTTTTTATATTGTCAGGTAGTTTATTGAATTCAGTTAAGGCTGAATGAGTGAATCTTTTTTGTCCGATAATGGAGCTAGCGGCGTCAAGATGAAACAAGTTATATTGTCTTGTTTCATGATTATGAATTTCAGAATTCCGTATCAACATAAAATTCGACTTCAATTTTTTATTTATGATATTATATGATATTTTGAGAGTTTCAATCCTATATATTTCATCTAAAGAATACGTATTTGTTATTTCAAACAATTGATTGGTTGGTGTATCAAATGGGAGACGATGCAATACTTTTAACGATTTTCTATATAATGTTGATATTTTATTGAAATTGTTCTTTGAACAAGTTCCCCAAACATTAATAAAATAGTTGATACGACTCAGTATATGAGAGTAGAGAATCATGTTTGCAATTTTGATATCAAGTTTGGGACATCTTCTCAATGCACCAATAATTGGAGATATTTTTTGTCAATCCAGGGTGCCCCATTTGAAAATCGAATATGGAGACGTTTCCGGTGAAACTGGAAGTGATAAAAGGAAAATGGTTTCATCAATTATTAAAGAACAATTTGGTATACTTGCTTCCCACCAATTTTAATACCCCTATCTAGAATAATTCAAAAGTTACAATCCAGGCCGTTTTTTGTGCACTCCTCTGTATATACCGTCCCTTACTGAATAGAATTTATGCTCTCATAAATACAGTTCATCTTGTTAATGATAATCAAAGTTGCCATTCGATAAATATTCATCGCACAATCGTACCTGTTCGCCAAGATCAAACTGACTTTGACGGTAGAGTTGGCGCGGCAGCTCTTCTTGTCGTAGCGCAGCACGTAGTCCCGCTGACAGCTGCAGTGGTACGACCCGCGGGTGTTCCTGCAGATCTGGCTGCACGGCCGCTGCGCGCACTCGTCCACGTCGTCGCAGTGGTGGCGGTCCTTGGCGTTGAGGCGGTACCCCGGCCGGCACCGGCACTCGTACCCCACCGGTTTGTCGACGCAGATTTGGGCGCACGGGGATGGGGTCGCCGAGCATTCGTCGATTCCTGGGGAAGGCGTAAAATTGTTGTTGTTGTAAAATTGTAAGGGGGGATTGGCATTAATCACTCAAGGAGTGAAACCAGCCTTTACAATCTAAGACAAGATATACTATCTAGAGGAATACATAAGATATCTGGGTTTGATGAATGGTACCTTCTTATGAAAAATATAAATTGGATGAAAGTTATTTCCTTATGGTGGCTATCAAAAAAACGATTTTTCTGACGGAAATGACAGTGTCAAATCTTCCGATAGTAAATAAGTTATTTGATATTGTTGAGAATTCGTTCAATCACCATTAATTTTCATGTGATAATTGTAGAAACTTCCTGGACAGTAAGATTTCCACAAAATGGACTACTCCAGTAATTTCTAGAAAAAATATATAACAATATATATCGAAATATCTGGTTCTGGAGTACCTTAAAATCGTTTTTGAGATTTTTATTCCATCAATTCATGATATAAAAAAACGCCGAAAAAAAAAAACAACTGGAGGTTATATGCCTCGGGGAACACCTGCCTTGGTAATGTGACATACACATAAAATACATCATTAAGAAGCTACAATTTATTCTCTATAAATTGAAATATTTGAAAAAAATTCTACCTACACAACAACTATTAACATTGTATCTTGCGCTCGTCGAAAGTCATCTTCGATATGGCATACTTGCATGGGGCGGCGCCTTGAAATCGCACCTCAAACCCCTCGAAATTCTACAATGAAGATTTCTCAAAATTATTATGGGAAAGTCATCCAGATATCCTTCTGACCTTCTTTTTACAGAAGCAGAAGTATTTAATATAAAACAACTTTATTACTACCATGTGACCATACGGTACCATACTATTAAAAACTCCGGAGACTTACCAACACATATGTACAACACCAGACAAAAAAATAATTATATCATTCCACAAATCACAAAATCACTCGGAATGACTAGTTTCTCATTTAATGCTCCGAAAATGTACAATTCATTGCCCGAAACAATCCGAAATATACCTAGCTTATTCAATTTTAAAAAACAACTGAAATTATTCACGAGAGAAACTCAAAAATTCCTGTAAAAGAATTATGAACCTCACTTCATTTCATTCTTACGAGGGTGTATATGCGTATGTTTGTTCTGTGTATTAAACAATAATTTACCACGTGATGTCTTCAATTCATTTCATTTATATATTTAATGTATATCGAAACAAGTGTTTAATCACTTATCAATTGTTCTTGTCTGCTGTAGATAAAGCGTATTTTATTTTATTAGAATTACATTTATTAGTACTATTTTATTGTCCAACATTGTCGAACCCTTTTTTGGTTTTTTGTTTGTTCTTTTTATCGCTTTTACACTTTGTATATATGTATCTCATATTTCATTACCTCTATGTTTACTTATAAATTCTGAAAGTTGTATATTTTTGAATAACATTTGGAATTTCTCTATGTTTAATAGAATCATAAAATATCCTTTTTCCTCGAAACAAGCGTGAATACGCTTATCGAGTATCATCATTTATGCTATTGTAATAAGATTATGTTCTTTCATGTAGCAAAAAAAATAAAAAATGTGTTCCAGAGCCTCGCTGTTCGTTGAATGAACGAGTCTTTGGAAAGAAATGTTCTGCAGGTCTCCAAAGTGACCACAAAGGGGTGCGAAGCTTCAACTCAACGGGTTAATCTCGCGGGGACTGTCAAGGGAGGAACAATCGTTGATATTTCAGAAGAGCATCGTCCATGAAAATATCTATAAAATAGAGCAAGATCGCCAACTGTCCTACGGTGTTCCAGAGAAGTGAGCGAGGCATCACCCACCAGACGAATTGCCCTTCATTGGACAGAATCCAAAAGTTTCAGGTGCTGCACTCCAAATATGGGAACAGTATTCCAGGACAGGTCGGATTTGTGCGTTATAGATCATGAACAGCTGGAAATGAAATAGCTCCTGGCCCCAAACAGAAAACCAAGTTTATGGGATGCACTTTCAGCAATTGATCTCACGTGATTTTCCCAACGAAATGAATATTAAATTAATAATAATAACACTTACTGCATTTGTTCTCGTCCGAGAAATCCCCGCAATTATTCTCCCCGTTACACAGCAACGTATCGTTGATGCAAACTCCGTTCTCGCAATGGAACCACCCCTTCCCTTTGCAGTAAACATCCTCCTCGTCCTTACCGCACCGCTCCCCCTCGTCCGATCCGTCGCCGCAATCGTCTTTGCCGTCGCACTTCACCGATTCGAGCACGCAATTGCCGTTGGCGCACCGCAACTCGCCAGCCGCACACGACTCGTTGCAGTCGCGCGGCTCGTCCGACGCGTCGCCGCAATCGTCCTTGCCGTCGCACTTCATCGATTCGAGGACGCAGTTATCGTTGGCGCACCGGAACTCGCCCGTGGTGCACGTCTTGTAGCAGTCGTGCGGCTCGTCCGACCCGTCCTGACAGTCCCTGTCGCCGTCGCAGTAGTAGATCTTGCCGATGCACTGGCCCTCGGTGCACCGGAACTGGTTCTCGTTGCAGCTATTGAAGGTGCAACCCTGCGCGATGACAAAACGGAGTGTTATGGAAGTTTAAATACTCAAAATTTTGATGAAATCTGATTGTAGGAGTCTACCCAGCTTTTATAATAATAATAATAAACGGCTTTATTCATAGGAATGAAAAGGAGAGGTGTCACTTTACAGTGTTTTTCAACTTTGCCTTAAAAATATGTGATCATAAAAAAAAGAAAATATAGGTACAGTCGTATTCAATAAAAAAGCGTACAAGTATTAAACATAGAAGATTTCGGCATTCTAGTTCTCGTTGTGTAAAATTGGCTCAGCCAGTGCTTTGTGTATTTGAGAACCTATGATTACTGTACTGTCAACACTTGGTAAACATTCATTCCCGATAGCCTGTTTTACGCAAATAGGATGACGTTAATTTCTTCCTTCAATATACTTGTACGCTTTTTTTTAATACGACTGTACACCTCTAATTGGTTGGTGCATCTGCGTTACGTCAATTCTTTTAATGGTGTCAATAGTGTCAGGAATAAAACAGTATTTTAGTTCGTATCATTAGGGTTTTATAACTATTCAGTTAATCAAATTAACCGTTGACACTGAGCTATAAATACTGAACAACAAACCCTAACGAGAAATATGCAAATTTATAATGAATATTGCGAAGTTAGTCTTGTCACAGATTAAGAAAACTGTTTGAGGCTAATTTCGACTTGACAAGAACTCGCCGTAAGGATATTATAATCATAATGTAAGTTGTTATTAGGTCTTCATATTCATTGTAGTTCATTTATATCGCGTTACTACCCATAACACTTCATGCTATATAAATATTATGTTCGAATATCTTGTACTTTCAGCTACCCTCAAACTATTATTGCCTATTCAAATATAACCTCTCGCAAACCATTAAGCCAAGCTGATCCTTCCCTTCTTCCTTCTGCAGCCATCAAACTTTACTTTTACCAAAGATTAATAATATTAGAGTTGTCCATGAATAAATAATATGAAATGAATGACATAAATGTGACAAGTAAAATTAAAGACTAAATCACATATTTTAGAATGAATGCAGGTGAACATCAACATGATTTACAAATAATCAAAAGGGAGTTCACAAAAACTAATTTTTCTTCTGAATAACTTCTATTAGAGAGCTGAGTAGGCTCCTAGAATCAGATTTCATCAAAATAAAGCCATTTGAGCTTCCATAATCTTGCTTCTACATTGGTAGAGGTTTTTAGGTTAGCAATTTGGGTCTCCCATTCGTAGCGATGCAATACTCCATCTACCTGCAATATATGTTCGTCGGCGCTATCCTGGCAATCCGCCTCACCATCGCACACCCATGCCAAGGGTATGCACCTGCCGGTACTGTTGCACCTGAACTCGTATTTGGCGCAAGCCGTCTGCTGGCAGTGCTCGCTCTCGTCGCTCTGGTCGGTGCAGTCCGGATTGCCGTCGCACTGCCAGGACTTCGGGATGCACTCGTTGTTTCCGCACTGGAACTGATCGGTGCGACAGTGCTGTTCTGGAAAATCATCATTTTTTTGCTCAATATAATTTTTTTTTTATTCCCTCGTTGGTTCCAGCAGCGTCAACTTGTGCGGGGTTAGGAAAGCATACATTGACAAACAACCATGGCCAAACTGGAGCTCAAACCCATGCCTAGGTAAAAGTCCCATACGAACTCTCGACCACCAAGCCGTTTGAAATTGAAAGTCGTCAGTCTAATATATGATCAGAAACAGTCAATTATAACAAATTTATAGCGTGAACTATTATCTCTTCTTTGAGATTATGATTCTTCTCGTTTTTTGAACCAATAAATTGAATGTTTATTCTTTTATTATCATTGCTGCAAACCCGAAAGAAGATTTGGAAGGAACATATGGTTCGCAGTATTTAGAAATAAATATACATTCGATTCACTGTTACACATATGTGAATTTTGGCGCCCGAGCAGGGACCCAATAACGTAGAGAAAGTGACTAGTCGACGGTACAGACTGCTCACGATTTTTTAAGTAGCCGTTAGAGGCATTAACTTTTTCGTGTTGTCTTATCAGAGTAATATAACATCCAATTTCATTAGCCACATTTCAATACTAGTTTCAATAAGTAGTAACTAGCAGTGCACTACTTACTGATGAAGATTGAAAAATATCAGTTCTCGATTGATCAGTTTTTGAATGGAGATAAAATATTTCAAAATCATGAATAGATATTAGCAAATATTTGAAACTGTGTGAAATCGAATGAATAAATAGGTAGGTAATTTCCAAAAAACTATTTTGAGTTAGAATATCATGTGAATATCGAACTTTTACATCGTAAATTGAGATTGGTAATGTACTTTTCTGCATTTGATGAAATAGATATGGTTTCAAGATAACCTTAGTACATCATCATTTAGGTCATTTAGAACTAGTCTCAAATGTTCAATATTGATCATTAGTTGAGTGAAACTAATGAGTATTTCAAGAAAATATAACCAAAGTTACTCTTTCGTCCCTAACTTCTTAACGCCATGTGGCAAAATTGTGTGATTGAACTTGGATTCATCATGTTTTGGATTGAAGTGATCCTTTTTTGAACCAACAGTTTTTGATTCTCGTCATGATCTTATTTTCAAGAAAAGATACGAGTGTTTTGCGAAAGTATGACATTTTTCAATTCTTATTAACAATAATCAGAACCTACATATACATATTGATTAACAACTAAGAAAATTAATATCACTTATTTCTACCTACTTTTTTCAGCACTTACCGGAAAAAAACATTATTACAATAAACAAAAAAACAGCAGACCTGTAGTCAATAAAGAGTATGCCCTCCTCGAGTTTGAATTACAGCATTCAAACGCCGTGGCATCGAGTTGATCAAATTTCTCAATTAGTCATGAAGAAGTGCCGAGAGAATTGCCTGAATTTTCCTTAAAGGGCGAATCATAGCCGTTGAAAAGTCTCTGACAAGGCCGGGCGAAGACGAATCAGTCTCTGCAGGTCATCCCTAAGATGATCTATTGTTTCTGAATTATTGTTGATAAAAAATATGCCATACTTTCTTAAAACACTTGTATATTCTCTTGAAACTAAGATATTGACGTGAATCTAGAACTATTGTCAAGAAAAAACGAAATAGGATCACACTTCAATTCGACACATGATGAAGCAGAAGGTTGGAGAATGGTTATAAATTATTGTGAATAAAAATCGAGAAAACCATAATTTCTAAAATCTTTTCTCTGCTTAAAAAGTAGTTATCAACGAGAATCCAAAGCCATTGTGTTAAGAAGGGATCACACATCAATCGAAAACATGATGAAGATAGGTTTAACCACTTACCTTTGCCACAGGGTGTTAAGAAGTTAAAGTTGAAGTTTGTTTTGCCGGTGAGTGTACATTTAAAATACTTACTACAATTCGATTCGTCACTATGGTCAGGGCAATCTGCAACACCATTACACTGTAAAGTCAGGGGAATACAGGTGGATCCGTTTTCACAAAGGAATTCATCATAATGACATTTATTATCTGAAATAAAAATATTCTTATCATAACAATCCAGCACCAACAATTATTACTGAAATGTCTATAACTCAATAATTTTCATTCATATAGTAGTAGTAAATGAGATAAGATACAAGAAAATATAATACCTAGACCACAATTGAGTTCATCTGAGCTGACTCCGTCGTTATCCTCCATGTCGTTGCAGTCCGCCTTGCCGTCACATCGTGCTGTCAAATTGACGCATGCGCCATTAGAACACCGGAAATGACCTCTATCACAGGTGGGTTTAATGATCGTGCAATTCTCCTCGTCAGAGTTGTCCCAACAATCATTTTCGTCATCGCAGAACCAATCTTTATGGATGCAAGTCGTCGTATATTTGCAATTGACGAAGTCTTTGCCTTGTTTTTCCACGCAATTTGGCATTACTGTGGGAAATTGAAAATCATTGAAATTTCAAAGATACAACACCTGCAATGTCCTTTATTTAAACCTTCTAACTAGAGTTGAAGTTATCAAAAGTTAAGTAGGTATGTTTGATCACTCATTTATTCAAGATCAAGCATTGCATTTTTATAGACCTCATTAATCGGCTCTACAGGCCAAAAAACTACCCAACAGTCCGGAAAAATTTATGCGATCTAATTTGTCTCCGTAAAAAAAGAAGAATATGTCACTCTCCGAGATGAATTGTTAGGTTGCTAAATTCACCTGAACAACCAGATCAACAATCTATCGTCATTCGATCTAGGTGAATGAGTATATCCAACTTTTGGAAAAGAAAAAATATCTGTATTTAGGCGTTTATTATTCAAACTAACAAGATGCTACAGCTGCATGTAAAATGTAGAAGCCAAATTTTGTATAAGTTCTTGGCTGTTTCGTAGGCGGCGCTAGCAATAGCGATATCTACATATTCCCAAAATCCGCTCGAGTTTTAAATTATTTGTTCCAATCCATTTTTGATCGCAAAATTCGAAAAATTCTCAAAAGGTATATTTCATTCAAAATTAATGTTGTATTGTTTCTTTAGTTGTGAAGTATTGGATTGTTTAATAAGAACTGTAATTTATTTTGAGATTGTTGTTTGGATTTTTGCTAATTGCTGTGGTAATTGTATTGAAACTGTGTAATGGATCGACCAATGTACGTGTGTTGTGGAAGGTTGTTATTCCAACAACCTGTTCCTTGGAGTACATTTGTTTACGGTCCCTAAAGATCTTATTAAGTAAGTACAGCATGAATACTGTTTAATCTCTAGATCATTGAGAACAATCGTGAAAGAATTCTTTTCAAACTATCAAATGATTTATATTGCAACTATGATATGAGAATAGCAATAATATTTTTTGATATTTTCCTATATTTTCATATAATCATTAAAAAAAATTACAGTGCTCTGAGGAGAAAACGGTTTGAGACAGTGATCTAGTTTGGGATAGTACTTCAAAATGATGGAATACATTTTTTCACTGAAACATGCCCATTTCACCTACAATGAATGATTTGTTAACTTTTCAACAATAAAAAACGAAAAAATATATATGTATTATGTTATTGTCGGTTACTTATGAATGATAAATCAGAAGAATATCTATAAAACAGGAGAACAAAGATAGTCAGGAAGTAATATTTTTTCACAAAACTTATAGTTATTTTCGTAATATTTTTGAAAATGTATCATCAACATCTACATACTGATTCAGTTTTGTTTCAAATCTCATTTTCCGAATGATTCAAATTATATTGTTTTGGAATCTATTCTCAATTCGTGTGAGAATTCAAACTAAATAAGCTCCATTCCAAAAAAAAATTAGTCACGCCCATGAATAAAATCAAGGAAGCACTTGATCTAATACATTTGTAGTACCTTTTAACGTAGCGACATCTACAGAATAATAGCGGAGGCGCCACCTTAAAATTCATATTAGGTGGTTGAAGGTCATTGGCGGTCATTTTCAGAGATCAAAGGATTTTCAAACTTTGCACCTACTCGTTTATTTATGTACGCTGGTAACATCCTCTGGTGGTCATACACTCAACTGAGCTATAGAGTAGACCAGTAGTTACAGCTCACTAGATTTTTTCTCTATATTTAGCAAAAAATACACTCACCGCAGCCGATCTCGTCCGACCGATCCTGGCAATCCGGTTCGCTGTCGCACCGGTGCGCCCCGTCCAGACACTCCCCGTCGTCGCACCTGAACTGTCCGTCTGCGCACGAGCAGTTGCGCTCGTCGGTAGCGTCGCCGCAGTCGTCGACGCCGTCGCAGGTCGCATTCGCGTTGACGCACCTGCAGTAGCACAAATCACTGATATCATCTATACCTTTTCAACTTCAATTTCGGAATCGGTGAGTTATATTTCGGAAAAAGTAATCTCGATTTCAGAATTGGTTAGTTCGATTTCAGAAATGGTTAACTCAATTTCAGAATCGGTGAGATGAATTTCAGAAAAAGTCCATTCAATTTCAGAAATGGTAAGTTGTATTTCAGAATTATTATTGGTAGGTTCAATTTCAGAAGATGACATCCTTTTATATGTTTGAAATGTTTTAAATTGCAAAAGAGAAGAGTGTTTACAGTGGATGAACGGTGTTTGAGAGCCCTATGTTGAATCAGATTGAACATATATGGGGTGCCTTCAAGTCAGAAGTGAAGAGCTTCTTGCAAGAGCATCGCCAAAGGGTCATAGCTGGGGATCCGAACAGCTTGCTCAAACAGATAGAATTCAGACTGCGATGTCTTAAGGAATGTGCAGATCATTCAATGAAAATGATAACACCTCAAATGTGTTTGCATTCTCATAATCATGTGCAACGCTATTATCTTCCAGCGATTCGGATGGAAGGCATCTGTGGATTAAATTGAGATTATAATCATGTTATTCAATTGTTTTTGACAAGTTGAATATTGTAAATATGGTTTGTTAATCTCACATACAATTGGAAACATTTCGAACAAATATAAGGATTTTTTTTCTGAAATTGAACCTACCAATTCTGAAATACAACTTACCATTTCTGAAATTGAATGGACTTTTTCTGAAATTCATCTCACCGATTCTGAAATTGAGTTTACCATTTCTGAAATCGAACTAACCAATTCTGAAATCGAGATTACTTTTTCCGAAATTGAAGTTGAAAAGGTATAGAGTTCCTATATTTACTTGACACTGCTGTTTTGACGTTTTTTGTATATAGGTCGCGTGCACGATGACCGACCCTGGTGGCAAAATATTGAAACACAACCTCATTCTTCTGTGAATTATTGAAACACAACCTCACTTTTTTACTTGGTTACAGAGGAATCAAAGGATTGAAATAGTTTTTCACAATATTTTGGCATACGAATCGTGTTTTTAGCGCTTGTTGTAGATTGTTTTAATGAATTAGTTTGATATACCTTGTATATAATCTGGAATTGAAAAAGGAGGCGTTGAGTTGTTAAAAAAGTGACAAAAAATAAATAAAGATAGAAAAAGAAAATTTGGAAAATCATTTATTTTGGAAGTAATAGGAATACTGAGTCTATTACAGTGCTATTCATTAATTCGAGCATGCCTTCGCATTGTGCTGTTGTACAATGCACAAAAAATGCAGCAAGAGACTAAAGAATATGATTTTTCAGGTAAATAGTAATCTCACATAGTTATCATTATGAAATGTTGCCATTCCTTATTAAAATTCCTTCTGCCTTCTGTCACTTCTGCAATACAAGCTAATACTGCTAATAGATTGAAAATGTCTACAACACACACGATCGTCAGCATGTCAGACCAGTCCTCCCGATTGATTGCATGAATCCCATTTTCTGGCATTATTTTAGAAATTTCAGATGTATTTCTATTAGCTTCTATTGCAGAAAGAAATCCGATGAGAAATCAGAGAAATTACCAAATTTCAAAAATGAAAACTATATGTGAGTGACTATAGTAGGTACTTACTTTTAAATCATATTGAACCAACCGGATTACTTCGTCTTTCGCTGCAGTTTTTGTGCATTTCACAACAGCATAATGTGATGGCATGAGCGAATTGATGTTAAGCGGAAAAATACGATTCGTATGCCAAAATAATTATGAAAAACTATTTCAATCACTTGTAAACAAATAAGTAAAGTGACGTTGTTTCAATATTTTGCCTCCAGTGTCGGTCATCTGACAGTTCTTGCACGCAACCCATTAGAGTACGAACACTATGACAAGCACTGACAATCAGACATAACCAAAAAGAAATTGATGGATACAGCGGGAACTGACAGTACACGGACGTACATGACATAAATTTCAAAGGTTCGGCAAATTGAGAGAATTAGGAGGAAGATGAAAGTTTGCGCAGTTTACAACTGTGAGAGCACGGGAAATCAATTCACTCTATTCGAATTTCCATCGGATAACGTAATTCTACAAAAATGGAAACAGAATATGATGCGGCCGGCATGGAATATAGGTTCAGGCCACAAAATTTGCGAGGTATTCAAATTTCTTGGTTGGATATAGAACATTTTTCAAGGCATTTTTATTAGGTACACTTCAGAACGGAAGATTTGATGTTGAAGAATAGGATCGTATTGAGAGAAAGAGTCGAACCCACAATTTATTCACAAACGATAAGATTTCCACAAAATTCTCAAACACACGACATGTTTCACTAACACAGTAGCTTCGTCAGGTGATATACTGGTACAATGAACTGTTCATTAGTATTATTAAAAATGTTGCTTTATATGATCGTGATTCATGTTCATTTATCAATTACTTATTACCTACCACTCTTGTAAAAGTATGTTTCATTGGTTGAAATTCATCACTCATTCTGAAGTTTTGTGATCAAAAAATATTCAACTGAACGTAAATATATATACCTACATATAAGAGACTTATTTCATAGGAATAGTATATGTATTCCGTTGGTATATGTATGACTGCCGTCACCACTAAATTATGATAATCACTCACTAATAGGTAAACGAGGGTAATTGAAACACAGGATTAATAGCATCGACTACCCTGTCTCGGTGTCGTACAACAACTGATTCACTGACCTATCTATCACAATCCAGTTGTTATACAACCTAAACCAGGTATCGTCTTATCCTTATTCTACATTCCAGTGGGTACACTACAGTATACAGGGTGTTTCATAATTGAATGCTGATCCTAAAGGGCGATAATCCTTGGATGATTTTAAGAAAAATTCTTCATACAGGATGTTGAAATTTAACAAAAAAATCAGTTATTCTCCAATATCTCTGAAACCGCTCTGGCTTTTTTCTTCATTACAAATACTTAAAAATAGTTACCATGAAATTATAAAAATATTGCTCAGATCTTTTCGTTACCACAATTGTGAAATTATGACTAAGAGTAAAAATCGAATAGGGACAAGCAAATGAATGCATTTTATTTTCTAACTGAAAAACCGTTCGCCGGACGAATAAAAGACAAGAGGCCATTTTTATGAGAAGATAGAGGATAATTACAAAAATAAAATTCATTCGAAAAAAAGACAGTGGCGTATCATTATTTTGATGAAAAATACAGGGACGCCACTGATGGAAATTAAGAAATCCTTCGTTATGGAAAAAATGTATTTCTATTCATACTCGGCATGCACCAAAATTGAAGAAAAAAGCCAGAGCGGTTCCAGAGATATTGGGGAATAACTGATTTTTTTGTTAAATTTCAACATCCTGTATTTCAGAAACGAAGCTGTTACGGACCTATGTTCACATGAAGAATTTTTCTTAAAATCATCCAAGGATTATCGCCCTTTAGGATCAGCATTCAATTATGAAACACCCTGTATATATACATACCAACTTGATAGCGACCTCCATTGAGATTCTTCAGCCTTATCATTCAATATTTCGAGAAGAAATGATTTTCTAATCCATTTATCGTACCCTTTTACCCATTCGAGGATAGGCTATGCACTCTCATACAAAAATCAAAGACAGAGAGAGATATATGGATTAATGAAAAGTTAACATGGAACAAGCATATTGGCATGCTCAAAGAAAAAATTTCCCCCATAGTTGGTGCCTTAAGAAGATGTCCAAAACTTCTCCCAAATATAACAAATACCGTTCTATACTCTCACATCCTTAGTAAAATGAACTATCTCATAAATATTTGGGGTTCATGTTCCAAGAATAATTTCAACAAAATATCTGTATTATATAAAGAAGCTTTAAAAGTACTGTATCGTCTTCCATATGACACCCCATCAAATCAACTTTATGAAGAAACAAATACATTTTCTTTGGAAGAGCACTATCTGATAAATACTCTCAAAATTTCTTTTGATATTATCAACAAACACCTCAAATCTAACTTCATATTGGTAAGGAATTCTCAAATCCATGAACATGACAATATGACTTGTTTCATCTTGATGCTGCTCATTCTACACTTGGTCAAAAAAAGTTCACTCACGGAGCTATCTCAGAATTCAATAAATTACCTGATGATATCATCTAAAGTTGCACAAATATCACCCAATTCAAAATCAAAGTCAAGAAACATATCCTTTTGCAAACACCTCAAATCTAACTTCATATTGGTAAGGAATTCTCAAATCCATGAACATCATACTAGACAATATGACTTGTTTTATCTTGATGCTGCTCATTCTACACTTGGTCAAAAAAAGTTCACTCACGGAGCTATCTCAAAATTCAATAAATTACCTGATGACGTCAAAAGTTGCACAAATATCACCCAATTCAAAATCAAAGTCAAGAAACATATCCTTCTGCAAAGAGAAAATCAAACCTGAGTGAATGATGTCTCATTGACTAATTTATTTCATCATGTCATAATGTACTTTTCATGAGCTTTTCGTTTTATTTATTTTTTTCATATTCTGTTGTTTATTTCAATAACTATAATTTAATTTGATAACGCATGAATAATCTCATACCAGATATGAATCTGTCTGATTATTCATGTTATTCCATTGTAAATGTTAATGATTATATTTATATTTATATGAGATGCAATGTAATGTTTATAGCAAAGATTGAAATACTAATACTTGTAGAGGAAGGAAGATGCGAGTATCCTTTATCTTAACGAAAAACATATTCTTGTACTTGTCTGGTAAACCATATGATTTGCTTCAAAATCGTTTATGGCTATGATTGATTGTCACTGCTTGTCTAGTGTCCGTACTCTAATATACAAAAAACGTCAAAACAGCAGTGTCAAGTTTATTTAGGAACTCTAATTATTCCTAGCTGGATTATCCGTATTGTTATTATCAATACGTTTATGAGTGTACGCACCTGCGGTTGCGGCAGGCGAACCAGCCGATCGGACAGGCGCGATGGCCGCAGTACCCCGGCTCCTCGTCCGACCGGTCGGCGCAGTGCGGCAGCCCGTCGCAGGTGAGGTGGAAGGGCACGCAGCCGCCGTCCGAGCAGCGGAACGAGTCGCCGTCGTTGGTGCAGTTGGTGGGGACGGCGGGCCGGCATCTGCCCTCCTCGGACAACACTGGAATTGCGGTGGAATGTGTCATGTATTGGTAACAAGATAGATGTATAGAAAGTCAAATGGTGTTATCGCTTCCTATCGAAAGGAGTTTAGAAATCTCTCGATATCGCCTATGTTATGTTCAATTAGTTAATGTGATTTACAATTATTAGTTTACTATCACCCCGTATGATCGGGGAATATATGATAGATGACGTTTCATGTCAAGACAGTTTCTGAGAATTGGAAAATATAATCGACTCAACATATTTATATTTGTGAATAAGATTTTCAATAAAGACAGCAAAACACAACAGATTAGCGACGAGAGTAAACTAGTGAAAATAAATGGAGGGAATGGAAACATTATTACGTGAACTTGTGTCAACGCTCAAAAACGTGCTAAGTCAGCAAGCAAGTTTGTCGGATCAAGTTCAAAGTAGTTCGGGGCGATCTCAGATCGATACCAGAGGAATATCATTACAGCCCTACGAGAACTCAATGAATCATTCGAAACCTATCTCCAAAGACTACAAAACTACTTGGAATTACGAAATCTTTCGGACGATACACCGGAAAATGATAAAAAAAGTGTCCAAATTTTAATAAATTGTTTGGGACCCAAGAATTATCAAATTCTTTACAGCCTTACGGCACCTGATCTACCCAATACGAAGTCTTTTAAGGAGCTCGTCAAAGTTCTTCGCGATCACCTTTGTCCAAAACCAAGTGAGGTTTCAGAACAGCACAAATTCTTGATGAGATCACAGCAAGAAGGTGAATCGATTTCGAACTATCAAGCTGAACTTAAAAGACTAACTACGATCAATACTCATCTGAGGGCGCAATTCATACGAGGTGTTCGTTGTAGTGAGACAAGAGAAAAACTCTTACAATATAGCAACACGATTTCATTCGAAGAAGCAGTCACAACAGCTTTAGCCATCGAATCCTCAAAAATTGAAAGTAGAGAAATGCAACAGCCACAAACGATAAATAAAGTATCAAGAGCGAATAAAAGTACTTATTCAGTCAAACCCACTACTTCCAAGAATTATTCAGAATACAGAGAGCCAATTGTTAGAGATGATTCTAAACAATGCTTTCGATGTGAAAATAGCGAGGCGTGGGAGAATCTTGCTGTAGGACACCGCACGTTTTATAGGGAAAATTGGCCTCCTGTCGAATTGGCTGAATTTTTGATATGTAATAGTTCAAGACATTCTGAACAAAATGTCCAAATACCAAACCGTTCTAATGACTAGTTTTGGCGCTAGATGCCGCTGAAGTCTCGATCTTGATTTCTTTTCGCCTGATGAATAATGCTCTATGAGCCATTATAATATTTTATTTTGATAGGATAAGTCACTACTAGAAGTATTCATCAATATTGTTGCTACCGGTCAATAATTATACAATGTGTTTCAGCTATTATTGTTCTAGACAATAATGATATTCATTAATTTTATAGTAAAGGTTATCGAGAAATGAGGAATCGAGAAATGTCCTATTTCAATTACAAAATACGTTCATTCGAATTCCATATTCACACTTTATATAACGAGAAGATACACGAAGATATCAACCCGTTCCATATAACAGTAGCTGAAGGATATTTGAATAGAAAAAAAAATTAATATTCAATATTAATGTGATGATATTTTTTCTAGTACTAATCTCCTATTTGTCAAGGTTTGAGAAGGAATGTTATTTTGCGTTTTCCCTCCTAAAACAGTTCGTATATATAACATCAATAAATCAGCACAAGTAACAAAGTTCACAAACTATTCAATATCTGCGATCCTGCCTGATCAACTTAGGGCGTGATATCTGAAATATATTGACATGCATTAGAAAAAATATACTAGGTATAATCAGAATTTTTTGACGAAGTTACAAGGGATGTTCATCTAAAGATTCAAATGAATACTAATATTACTGATATTTGCTACTGTTATAGAACGAGTGAAAAAAAAACGCCGAGACTTCAGCGGCTTCTAGCGCCAAAACTATCAATTAGAACAGTTTGGTATTCGGACATTTCGTTCAGAATGTCTTTTGGCATTAATCTCAAAATCCGTAGTTTTAGAAAAATATTCAGAATAGCAAAAATCATACAAATAAAATAGGGAATGTGAACCGATGCCTCATTGGAAGCAGAGGCAAAACGCAAAAAAGTTCAACAGGGTTAAATTGGGCACAACCTCCAAAAGTGTAATCAAAAAGGCTTAATAGCCCCAAACATTGAGTTTTTCAAGTATTATTGGTGCATCAAATTTCAATTATTTATTATGAAAACTGTAGAAAAAAACTTGGAAAACATGAAAAAATATTAACTTTGACACCTTGTATATCGGAATCGATGCTCTCACGTATATATGTTCACATAAAGTTTTCGCCTAAAAAATATTTGAACTGTTAGAGTTCTGCTACGAAAAACTGACTCACTCTGTATATTATATATCCTTGTTATATTGTTGTTGTTGTTTAAAACCCCAAGAAACATATTCGTTTATAATAGGGATATATAAACATATGATATATATATAACAATAAAATAAAACAACTAATTAACAAGTTATGTCAATATAACATAATAATTAAAATAAAATCATTCCAAGTATTCAAATCAGAATAAATTGCTCCGTTTATAGTGTCATGAGTATATATTTTTTCATATTGACTTTGTTTCATCATCAATATGTTTCAAATCACAAGGTAATGAATTATATAAAATGATTCTTTTGTAGAATACTGATTGTTTGCCAATAATGGAGTTATATGGGTTTGCTATTAATGAATTCAACTGTCTCGTTTCATGAGTATGAATTGTATTTACTTTAGTACAGTTCAAGTTGGATTTTTTTTTTTCTCACAAAACGAATAAAAGAACAAATTTTCATTTCATATAAAGATGATAAATTCAAACAGATCTTTTGGTTTGTAAAGATTAATAGTTGGTTCCAGGTAATGTTCCTAATGTGATATACTTGTGCTTCCCCAAATTGATATTAAATATTGTAATTTTGAGTAAATCAGACGGGGACCGGTCAGTTGGACCACGAGTACCTGCATTAATCCTTTTTTGAAAAAGGTCGAGTTAAGCCCACCCTGCAGTTCGACCAGGTTAACATTTTATTTTCTAATCGATTTAATAGAATTCGCGTTCAAACGTTCTAGTAAGCATAATTATTATCCTTCATAAGTATCTAGAGTTTAGTTTTTCTACAAACGTCAAAAAATGACAAGGTTCGTGCATTGATAACAAATTGCGATGTGACACTTTTTTGTACTAAATTTTTTCTACAATTATTCACTGTTCATGCTTTTAAAAATGGCTATTATATACCTGTTGCATTTTGCTTGTTACCAAACAAGAACAGCTCAAGTTATTTAAAATTATTTCAACTGTTAAATGAAAAATGTTAAACTTTGGATCTGATATTTAAACCTTCAACAGTCATTGTTGATTTTGAACAGGCAATTCATAACGCTTTTTCAATAATGTGGCCGAATATAAAAATTATAGGATGTAGATTCATTCCATTTGTGCCAATCGTGGTATCGTGAAATTCGAAAATTGGGCTTAGTCACAGATTATCGGAACAATAACTCAGAAGTAGGCAATTTTCTTAAATAATTTTTTAGGCTTCCATTTTTAGACCCTAATGAAGTAGGAAACAAACGCGTGTGAATCATTTCATTCTTATTATAATTCTAATTTTTATAGTTCTCACCCAAGTTTATTTAATTTTGTAAATATCTTAATAAACTTTCAAGCAGAAACATATATTGAAATAAATTCCGTAAAAATGTTCAACCAAAAAACTAAAAAGTGCAACACAGAAAAAAAAATTATTTCATTAAAGCTAAGATATCAGAATATAGAAATGGCCTTTCATCACAAAAAGATTTTGTAAAAATTATGTCTTATTATAATTCACCTCAATGATAAAGAAAATAGTGATTGTTTTAATTTTTAGAATACAACCTTAATCCGCTCGAAGAGCGGTCGTGGTCCAACTGATCGGTGTACTTAAACCAGGTACCTGGCCCGTGGACGAACTGTCCGACTCCCAATCAGACAGAAATATATATTCTTCAAATATCTAAGAGGAATGAAATTTCGAATTTTGTATAAAATGCCAGTAAGTAATTGGATTCAGCTTTTTTCACAGGTGAAGACAATATAATGAAAAATAAACAGAAGCTCATAAAATCATAGACCCTGAATGAACAGGATTACACAATCATAAAAGAAATCTGGCATTACGAACCTCGGCCCTCTTCGCAGGAACATTCCACTCGTCCGGCAGCCGACAACCCGCAAATCTCCTCGCAGAACCCGTTCTGCACGAGACACGGATTCGAGAAACAGTCCTCGGTATCATTGGCCACCGTCACAATGCCCATAGGCCTGGCCACGTCTCTGCGCAGCAACACCACGTACTGTCCGGTGAACTTGTCGGCCCTTATGACGGCGTGCAGAATCCAGTCGGTCCAGTAGACGAAGTCGCCGTACACGGCCAGGGCGAACGGATGCTGGGGGGTGACTTTGGCAAGAACGACCCGTTTGGAGCCGTCGTACTCGCACCGCTCGATCTTGTCCAGTCTAGCATCGCCCCAATACAGTTTCTGAGCCTACAGAGGAAATAGATCGAGGCATATTTTCATGTATAATGTATTTTTTTTTCTCTTACAAACACAGCCAGGAGTATTAACATATAAAAGATAGTGCTTCAAAACACAAATACTTAGAGCTAAATTAGAAAACTAAACCTAAAATCTACCCAGAGATACTATAAAATACATTCAATATTGAATACTGCTGATTTCATCTCTTTTGAATTACAATTGAGAAAGTCAATATTGCATCTTTCTGCAAGTATATTACATTGTCGTAGCATTTCATTCATAGGAGAACAATCTAGATGAATTGTATACAAAAATTTCTTGTTATTTATTCTTAAATTAACTTTAGGTGCCAATATTTTTAGTTGACTAGGAATGAATCTTTGTATTTTATACTATTGATTATATAATAAATGAATACTACAGCATGGAATCTACGTCTCTGTTCTAGGGTTACCATATGGAAACAATCTAGCATACTCCTATATGAGATCATATAGGGGTGTGCATTATGTTGTCGTACATACAAGTATCGTAGGAACCTTTTCAACAAGGTTTATATTCACTTCAGCATTGGGAGACCATGTTATTGACGCATATTCAAGATGCGGTCTCATTTATGCATTGTGAAGTTTAATGATAGAGCTAAAATTTTTAAAGAATTTTGTATTTTTAATGACAGAACCAACAATTTTGTAAGCCTTGTTTACAATGTAGTTCAAGTGGGGTTTATATTTAAGGTTATATTGCAAATAAACTCCCAGATCCTTACACTCATTTTTCCTAGGAAGTTCAGTGCCCTTTATAATATAAGTATTTCTAATGAATTTATGTTTACGAGTAGAAGTTATGACTTCACATTTATCAATGTTGAGGGTCATTTTATTTTGATCAAACCATGTGGACATTGAGTTGATATCCTTCTGCAAAAGAAGGCAGTCCATCGATGTAGTAATTGACCTAAAGATCTTGAAATCATTAGCAAGAAGGTAAAAAGTAATGGTCTAAAATTGCTGCCCTGTGGCACAACTGACTTTGCTAAGAAAGGTTCAGAAAAACACTGTCCGATTTCTAAGTTATTTCTACAATTATACATAAACATTTCTTATCGGTTTAAAATTAATAAAATGAAAAGAAAAAGTAATTACACTCCTGATGGAAGGAATTTATCGATCGAAATTTAAGTGAATTCCTAATAATTTCTAATAATGACGGTACAGTTTTTTCTGCATCCTGAATCTGTTATGGAAATCATGATCAGGTTAGGTTCACCATTTTCTAAAATAAACTTTTTTCCTTACTAATGAGGCCTTTATTTGTGTTGAAGAATTTCCATAATATCTATGTCCTCATCGCTATCCAAAACGTAATTTCCCACAAAATCCATATTATTATAAAAATAAAAAAATCATCTTAGACAAAAACTCAAATGAGAGCGGTTAGGCTAGAATTTTATTTTTTGCGTTCATAATTTCCATTGGTCGGTGTAATCCATGTGAAAACAACAACCAATCAGATCCATTACATCTATTCATCATCATTACCAACATTTCTTACCTATCAAGTTAATTTTCTAGATGAAACAAAATTAGAAGAAAACCGACAAATAACTAACTGGCGGATAAAATCGGCAATTGATAAACCGCCCCTCAGTCTGCTGAGTCAGAGAAACAAGCAGAATCAAGATGATAAAATAGTTATACAATGCTGATACAATATATTGTTACATGTCCAATACACTTTCAATAGATAATAAGTAGGTAAGTGCCAACATAATATTTTTTCTCTGAAACAAATAGGTGAAAAGCTTACAGAAGCTTGAAGTTGCCTACGGTTAAACTTCTACCCAAGAGAAAGAGTACCAAATGTAATTTTTTTCAATTACCTTGTGATCTAGAGTGATAGCATTCGGCATCCGGATGTCGGTTTTGATGATGGCCTCTCGCCCGAACCCGGTCAAATACGCCCGCTCGACACTAGGCTGATGCGAGTGCCAGTTGGTCCAGTAGACGCGGTTGCCGCAGCTGTCCACGGCGATGCCGCGCGGCTTGTCTTGCAGCCGCATGCGCACAATGGTCTCCACCATGCTAGCGTTGGTCATGCCGTCGGTCAGGTTGACACGGTTGATGGTCGCGTCGATGTTGCAGGTCCAGTAGAGGGAGTTGTGGACCTGTTCGTAGGCGAGGCCTTCCACAGAACCTTGTCCTGAAGAATGAGTAGTGTTTCGTAACGAAGACAAATGAAATGTAACTTCAAGAAACTTCGTGAAGACAGCTTAAAGAAGGAAATCTACACCTCTTTTTTGTAAAAGCTTCCCCACTGACAAGAGATTTTGACGAGATTGAAGACACAAGACAATCGTTGTACTCTCACACCTGACGGTAATGAATTGAACAAACAAAAAACAGAAGTGAACCAATGAGAACAAAGTAAATATACAGCTTTGACAGCTTTCAAAAACTCTGATAGGTGGCGTACGCCCATTTCCATCATCCGCTGCAGATTTGAGATAGCGTACAGATTGCAAAGACACGGATCGATGTGGTCAGCTGCGTAGGGGTTCATGTCTGTTGTAATATTAGCTTCCGTTTTATATACTTTGGTCAATTCCCTGTATGGGTTGAAGGTAGTAGGTGTGGCATGTCACCTAATTGTTCAATGGTCTTAGAATAACCCCTGATACATAGATACCATGCCGCATCTCTCAACGTTCCGCAATCAGTACCGTAAGACGATGAAATGAAGTTGACATTTATAGATTTTCCTGAATTTGACACTCGAAAATCTTGTCATATTAATTTGTGATTTTTGTTCGGACTATCAAGTACCATTTCTGGAATGAGCATTGTTTCAAAGCACGAGGATCAATCTGCCAAGGTATTCCACATCTAACAATAGGTGATAATCTACGGATTATCAATATTTCGCGCTGCTACAGCTGGAGTTCTGTTACCACAGATGATATATTCCTTTCTCAGGGTTTCTTAGAGAGTATTTTGATTCCACTTTTTCATTCAAAACTAAATGTTACCAAATAAAAATACTCAAAAGTGCGCTGTATTTCCTATTTGTTCATGTTTCAAATACGGAGTTTCATCATATCACACTGTGTGGGACGAATTGGCAACCTTTAAAACTTTTGGAAGTTGAGAGATAAAACACTTACTGTCTACAATAACCTTATGGTCACTTCCATTGAAATATACTGCATTTATGGACCCTTTTTGGATATCAGAGTAAAACAGTCTTTGGTGTTTGTAACTGAATGATAGGCCGATGGCATTCTTCAACATGGTATTGTTCTTGATACTGGGCTGTGGAGAATTCTGTAGGTTTTTGTCTCCCATCATCTGGATGGAGTCAATACTGACAACTCTTGAATACATAACGAAACTTTCAAAAGCTAAAACAAGAAAGACAATAAGATGAATCATCAATAATTTTCAATTCTGGAATGTACCTTCACACGATTTACCATCAGATGATATTCGCCCGTGAGAACAGACACATACTGGGTGAGTACCATTGAAAAGACATAACTGTTGACAACCACCGTTATCTTTGGCACAAGGGTTGGTCCCATTCTGCTTTCTCTTGGAAAATATTTGGATATCTTTCAGAGAATCACCCAAATTGTTTTCTAGCACCTCATAAGCGGACATGTTGGAGATTGGGGCTACTTTTATGCTACCTCTGCGATGAGATCTTGAATGATACAAGAACAAATATTTTGTTGATTTTTTATACATTTACGACATACAAATATTCATATTTTATGAATAGCCAAATCTGACTGTCACAAATTAAGAAAATTATTGTCCAATACCGAATTGCTGAACTTGGTATGTAAAGCATCTATGACCCTGATATTCATTTTGAATATTCAAAAATTGAATATAATTTTTTCACATTACTTTTCTTTCAGCTAGTATACTTTTGCTGGATTATTGAAATTTTTCCGGAGAATTTTCCTGTTGAACATTTTTGGCTGTTTGATTTCATTGCACCAATTTCACGTGAAATGCCATGATGTTCAACCCAAAATGTTCTAACCTCACGATTTTTGTTCATAAGTGAAAATAAGTGCAAATAAGTGAAAAAGAAGCAAGCTCAGAGCATGAACTGAATTATATGTTTTCAGATAATTTAACTGGAATCATAATATGAACATTGACACATACTGTGATGAAACATTGTCGGAACATTCTGATGAAACATTGTCGGAACATTCTTATCTTCTAATTTATAATTCAATCTCCACTTCATCTGCTTATAAAGTAGTCCGTCCAGTAAAAATTACACTGAGTATAATCACAGACAAGTACAATGGGCTTCGACATATACACCGTGTCCAAGATAAGGATGTCTATCATGGGTATCTCGGAAACCATAAGAGATAGGAAGATGGTTAAATCATAGAACAGTTGCGCATTTTCGAGCCTAATAATATGCCGTTAAGATCCGGAGATATGCATATAAAACCAAAATTCACCGATTCCGTTTTCATTTTTTGTTGTTGTTATTCAGAAGAACTGTTCATTTCTGTTTGCTCTACCTGCTAAACTTGTTTTTTTTTCTATGACTTTCTCTGTTTACGTAATGCCATGAACAGAGACAACTATGGAAAAAAATCAACTTTAGCAAGTTCAGAAACACAAACGAACAGACCTAACGAGATAATATAGGAAAACAAAAGACACTTTGTCACTGCCAATTTTTAAGCTCTACAAAACAGCTTAGAGATAGACATTTTCATCTTGGACGTATAAAGGGTCTCACCAAAGAATTGTTGCCTACCATTACTCGAGAGTATAACAAGTCAATAGAAGAGAAAACCACTTACGTATCCAACCAGTAAATCTTGTCCTGAAAAATGGTCAATGCCACCGGATTCTCCAAAGAATGATTCAGCAACACCGACCTCTCCTGTCCATCATACCTCACCCTCTCGATGGTATTACTGTGCGCGTCACAGAAATACACAAACTCGCTGGAAGAATCCAAAGCGACGTCAGCTATCGACTTCCCGTCATCCAACAACAACCTCCTATTCTGGCCGTCCAAGGTGGCGATCTCCATCTTGGGCCCACCGGCCCACACCAGGTACCCTTTGACAGGGTCCACTGCTATGGAATTCGGCTTCCCGATCTCGTAGGACAGCAGCACGTGGCTCCTGGTGCCGTCCAATCGCGCCACTTCGATGGTGCTGCGCTTGGAATCGCACCAGTACATGTTCCCCGCCACCCAATCGATCGCCAGACCCGTCAGCCAATCCACAGGCGCGTTCTCCAGCACCTGTAACGTTTTTATCCAATACTAACAGACCTCGTAAACGTTATTTTGCTATAAACATCATTTCTATAATATATTTTTTCAGTTCAATATTCAACAAGACACTATTATTATTTTATTTTAGACTTCTTCTTAGTTTCGCTATCTATCAAAGCGTCTTTTTTTAGTTTTTCAAACTACCATTTGTTACAACTCCTTTTTAGTTCACTTGAATTTCCCAATGTTGACGAAAGAATCATAATATCCGACTCCTAAAAGCTCAGATGGAAATTTTGAATATAATCGGAACATAATTACACAACTCGTCCGGAATATTGGATCTACCATCTTGAATTTCCTAATTCCGAAAACGCCCACTTACAAATTTTATAACTAAGCATTACCTCAGATATGGGTCCATCTAACCAGGCTATGTGAAAGCGTTTTGGTGTGAAATCTCGTAAAACAATATTACAAAATTATATAAATAATCTAGTAGATAGTCCAAAGAAAATTTACGTTATTGCTGATGTTCCACATCTCATGAACAATATCAGATCTGCCCTCGTCAATGTGAACGGCGATCTATAGTGGGTAGAGCGCTGGAGTCCAGTTATACGTACTTCCGTATGCCTTGGAGAAACTTTATCATTTATCCTAACTGAAATCAGCTGTTATTGTTGCCATATCATTTGTTCATTTATTACTTATTTATGACCTACCACTCTTGTACAAGTGAAATTGTTCCATACGAAATAAAAGTATGTTTCATTGTTTGAAATTTATCAGTTTTTACCCCATTCTGAACTTTTGTGATAAAATAATATTCAACTGAACGAATATATATACATACATATAAGAGACTCATTTCATAGGAATAGTATATGTATTTCGTTGGTATATGTATGACTCAATATTTCGGGAAGAAATAATTTTCTAATCAATTTATCGTACCCTTTAACCCCTCGAGGAGATGCTATGCACTCTCATACAAAAATCAAAGACAGATAAAGATATATGGATGTACTCTTGCCAGGACTTGTGGAAGAAGGAAGATGCGAGGATCCTTTATCTAAGCGAAAAACATATTCTTGTCCTTGTCTGGCAAAACATATGATTTGCCTCAAAATCGTCAAAACAGCAGTGTCAAATATATTTAGGACCTCTACTAAATACTAGGTGCAGTGAAGAATGTAAATTTCACGTTTCATACCTCCGACTGTTCCAGCACGTGCTTCCTTTCGGTGCCGTCCCGCTTTATCCTGCTGACGGAACCACGATCGCTGTCAGCCCAATACAGCAGGTCTTGCTCTGCGACAAAGTCTATGGCGGTGGCGCTGGATATCCTGGATATCGGCCCCAAGACTTGGGTATCGTTTTTGCCGTCCAAAGACAGCCCGTGCAGTTCCCAGTTGATAGAGTAGAACAGGAACTCCTCGACCCCTTTGCACTTGAACGGGTCCTTGTGGTCCACCTGGTACCCTGTGGCGCAAGCGCAAGATTTTTTGGTTGCGGTGATCGGTAGGCAGAGTTGTTGGCATTTGCCTTTGCGGTCGCTGCAAGGGTGAGTACCAGTTTGCTCGGTGGGGTCGTAAATTCTCAGTGCAAGTACATCGCCGGTGCCGTTTCTTAGGATGTAGTCGTTATTGGCAGTGGTTTTGTCCGTCGAATGGATGGAAAGATCGTTGTCATCAGCGAAGAAAAGTCTGTCATGGTACACTGTGATGGCGCTAATATGCATTTGTTCAGGCAGCGGTAGCTTCTGCAGACCTGTGCCATCGAAATTACTGAAGAATACTTCCATGTTGCTTATCCAGTACAGCTTCGAATCCCTGATATCGACTGTGAGACTTTTAGAGTTCGATTTCAGAATGGGGACGATGGTTTTCCTGAAGGTACCATCCATAACGCTAGTTTCTATGAACTCGGTTTCATTCGCTATGGATATCCAGAAGAGGAGTCCTAGTTTCGGATTGATAGCTATCGACAACACCGAGGCATCATCGATGAGATTGAAGCTATACTCTCCATTCAGATTCGAAACTATTATACCACTTTTTGATGACACAAACAACAAGTCTGATATCCAGTCTACTGCTATCCCGGACGGGTTTTGCAGGCCCGTATCTATTAGGGTTTCAGAGGGGCCATGGGTGAGGCTGGTACGCTTTATTTCGTTGATGTGAAAATCTGCCCAGTACAGGGTGTTGTTTCTGGCAAGGTATTCCATTTGAACGGGGCTGAGGACTTGGGGTATGCTGATGGTGGGGATTGTGTGGTAGTAGGGTTGTAATATGTCGACGCCTCGAATTTCACTGTTTCTTGATATCAGCAAGACTTTATCGTTCACTGAAAAGAAATTCAGTCGATATTAATAGCATACAATATCTTACAAGTATATTAAAATAATGGATAATAAATAAACAAATTGTAGTGATGCAATTTTCAGAAACCAAAAAACACAGAATATAAAAAGGAGAGATTTGAACTGTGTTACTATGTACCCATGACTGAACAGCAGAACATAATGTTCAACCACATAACCACATTAATAACACAGACATTGAGAACTTGAAATTGTTCAGGAAATACTAAAAAAATGGTTATAATTGAGAATATATAACAGATTTCATATATACTCATGATGATCATAGTTTAGAATTTCAAATAAACTCAAAGTATCAATCGGGAATTTCAGGGCTGGGAGAATTTATGGTTGATAGATCACATAAATATATCTACTCTCCAAGTTTCTTTGAATGAAAATTTCATCGACTTTCACCATTTTCTCGTTTTTTTTGTGGAACCTGGAAGAAAAATCCTAACAGTCTATCTTGAACACTACATGTTGATCAATGTATTGTGCTCAGTCTTCCTGTCATGATATCTATCTATTATGTCAACAAAACACTCTGTATTCAAGAACTATAAGATGTCATACAAGTATATTTATCAACAACCATACAGAAGAAATATCTGAAAATAGCGCTGCAATGACAAATATTTCTGGTCAGAAGAACATAGAAGTATGGCATCTCACATTTTTCTGTCAATATTTATTTCTGTTTTTAATACATGACGAGAAATCATTTCGAAGAATATAAAAATCGAATTGAAAAAATCCCAAGAATTTGTCGTCTCATTGGGAGCATGTCACCCTATATTACCAGATAGCACCATCTATTTTCATCAGAGATTTATTATTCATATACCTGAAGGATACATTTTCAAAATGACAAAAACCGCGCCCGAATATGTGGGATTTTTGCGAAAATATTGAACGTTGAATTTAGTGCAAGAATGTGCTTGTTGCGGTTCAATAATTGATCAGCAGTTTAGTTAAATAGTTATTCATGTACCAAGGACGAAATACTGTCTATTATAGTCGAGTCTGCATATTGATAACCGAGGCCTTTGCCGAGGCTAGCAATGGGGCGGGACAATAGACAGTTTTTCGCCGAGGTGCATATTACATTTTTTCGTCGACCTCAAACACTTATATTCACATCACGGTTTTATTCACACAGGGTAGCCAGTTGAATTTTTATTCCATCAGTAAATACCTTGTCAAAAATTCAGTAGATTTCAATAGATCTGTTATATGCTTCCAAAACATCATATATTTCTAATTCTCAATTCAAAAATACTCACAAATTTCACAAAATACAGTTACATAGGTATAAAAAACAGGAACGATTTGTGAAAATGAAAAACAAAAATACAAAGCAAATGAAAAAAATAAACGTAAGAAACAAATTGTTATAACAGAGGAGATAAGAACGTAAAATGTGATTTTTTGTAGAGGTCGACGAAAAAAAAAGTCTGCTTGTTTCCTCTGTAGAAAGAGATTACAATCTGAGGAAACAACATGATTCACCATTACAATATAAGTCTTATTCATCATTTGTATTGTTATAATTTTTGTGTGATTAGTATTGTGAATGAATGCATATTGCATATGGTACCACACTGTTGCGAAGAAGTGTACGTAGAAATGTGATCCAATGGTATTGTGGCTTGTGAGCTTACATTTGTTGGTAAAAATCGTGATTGAGATATTAGAAATATTTAAAAAAACATCACAACACCTTACATAGTTGAGTATAAACATGTGAAAATACATCAAACCATTCCACTCACCGACACAAGTCTTGTTGTCCACCCCCAGCCGCATGATATGCGGACAATCGCACCGGTACGTCCCGTTCAGATGCAACAAGCACAAATGCGAACACCCGCCGTTGTCCGCCCCGCAAGGGTCCCGCCCGTCCGTGGGCTGCCTGCTCGGATGCATGATCTTGATGTCGAAGGGCTGCGTGAGCGTGCGCTGTATCACTCTGACATCGCCGCCCGTCCACTTGTTGGCCCTCACCACGCTGTTGGTGCGCCAGTCCGTCCAATAAACGTAGTTCTCGAAGACGGCGATGGCGAACGGGTGGGAGAGCATCTCGTGATTGCGCATGACTTCGTGCCGATCGCCGCCGTCGTAGTCGGAGGTGTGGATGGAGTCGGAGCGCGCGTCTATCCAGTAGATGCGCCGGGTGGTGTAGTCGAGAGTGAGGCCGTTGGGCCAGCCGTTGTTGTCGACCTTATTTGTGGAACAGTTTGTTTTTATTCTCATGAAATCTAGATTTTTTCAGTTTGAATGGCCTGTAGGACCATGGTCGTTCTAAATGAACTGCTCAACACATGAAACGTTAAAATGGCATTTTTTTGATCAAATTTGAATCATCATAACTTTCGATTTCCTCAACCGATTTTCAATTATTTTTCAGTTTCTGAAAGCTCGTTTCATTGACTATTGAAGCTATGGATATGACTAATTCATCTTTTCCGGATGAGATTCTACAGGATGATAATCAAAGCTGTGCATTTTTCCAAAAATTTCAAACGCCTCCCGTTTGAAAGAAAAATTTTCTATTTTTTTTTGGGTCAAAAACATATTGTTTCATATGTTTTCTCGATACAGTAAACAAATTTTTGGAATTGTCACACGCGTTACTGAAATATGAATGTTTTATTGAGATAATGCATAATTTGATGCTCTAATTTCTATTGGCTTTGTGTTTCTGTCATTCTGGTTCATGATCAACCTATTCTGTTTTGACTAGCAAGAAAATTTCGAAACAGGAAACCGATTGAGAAGTTTTCTGCGTGTAGGAGAGGTTGTTATCACCATGCCAAGTTGCTACAGAATCTATTGGAAGATCAAACCACTGGAATTGTTAGAAAAACCGGATTTTCAGAGCGTCGTTCTCACTTTGTGATTGATTTTTAGAAGATAATTTCAAGGCAAATGAGATAGACTGAAGAAATATACAGGATGTCGTCTCGAGACATACCATGCAACTGATAGAATTCATCACAATTGCAGTAGATTCAGTATCAGGATGTGATTTCATTTGCAGTGAACGTCTTCACAAAGGACTTATATTGAATTTATCGAAATTCGAAAGAATGGCAGACGTGAGTCACATGGATATGTAATCCTGACTCAGTAATTTTGTATTTCATGTAAAATTTCATTATACAATTGCAGAGCGCTTTCGCATCAATTCAGTGCAAGTAAGTAATTTTTATGAAATGTTAATAAAACAGTATGGATTACTTATTCGTTAAATATTTACAAAAAGGTCCAACATTTTTTTGACATCATTAAAGAATTAACGGTAGTAAGAACAGTCATACATTTAACAAATAAGTGCACCATTGGGTTATTGTGATTTTTTTTTTTTCAAAAATACATGTTGTACAATTTCCTAAAATGTTTCCATCAGGTCCGAACGAGAGCACCAGGCACCTTAATCCTAATTAGTTTGACAGATACTTGACATAACTAACAGTAACCATATTGTTGACATGGACATTGACACTTAGTCACTTACCTATTCATCAAAAGTATAACTTGAGTTTTGTTGTAAAGAAACACTGGTGAAGATGTCAAATCATCACTTGAAATCCCAAAAACAATTGAGGAGGAAGTGCCATGGTCATGTTGGTATGTTCATGAAAGAACAGACGATTATTGAAGTTATACCTAGGTACTTCCCTATTCATTGTAACACTTGAGTAGTATGCAAAAACAAAAGTGCGAAGATTCTGAGTCGTTAATTGAAGACCCAAAAATAATTGAGGACCAAAAGTGTGTAAATATTCATGAAAGAACATAGAATCAATCTAAATTAAGATTGGTGAAGCTAATTATTGTAAATTTTCCTAAATGAATGTCAATTATCGAACACCTGCATCATTTCGACCACAACTTATTCTTCCAAAGGTCTCATATAATCAGCAACTCCGTCTAACATATTCAAAAGCCTTACCATCTATCTTCATTTTCTGAAATAGGAATAGAACGGAGTAGAAAGTGATAAGAGATAAAGAAATAGTAATATAATGGAAATACTTGGATAGCTTCAGTGATCTGGAGGGCATTGGTGAAACCAAAACAATATGAATGAGGAAGTTTCTAATATTGAGGTTTTTATCCCACTGTGATGTTTGTGAAATTTTATATTTTTCCTCTTTTTCGTAAATCAATTTTTACTTCAGAAAAAAATAAATGAAAAGAGAATCTTGGCTCCTTCACCATTCCTGGCGTACTACCTAGAAAAGCCACATTCACACAGATATGAAATACGATTCCCTTTGTCAATTCTGGAAATTGTTCTTTGAATAAATTATAATAATATAACAGCAATGGAATATAATAGGTTTTCTAAATCCTGCTTCGGCGAGTATTATGAATAATTTTCATAAATATCTGATTTGCTGGCTGAAGTTGATTACCCATAAAGGTCATTATAAAATTTTGCAATAGTAAATATCTATAACTTTTTACCTTCGTCATATTACAAAATGATAATCAAAACTTATCATTTATAATTTTGCGAATAAATTCGTTCCTTCATGAAACAGGTCTATTTTCAGATTCAGAATGTACGTCACAGTTTGCCGCCCCGAAAATTAGAAATTATTCAATTTTGAAAATAAAAACGACGTCATTCTGTACAGCGTGGACATTAAACTGAACTTATTTTATGAAATTTTATCTAAGGAAACTTCCCCATTGATAAAACTTGTGTGTGATCATCATCAAAAATATATTATTGACTTGGTTCCCTGAAATATGAATTTCAAAACCACCAACATACATTTTTAGCGCCCATCTATTGGTTCGTGATTTACTGAAATACTGTCTATAACATCTGTGAAAGTCCTCTATAATCACCTTAACGACGATTTGCCGGTCCAGCCCAGCCAACGAACACCGCTCTATCCGCGGCAGCTGATTGTCCCAATCGGTCCAGAACAGATAGCCGTCCCTGGGATCCACCGCTATGGCCCTAGGGCTCTCCATGTCCCCAGCAACCAGCGTGCGCCGGTAGCTGCCGTTCAGCTTCGCCACCTCGATCTGGTCGAGGTTGCTCTCCACCCAGTACAGGTTGCGGCCTATCCAATCGACGGCGAGGCCTTCGGCAGTAGAAAGGCCGGTTTGGACGACCACCTCGATGTTGCCCAGCGAGCCGCCTATGACTGTGCCGCGGTATATTTTGTCGTCGATCACGTCCGTCCAAAACACCTGGTAAGAAATCCTCAGACTGAATAACAATAGATAGACACCACGATTCATTCATGAATCATTCAAAAGTAAATGCAAACAATCCTGAACACCAGACACGGATACATGAATGAAATCGCCAATGGTGGGGATAAATCTGCGATGTCATTTTTGTTGGATGAATTGTGGTGTACAATGCACAGACTTCAATAAATGATTACTACATAATCCCCATAGGTCGCGTGCACGATGACCGACCCTGGAAGTAAAACATTGAAACACAACCTCACTTTTCCGTAAAAAATTGAGACATAACCTCACTTTTCATATTTGTTTCTCAAGGAATCGAAGGATTGAAATAGAATATCACAATATTTTAGCATATGAATCGTGTTTTTTGGGCTACTCATTAATTCAAGCATGCCATCACATTGTGCTGTTGAATACACAAAAAATGCAGCGAGACAGGAAGGAATATGGTTTTTCAGGTAAATAGTGATCTCACATAGTTTTCATTATGAAATATTGCCATTTCTCATTAGAATTCCTTCTGCCACTTCTGCAATAGAAGCTTATACTGCTAAAAGAGTGAAAATGTCTACAACACACACGATAATACTTTATCAACATGTCACACCCATCGTTCCGTTTGATTGCCAACATTTCTATACTCTCTTCTTGCCTTCTTTTAGAAACTTTACGAGTATTTCTATTAGCTTCTATTGCAAAAGGATTTCCAATGAGTAATGACAAAATTTCAAAACAAAAACTATATGTGAGTTTACTATTGAGGTGACTATAGTACTTTTAGTTCACGATGTACCTAACTGGAAAATCGAATTCCTTCGTCTCTCGCTGCATTTTTTGTGCATTGTACAACAGCTCAATGTGATGGCATGCTTGAATGAAAATGAAATAATTGTGAAAAACTATCCCAATCATTTATAAATAAATTTGGAAAGTGAGGTTGTGTTTCAAAGTTTTACCTCCAGGGTCGGTCATCTGACAGATCTTACCCGCAACCCATACAGATGCCATATCTGATTTGCCTATCAGTGAAAAATAGGTTATTCTTGTGATATCTTGGCCAAGATCATTTGATACAACTTCTATAGCATATTATCCAGATGCACGTTTCTTTCTCAGTGACATGACATAGATATCGAATCTCAATTTGTTATCGATGTATAAAACAGGAAATTGATCAATAGCCTCATTTTCAACTTGAATATTACTGTTGATGAGATTTTCATACTCGAACTTGAATGTTGTATTATTCATTATATTTGTAGTGAAACATAGAGAATTAGTATTGCATCATGATTCAACTTGTTCTAATTCCTGGCACATAACTTCTTTGAGACTATCTACATATTTTCCATGCCATAGGAGGGTAGCAATAGCAAATAATAATTGACAGATAATGTGTGAACAGTCTTGTCAAATCAATACTCGAGACATTTCCTCAGTAGAACTTTATGAATGAAAAAACACGAGACAAGAATCCTTACCATATCAGTGTCATTGGCGTGATAAAAATCCAACGTTATAGTATTCTTTAGGCTCGGAATGAAAGACTTGAGTGTGAAGGTATGCAAATCGATGCCTCTGAGTTCATGCCGGTTGCTAAAAATGACGTAAGGCCTTCCACTATCGGTACTCTTGCATGTGAATCCGTCCTCTTGCATAACATACCCTTTCTGACAAGTGCACTTGTACCTATATAAATCAATCAAATACAAAAGTATGAAACAGGTACAAAAATAACCAACAAAAGCATAAAATTTATATCACATTCAAAACCAACTAGATACCTAACATAATAGTTAAAATAACCTAGAACTAAATCATACATGACTTCAAAACTTTTCGTTGTAATTTTTCTGCAAGTCAGAGTACGCTTTTGGAATGACGAATTTTTGAACCTCCTCTCTGAATTGTTTTATACTTCCAATTGCTTTCAACTGTTAGGTCAAATGATTGTAGATTTTTTTGCTTTCACATCTAATATAATGTTTGGTTCGAGTTATCATGGGTTTGGCAGAAAAAGGTGACACTTATTTCTAGTGGACATGTCTGGTATGGATCGATCCAACAGACTCTGTTCCCAAAATGAAGATGCAGGTGAGAGTGAGAACTTGTTGATTATTCATTATTCATTCTTTCCTTCAATATTTCAAATATTTTTGTTCCTGAATCATTGATATAGACTCCATTAATATGGTTCTTTGTTATTTTTAATATGATTATTTTCACTAGGGTCCCTTGATGTAAATTGACGTATTTGTCATCTTAACAGGGTACGGACAGATCCTCGTCTCCTCTCACTCTAAAGTGTTTGTGAAACAGTTATATAGTTCCATATTTATTCATTTCTGGGGATAAACACTAGATTTCTGACATTTGTTGTTTTTTAGGTTATATTGAGGTCATTGGCGTAACATACGTAATTTCCACATGTAATTTCTCATTCAACCCTACATATTATATCCAAATGATGATAATTTTCGAGTTTTTGATTTTTCAACTCCAGCATAATCTTTTTGAGGCAGTGAGCAAATTTTTCCGAAAGTTTGATACGTTTTACCAAATGGGACTGTTCTTAGGCAGTACCTATCAATAAATGGATTTTGATTTCAGACTAAGCCTTATGGTATATTCATGTTGGGAATCATTTTTGCAGTTTTTCAGGAACACTTAATATTTCCTGAATGTTTTAATCGAAACTGTTTCTACTAAAATGCACTCAAAAACTTGCGGAGTGGATAATTATAGGCATAATGAGAAAGTATATGTGATTTGGTATTACTTTTACCTCGAATATTTTGCTGATGTATTTACCAATTTTCCCCAATCGGTCACTTCACTTTCCATGTTTTAAGTTTATTTTGCATTTGATGGAAAGCTGACAAGTTCAAATTTGCCATCCAACTGATTGATACAGCCTAACGCAGCACATTTTACCATCCTACCAAAACAGAATTGAATAATGTCGTATCAAGATCAAGTATGAAATTAAAATTTTGTAAGATCTCTTTTAACTCCTATGAATGTGACATGACAGCAATGTCATATCATGTATATGTTAGATGACAAATACGTCAGTTTGCATCAAGGGGCCCTAATTTTCACCAGAATCACAGCCGTCTTCAACTATCAAGCCGTGCTGAGATAATGGCAACGTCGCACGAACGGAAACCGTCGGTCCCATTCAAGCCTAGCAATACAATGGTTTTTATATGAGCGCGAGCTTTGAATGTTTGGTTTAACGTAATTTTCTCGGATTATTTTGTGGAATAGGTAAAAAATACACGAGAGTGAACTTACAGAGTGAAGAACGAGGAATAATGTGGTTGAATAATTCCCTTGGTCATGAACTGAAGCCGTAATTTTGAACATGTTGTTAAAATATAACTTATGGAGATATATCGAATTTTTCATTCATATCTGAGTGTTTGTCAGTTTGATCTGAGATATTATTGAATCTAGCTAGAATATTTTCAAGTTCATGTCATGAGTAAGGATCCATTTCAATTCATTGAATCCAAGTTTATTATCACCAAGAAAAACTTAGACCTCCATCTCATTGGATATTATAACTTGAGAAACGATTTGTAAAGTATTCACATCAACACATAATTGGGATAGAAAACATTTGCTTTCAAATCTGATTCATAAAAATACAATTTTTCATCAGTCTTATGGATTTTCCAAGTATCAATTTTAACTTTCTCAACATATTCCCTAACTAACTGTTCATAGTTGTGGATGAGGTCTGATTTTTCAAACTGTTCTATTATATTACTTTGAATATCTGAATATTTCTGACGTCTTTCATTTGGATCAGTTTTTTATGGTTTGGCTGGTTTTGAAAATTATTTTGGTAAATTTGGAAAAATTGAAGGAACTGCTGTTTCGACTAACTTTGGTGCTCATAACGAATTTTTCCAATTGATCCATCTTGCAGAGGGAATGTATCATATCTGATGATATATTTTTCAATAAAATGAATTGCACATACTGCAGAACGTTGAGATGGTGTCCAGTTTTTTCGAGGTATTGCTGTTATCCACTTATTTCGCAATTTTTCCCCTTTCGGGAATAAAAAAACTGAGACATGATCTTTTCCCAGCTTTTTTCAGATCTGTAATTTGACTTACATCCTGGCACACAACAATTAGGAGGCATATTCCATAAGGAATAATGAATTACTTACTTATTTCCAGGAGTAAATTGAAAAAAACAACACAAATTCCCTTGCAAATACACCAGCACTAGTACACTTCACTATAACCTCAAATTTAACACAATTTTGAATGCACTTGCCACACATTTTCAGTCTCGAGACGATTCCTAGATTGTTGCTAATACTTTCAAAATTATTTGATCTCAATAATACACCAATTAATAATTGAAAACATTAACAAAACCTTCCATAAACTCTTTGTTTACTTCCTACACAATACACTTTGAATGGCCGACAGGTTCACGTTCGGTCGTTCGGACAATGTTGCCAAAGTTCACTCCTCATGGCTTTCAATTGAAGACGGCTGTGCCAGAATTGATGTAACTGGAGAAAAATAAATCATAAAATGAGAACAAATATATTATTTGAAGAAAATTCCAGATCGATAGTTTTTGAAAATACTAACGAAACTATCGATAGTTTTCCACCTCTAGTGACCAGGTATCGTTTGGCTCACCTGGAACCCCTCGGGATGCATATCTGCGAGCACACCCCCCACGCCTCGCACGGATGCGTCTCCAGGCAGCGCGTCTTGTCGGCCTGCAGGTGCAGGTGGGCCGGGCAGGTGCACACCAGGCCCTCGGGAGCGTTGTGGCAGTCGTGCGAGCACGCGAAGCTGTGGTCGCACAGCGAGTCGGGGCAGCGCATGCCCTCGTCGGAGCCGTCCGCGCAGTCTGGCCTGTCGTCGCACAGCTGGTCCACTGGAATTATAGAAGATTTTGGTTGTGACTATGACGAATACGACGAAACAAACAAGAATAGATGAATACATTGATATTCGAGTGTGTATACCAACCTAAGGCCTAGCAAGAATAGAAAAATGCATTGTTGGACAAAGAGATAATATATCGGAATGATTGGCATTATAATTGATGGAGATTTTGAACGATAATAATATTTGCCAGTCATTTACAATAATTTACTCGTTTAATATGAAAGATCTCAATTTCGTGATGTTGTAGAGGGTATCCCAATTTGGGCACTTTTGCGGGATATCTACCTTATCAGTAAAGATAGAGCATTGCGGTTTTCGTGACAGTGTGCTACTTTTTTATGAAATTAATAATGGCGCAAGCAAAATTGTGATAGCTCTTCCGGTTGTCGATAAACAGAGTGGAAGAAGAAAGTTGAGGTGCACTTCGGTGTGACCCTGTATACCTACGATTCATTCAATAGCATAATTCGAGTGGGCATCATCAAATACACTGGATGACCAAATTTCAAGTCATTCGATCGCGCGGTTGATTTTTTACAGGAAGGGATATTTTAGCTGGGACACGGTGTATACAGGGTGTTTCGAAAAAACCTGACCACCTTGCTAGGGTAGGTAGAACACTGCAAAATAAGTTGGGTTTGCTCAGTGAAAAAATGTCGTAACGGCATCCGTTTTCATGATACAAGGTGTTGAAAAAATGATTTTTTAAACAATTTTCACGATTATGTCGAAACTACTGGCAACATTGTGATGAAATTTTGTACGGATGTTTCTTGAAATCTGACACATCGCATGAATTTGTTTTTATATCTGACTCTCATAGGGGGCGCTAGTTACACGGTTCGTACCGAGTAGTTCAGAACATAACTTTTTTGAGGTTAGATTTTTCAATCCAGATATGATATGGACTTGAACCTCATTCAATTTTACACCTAAAAGGTACTCTTGGTGAAACTCGATACAATGTTCCGTTTTCGGAATATTTCGATCTGAAAATAATGGAGTAATAGCTGATGCTGGTATAAAATGAATTTCATTGAGTTCAATTGCCTATTTTTTAAGATCGAAAAACAATAAAATCATTCTTGTACTGAAGTTATTGATGGAACAAATAATCATAAGTAGAAAATTAAGAAATATTTGACTAGAAACATGAAATATTGAATCAGTTAGAGTAAGTGTTCAAAATGTCCTATACGTTTCGACGAATACACGATTCTATATTCTTTTCTTGAGAATGTATTACTTTTTCAAACAGTTCAGAATCAGCTCTCAGGTCATTTCAGTGATGTTCAATTATGTCTTACAACTCTTGACGTGAATTTACCTATGTATCATAAACTTTCTGCTCAAGATACAAACAAAACTGTGTAATCTATGTTCTTAGTCAAATCTGTTTCGATGTTATTCTTGTGATTCATTGTTGAATCAATAAGTTTAGCAACAGAAATGTATTGTTGTTTTCGGTTTTCGATAAATAGGTGATAATTTTTCCTAATACTCGCTCTAATACATAGCTTTATACCAGCAACAGTTATCGCTTCATCATTTTCAAATCGAAATATTTCGAACACGGCACACAGTATCGAGTTTTACCAAGAGTACCTTTCTAGTGTGGAATCAAATGATGTTCAAGTTCACATCAAATTTGGATTGAAAAATCTAACCACTAAAAAGTTATGTTCAAAACTACTCGGTACGAACCGTCTAACTAGCGCCCTCTATGAGAGTCAGATATAAAAACAAATGCATGCGATGTGTCAGATTCCAAGAAACATCCATACAAAATTTCATCACAATGTTGCCAGTAGTTTCGACATAATCTTAAAAAATGTGTAAAAAAATCCTTTTTTCAACACCTTATATCTTGATAACGGATGCCGTTACGAAATTTTTTCACTGAGTAAACCCAACTAATTTTGCAGTGTCTTACCTACCCTAGTTAGGGGGTCAGGTTTTTTTGAAACACCCTGTATATATAATACATACAAATACATTAAGGACCTTTACATTTACGAGCTATTTCGATTCGCCTCTCCATTACCTGTGACACACTTAGTGTCGTTGTCGCAGGTCCTCGACGGATACTCGCAGGCCACCGCCATCTTGGACTCGGTGGTGCTTTTGCGTTCGTGGCACGCCTTGCCGCCCTCGTCCGACCCGTCGGCGCAGTCCTGCCGATTGTCGCACAGCTTCTCGGGCGGCACGCACCTGGTGCCGTTGTCGCACAGCTTGCGGGGCGGCACGCAGGCGGGCAAAGGAGGCGGCTTCTTGCTCTCGGTGGCGTTTTTCAGTTTGACGGGGTCGCAGCGCATCTCGTCGGAGCCGTCGACGCAGTCGAGGTCCGAGTCGCAAACGAACACCTGGAAGGGATACGTCGATGTAGGTTATGTTCCGATATTGCTGACATTACTGGCTACAGTAAGCAATTTAAGAACACTAAACGGCAGTAGTAGCTTCAAAGTCCGTATGACGCCAGTTTTTCACTCATGAAACGTATCATTATTGAACACAATAAAACATACAGAATAATCTGAATCATTTTCTGTGGGAAATTTTTGTGCTGTGTGACACGAGATAAGAACACAAATAAAATATTATGACAAGGGGCATGCGCATATGCAGATGCACATGCCGGTTGAGCGTGTATAGTAATAGTTTCTCTTGAAAAATATCTGTCTACAATTCTGCAATAGTGGGTGCTATGCTCAGCGTATTTGTTGAAAAAAATAGGAATGAAAAAATATAAAAAATTGTCTCGTGAATCGCTCCAAAGAAGAAACATCCGTGAGCCAGGAATTCTGAATATGGTACAAAATGAACACCTTTCTGGAAACCCTGTATCATATGAGTATCTACAAATTTCATAAAAAAGAATAATGATCAGTTCACTTTTGTTCTGGAAAAAATAAAGTAAAAAAGATACAAATATGCGAAAAATTTAATTCACCAGGAATGAGGTAGGTAATCAATCTACATTTCATCTTTGTCAAAGCATATTAAAGCGTCAACTCGAGCGTTTCTGAGTGTTTTATTACCAACAAACAGGCATATTTTTGGTATTCTTTAATTAAAGCAACAGCATATGCTCCGAAGACCAAACCATAATAGAACTGATGTTATCTGAATTTGAGATAACAGTAAAATCAATCAGTGGACATAAATTATTTGTAATTTATATTACATCAATAACCTTTTCATTACCATAACCTCAATGTAGGAAACTGAAAAAGAGCAACACTTCGCATATTTTTGCGGTTTGTAGAAAAAATTATTATAACGCAAAGGTCAAACAGGTCAAATTGGATGTGCTCTCTTAAAAAATAGGCCACTTTATTGAATTTTTCCTACTCTTTTCAGTTATCAAAACATAACTAGGAGATTCTGCTATACTAAGTGTTATTCTTGAAAAAAAAGAAGGCTGTTTTTTCCTCGGTTCCTCCTGAAGACTGAGTCTTATTTAGTTTTGATAAGTAATATAAGTGGAATATACCTACCAAGTATGAATTAATTATATAGTTATGCCTCGAGTTATGCTCAGTGGCTCGAAAGTAATAACCATATAAAGATTTTGCCAAAATCAAGATAACCTCCTGTATCTCAGTTATGAAAGACGGTAGATACATCAATGTGGGATGATTTTAAACCACCAAAGTGTGCTCTAACTACAGGTGTCGTATGTCTCCTTATATTTTGTCCATAGGAGGTGGAAAAAAACTTCAAATAAAAAAGTTGTAGAATTTTAACAGTACTATCTTTTGGCACTCCTTAGCTTAGACGAGCAAACTCGAATAGCAAAATGAGAAAGCGTACAAATCAGTTTTTAAAATGAAACACTCTGTATATTTTTGACTCTTGTGAAAAATCTTTCTCTTCTGTTCACAATTATATATATTTTGCTAATGTTTCCTCAAGCCATTTTTTACTTATTTAGCATTGAAACAAAGTTGCCAATAACATTTAGATAACTGTGGACACAATAGAAATGCCATGGAAAAGAAACAGACATCTCTGTCAGTTTTTCGATTAAAATAGATTATTCCATAGTGAAAATATTGCGAAAATTTCGGTAATGCAGCAAGAATTTAGTCGAAAACAGCTTACGGAAACATGAGCAAACTATATATATTTTTGTTTATTCAAGGAGTGCCAAAAGATAGTACAGATAAAGCCCTATAACTTTCAAATTTGAAGTTTTTTCCACCTCGTATAGTTGAAGCTGTAGGTAGGAAACACCTAAATAAAATGATTCCCATTTCGAGACTGCAAGAATTCTCGGTTGTTATTGAAGTCTTTCGGTTTTCACGTTGATATTCAACTTTTTTGGAAATATCAGATTTTTCATAGCTGTTTCCGTTTGAAGTTATAAGAAATAATGTTGCGCTAGGTACTAGGCCTCATAAGGAATATTGCGTAGAATCCAGTACCGTACTCAATTTTTTATTCGGGGTATGGATTTGTAGATCGACATAAACCAATACAGGTTGATTCAAAAATACTTTGAGAAACTTTAGAAGATGGTTCCTCACATTATTCTAATATAAAATTGTCCAAATAAGTATATGTGCGAAAAAGCATTGTTCCCAAGATACAGGACGTTGAAGTTATATGTTTATTTCCTTTTTTTAATACCTATCTTTTGAAATTATGACCTTAATTTGAGAAAAACTGGTATTGAGACGTTTTTTGAAGTGTCGAATTCGAACCTGATGTTATTATTGCTCTAACTCGTAGTAAGCCCACCTACACGAACATTAAAATGAAACTTCAACATCCTGTATCTTAGAAACTAAGCTTTTTCGGTCATTTACTTATTTGGACAATTCATATCGGAATATTATGAGGAATCACCTTCAGGTTCTTCAGTGGAACACCCTGTATTTCATTATATCCTCGAATTCCTCATGTTTTTCTTGCAAAATGATGCATAACACACATAGGATTCCCAGAAATCCTAATCGTGTCGTATCTCCAAAATCATACCCCTAAAAAACTTGAGTACGCCTATGGATTCTGCTCAAAATTCTCTGTTAGACGAAGTTCTCAGTGCAACTTCATCTCTAATAACTTGGTAGATATAGGTGACCAAAAAGTATAGATTTTCAAAATCGCCTGGCCACCTCGAGTTTCACAAAAAAACTAAGATAGGAACGAAAAAACAGCAAGGTTCTACCTTCAATAACAACCAGGATGTACTGTAAATCTGAAACACCCTGTATGTCTCCGTGTACTTTTCATCCTACTCGAGAAATATGCTCGATTTTTCACTACATCGTGTCTGTTAAATTCTTTCAAATCACCAGAGATTGTTTGGTACATTATATTTTCGGTCTGTGTTAAATTTTTTCACATCGTTTTACTCTCGAAAATAATACTGCCAGTATATCTGTGTTCAATTCTTCATCCTATATTTTGTATACTATATATCTGTTCCCCCCGTATAATTTCATTATCGTCATTATTCATAGATAAATCATTTGTTCGAAAATTAATCGGTTAGTAGCATGATGTAACCTATTAGTCATTAAGTCGAGACGAGGTGGTGAATCAAGACAGTCTTATATTAGATGTCATCACGTTCGGTCGAATTTTGTGATCGCAATTGAAAAATACGAGAAAGGAATTGTTTATCGTTTTAAACACAGTGTTCATTTGAAAATAAGTGCAAGTATTGTGTTTTTGTGTTCCACATTCAATCCAGTGATTACATTATCGCGAACGTGTGCTGTTCTGGTGTTTCGTGTTGTTACATCAAAGCTTCGCATTTTTCAAGCTGGTGAGTAAAGAGAAACTCTCTCAAGTTTTCCTCATATTTCCATCTTTACTTTGAACTACATTACCTTATATGTTTTCAAAATCACAAAGATACCGTTTGTTGAATATTTTCCGATGAAGATATACTTTCTTCTGATTTTCGTACTTTCCGTTCAGAACGGTATTTTTTCAGAAGAAAATAATACGAAAAGAGCAAACCAGAAGAAGATGAGACGATTCGGGATTATTTCATGAAAACATTTTTTGGCTATACAGGGTGTTTCAGATTTACATGTACATACATCGATGTGTCTACCATCTTTTATAACTGTGATACAGAACGTAATCTTGATTTTGACAATATCTTCATCTGGTCAGCTGATAAATTTTGAACCATGGTGTATAATCGATTCATACTCGATACGTATATTCAACTTATATTACCCATCAAAACTGAATAAAAATCGTATTAGAATCTGGATCCGTCTTCAGGGAAAACAGAAAACTTCTTCTTTTTCAAAAACAACACTGTATATCAGAATTATGTAGATGTTTCGATATCTGCAAAGAGCAGGAAAACTTAATAAATTGGCCTACATTTCAACAGTGTGCATCCAATTTGACTTTTTTCCATAATTATTTTTTGAAATAGAATTTTTGTAGAACTCCTGATTTTCCAATTTCATCACAAAAAAAATCAGTCCTCAAAGTTCAACTTCATTAGAGTCAAATTAGCTAACCTCTCGATAGTTTTCATTCCATAGAATAATTATTGTTAATTAGATATTATCGATTGCTCGTTACATTTTCACTATTTCAAAAAATAATGATAACATAAATTTAATTATGTAGCTACGCCTCGAGCTATGCACAGAGGTTAAAAAATGAATAGCATATACGACACGATCTTTATGTGGAGAACCATACAATATTTCGAAATTCTTTTCAACTTGCTGGATAGAGAATTTATGCACGTACAATTTTAAAACATTTCGAGATATACAGGGTGTTCCATAAAAAAGATACATATCGAAGTTATATTCTTTTAAATGGAACACCCTATATTTTTTGTCTTTTTCGGATTCCGCAGCACAAATGGAGGTGAGTTTCTTCAATGTTCCCTATACCTATCATTTTTCATTTTCGAAATATTTGAAGAATTGGTGAATTTTATGGTACATAAAGATAATTTTCATTTGGCTCTGTAAATTATTTTGAACCTTCGTAATAGCTTCGATTGTTTGGAGAAAGATTAGAATTAGAAATATACCTTCATTTACATTTCAATGTCAAAATTCATACAGGGTGATAACAAAATGATCCAACCATCATCCTAGCCGCCTTAGATTGATTCGAAGAAAGTAATAATAGGTCAAAAGTTAACTGATGTCTGCTGTTATGAATAAAATTTCTAGAAATGTATTGGGTTTAGCTATAGGGAACCATGATACAGGTCGAAAGGACATCAAATTCTAAGTCAGAATATGTTACTAACTACAGGGTGTGCCATTTGAAATAACAAAGTTTTTCAACTTCATAAATTGTAAGTTTCCAACCATAATTTTGTTATCACCCTGTATGAATTTTGACATTGAAATATGAATGAAGG